TGCTATGCTATGCTATGCTATGCTATCTTATGCTATGCTATGCTATGCTATGCTATGCTATGCTATGCTATGCTATGCTATGCTATGCTATGCTATGCTATGCTATGCTATGCTATGCTATGCTATGCTATGCTATGCTATGCTATGCTAATCCATGCTTTGCTATGCTGTGTCTATTAATTTGACTCACTTTATTGGTCCTTTCCTTGCAGTAATTGAGCATACATTTGAACTTTGCCCTTTGCATTTCCAATCATCTGTAAATATTTCCTATACTGTTCCACATTAATTTTAAAGATGATTTTTTGAGCGAGCTTGTTCGCTTGCGTTTCACCGCGAATTGTTTCGAGGGCTGGAGATTGGAGTCAAAGCTATTGCCCATCGGGCCGACACACCTATGCAAATTTTGCCACAAAATACTGAAAAGCATCACTTTTGGTTGTTTGAAAATTAGATAAACACTTATTTAAGCCATTTAACCTAAATCGATGCATATTGAATTTGATAACATAATCCATTCAAGTTTTGATCATAAATTGGAAGGCTATTCATGCTCATCCAGCGTGTTTATCGAAAATGACTCCTTTCTTCAACAACTGTGATTGCATTACATACTGTTTTACACATGAAAATTCGGTGTTGATATAGGAAAGCCGAAGGATTGAATATTTCTGTGAAACACAGAAAGAGGCAAACGTTTTGAAACTATATGCGAAACATAATGGTATATATTTACTAAAACAGATCCCAAAATAACGTATAAATATCGTATTAAATTACAGCTGAAAGATGAACTCCGAACGAAACGAAAACGGGAAACTTGCTTAGCCCTTTATACAACGAAAGGGGTCACGTGATAATGACTAGGGTCCAGACCTCAGTACTCATCAAGTTTCTTCAAAATATCTCAATACGATACCTTGGCTGGATTTCCAAGAAGCTCAAACTTTGTACAGAAACCCAATCGACAATCGTTTCCTGCCAAATTTTATCCATCTTATTCCTAACCCTTTATATTTGCTTTTTTTGTTGGTTAGTTTTTTTACGACCCTATTCACATGTTACCGGATTAATTTCTTATCGGATCACTTATCACATCGGATAGGCATGAAACCGGTATGCTCTAGATCGTTCTTTCGGATCCAATCATTCGAATGTTGTATGGTTCTGTGAATGCACGGATCCGATAATGTTTTGCTCCGGACCTCGATTTTGAAAAGACGACATTGCAATTCTACGGCTTAAAGACGATGGATTTTTGGGAGACGTTTGAAGGGTAGCATCACCGCGTAGAAAGATATGAATCTGATACAAAATAACTCCTATATCATGCGAAGAGCCTTGATATTGGTGTTGGGTTGGGTCTGTGAATCCGATAGAAAATAAATCCGGTATGATACGAACAGGCCAATAAGACGTGTTCTTAGGCTCCCCCCTCCTGGTGGCCCTGGGTACTCAAGCCTCGGACTAGGGGCTTCTTGCAAGAACCCGTCTTGGCGGTCTCACCAAAAAACTACTTATTAAAATGAATGGAACAGTGATGAATTTCTGCAGGATCTGGGGTTTATGAGGCACGAGACGGGATTCATGTCAATTTAACATGAAGCTTTGTAGTGTTTGAGTCTACTTTAGTCCATTCCATTTGTGAGAGATTTTAGACTGCAATCCAAACAAAATGTAGCCATTTTTATGTTTAAATGATCACAGATACACTTCCGTGTTTCCGAAACCCAATCCGGATGAATCTATTTTGATTTTTGAATTATGTTAGGTTTTCTTCACGTAAATAATGTTTACATGATCAAAATGTGCTTCCTAGTTTATAAATCTCAACCCAGATTGATTCATTTTACGCTCATGCAATTCTAAATTTATTTCATATTAAACTCCAGTGATTCTACTGATTTGTTTTACCTTCAGGGTGATGATATTTCACGACTTCTATCGATTCATTTGCCCAGAGAAGCTCATAAACCGTGTTGTGTTTGATCTCGATGACTTGGTTTGCGACGGCCTAAAAGGTTCATCCAAGCAATCCATTGCCAGCACGTATTTGCTCTCGCCAAAGAGGATAGGTCTGACCAGCAAGAGGTCGTCAACCAAGTAAGTTGAAAGCCATTATAATTTTTCATTTATATTAACGCGACTGTTATTCGCTTGTCAGAGCTCTTGCTTCGTGTTGTCTTTTAGTGGAGAGAAGGTTGGAAAACCTTATGTTTTATGAGGACTCGCCACTCTTCTTCGATATTGTAGGACTTTGTTGAAAAATATTGTGTAGCTTTTCTGTAGCTTCTCAATTTGCCCCTGCTCATTAAAGGTATTTTTGTCAACGTCCTATAAACATGACATCGTTGCTTTTTAAGCTTGAATACGTGGGACATTCTTGCACCCCGATGTTTCCCATCCAAACACTTGCATCCCTAATGATTCTGGCAGTAGAAAATGCGCCTTAGTGTCACAAATTGGCATTACTTTTTCTATGTTGCTTTCATTTTTCCCTGAGTAGTGAGAAGTCTTATCTTTTTAGCTTTCAAAAGAGTGCTACCTGAAAATTTTTTTACAAATTTTAACCATTTTTGGAAACTGTCCATCGACTGTGCTCATAGTCATTCACGTGTGTACATATAATTCATGCTGTGTATGATTTAAGTATACTCGGAGCATCGGAAGTCAAGGTCTTGCCATATATGCCTTATCTCCACAATTTAACTGCATCGCCATTATTTTCCAGTATTTCAAACGTCAACGAAGACACACTGTCAGTTCCCTCGCTTCAGTTTGAGTCTCGTTTTGAATCTGGCAATCTGAGGAAGGCCATACAAGTAAGTCAGCTGTTGCTTCAGTATTTGGTGGGTGCTTAGTTTGTATATCTATCAATTCAATTTACGGCCACATTTTGATCTACGGGTATTGAGTTTGGACACTGGTTGAACAAATGAATTATCCTTCTTTTTTGCTATTATCACTCTTCTAACTACTTATTTTCCCAGCATACAGTTCCAAACAGAAGTGGACTCGTAGAATTGAAACACAAGGCCTATCCTTATAAATTTAGAACCAAATAGATCAATTATTGCCCTTGTATAGGAATGCAGAAATCGAGTCTTGAGGCCCATAAAACGTTCTTAATGATACATTGTTTTCGGGAAGGTTCTTTGAAAGGCAAATCTGAACTTTCAGTGTTAGCCTCCCCCTCTACCACCTAATACTGAAGCAAGAAGAGGGTTTTAAGTCGGATGATTTCCACTTTCGTCTTGTTTAATTACTCGTTTTGAATTTGCAGATTAGGCCATTTGAATACGATTTGATCCTCAACGCAGACACCAATTCAGATCACCACTGCCAATGGTTTTATTTCGAGGTATGGTAACAATGTTTTTTAGATTTAAGTCTAGAAGGCCCAAAGTCTTAACTGCTACTGCTAGATAAAACTTACTCTAAGTTCTTAACAAAATGTAAGCATGCTTGTTATTTGACGAACTTGAAATTGAATTTTTGTGTAGTTTTGTTGTTTATCACTAGGAAAATAGTGGGTCTGAATTCGTAATGTTGTCAATTCATAAAACCATCCTTGTCCTCTGAATTCATCAACCACGTAAAACGGCTTTTACTTTTTACCAAGCTGATCAAAGAGAATTTAAAGGCATCGCGTCAAAGTCAATTCCGGCATGATCACTTTAGTTCCATGTGATTTCGGCAACCGTTGTATACGATTGATCGTTGATAAAACTTTGGTTATACCCTCTCGTTTATCACGACTCAATGTTTTAAAGAAAATACTTCCCTAGAATTCTTAGAAAGTTGATTTGCAATAAACATAACACTTCACAACACTTTACATAACACTATACTTATTTGCTCGCCAGGTTTCAAATATGGAGGCAGATGTTCCCTATAGGTTCAACATTATCAACTGCGAGAAATTCAATAGTCAGTTTAATTTTGGTGAGTTTCTCGAAAATATTATTTTCAATAAGTTGTCTATTTAGATCTGCAAAACGTGGCCAAATTTTTAAGCCAAAATCATGATTCGTAAAATTTTGCAGAAGTATTTTTGGAATCCACTTTAGAAAGAGCCTTTTCGAAAAATCCTTTTTGCTGGCTGTTTTAGATTCCTGTGAAAGAAAAGGAACTGCTAACATGCTAGAATGAATTGATGCTAGTGATAGTAAAACCGGGGGGTAGGAGGGATGGGGTGGACGCCTGGACGGTGTGTATGAGTGATGCGGCTCTAGGTTGGGATTCGAAAACGTGATCTGATAGGTCGGTTGTTAGAGCAAGCGACATTTGTCTGGAATTAATCGCTCAAATTTTCTTTCAGTATTTGTGTTATTGTTCTGTTGATGCACTCTTAAGAACATCAAAGGAAATGATCGCTGATTGGAACATGTAACAAAAGCACTTGTGAGATTCGCCCACTGGGAATAAAGATGACCATCGAAATTAATCGGGACAAAGTTCTTATTAGGTTGCTCTCAAATGAGCTGTTTGGACAGCAATTAAATTGTCTCCATTTTTGAAATACTTGAATACCCATGCGATTTTCGCAACTCGTTTTTATTGATTTTTATTGATTTAGGAATGCAACCCGTAATGTACTCTACAAAAGAAGCAGAAGATGGCCAGCCTGGATGGGAGAGAACTGGCTCAAATGTTTGTTATTACAAAAATTTCTACTTGCGGAAGATAGATGGCCTTTCTGGAAATAAGTATTATTTTACAACGACATTCACGATTAGATTCCCGCATGCTGACGACGTTTGCTATTTGGCCTATCATTATCCATATACCTATTCGATGCTGAAGGTAAGATTTTCTTATAAAATCCTAACTTTTCAAGCCTATCTTGTAGGGCCTATTTTCTGCCAGTTTTTCCTGTTTTAAAAGTTTGTCCTCTGGAGGAGTTTGTCCTTTTGAACAAGAAGCTCTTCGAACGAATTTGAATGGAGAGTGGATTACAGTTCGGAATAGCTTGAACTTTTGACAAACTGCTTGAAACTTTTTTCTATGGTGTTAATCATTGGATATTAACCGTGATAAAGTTTATAACAAAACAAGTTCTGAATAGATTTGTTTTTGATTGCCTAACTTTGTGAAATCAGTTTTTAGGTTGTGTGATCAAAAGAAAAAATGCTTAGAATAGTTTTTATGACGTCATACTGCAGAATTCTGTTATAATTGTCACGTTTTAGGCCCACATTTCCAAGCTGGAAGCAAGCCTTGCCACCAACGTATACTACCATAACCAGATTCTCTGCTTCACGTCTCATGGGAATGAATGTGATATTCTAACGATCACCGAACGGCCAAAAACTGACGACCCGCAAAGCATTATTGCATTTCGTAAGTGACTGGATCCAGCTGTAATATAACATACAAATGTTCTTTTCTGTTCTTATCAAGCTTAAGTACGGTTTAACTTGGCTATTACGTCTGTGTCTCATGGATGAAGGGGTCGACGACCCGCTCCAGACTCTCACGGTTTTATGGGAACCAAGCTTTAGTTTCCATAATGTTTTCACTATCCGAACAAGTCCCAACTCGTCTCGGTTGATAGCCCGATCGTCTTTCCTTCTACAATTTTCAAAATCAATGTACGCAAAAAATGATTGCCATTATTGTGTAGACAGAAGGAGGTTGTTTTCATCCTTGGACCCTAATGATGATATTTTCTATAGGCACGCGGTTCTGATTGGGTACCTTTACCGGTCACGTGCTCACGTTTTTCTGATTGGCTTAGAATTTTCGATTCTCGTTTTGACGTTTTATACTCTGAAAAGTGTCAAACGAAAAACGTTGGTTTATCTAAATCATTTGCTTTTCTCATAGACATTTTCTTTACCTAGATATGTTTCTTATACGTTTGTTTTATTTCCGTATATTTGTTAAATTTTTTATGTTACTACAGGTAAAAGACCATACATTGTTTTGACTGCCAGAGTTCATCCGGGAGAATCATGCTCGAGCTGGGTAACCAAAGGTACATTTTGAACTAAGAATTTACTTCAATGATATAGAAACGTAGTGATTTCTGTAATAAACATTGAGTTATCGATATTTGAATTTTTGTTTATAAAAGTTACGTAGAAGGTTGCTCCATTAAAGTTGACTGCACAAAGACCCCGTCAAGTGAAATTAGTATGATTGGGTATTTATTTCAATACTAAAGAGGTTTTAGGGACCGATCTCCGATGAGAAAAATATTCTATTTATCCTAGCATTGAGAAGCAGCTCTTAGATATATATAAACAAGTAGTTGCAGCCATTTTCTTTACTATTGTGTTAAGAAGCCTTATTTTTGATGCTTCTCAAGAGGAGGTTTTTTTATGCAATAGAAAACTAGTATTATGATATAAACTTTTATCCAATATTTTCCAGGGATGCTTGATTTCTTAATGGGTAACAACGAACTGGCCATACGATTAAGAGAAACATTTATTTTCAAGATCGTTCCATTCCTCAACCCTGATGGTGTTATAAATGGCAAGTACGTATCGTATCTGTAGAAATCCTTGGCATTTCTTAGGTAAAGATGCCTAAAGGAAACAGGACATAATGGCTTGAATTTGTACACTATATGAGTAAGCAATCGCTTAATCAGGTTTTTAAACTTTGGTTTGAAACAAAAACGTTGAGTTTCGGAGGATCTTGGTATAGTTACTCGCAAGATCATATGCTGATTAATTATTGAGAGAACCTCTCCCTCTCCCCTTCCCCCCTGCACAGCCCCCAAATACTTGTATCTATTTGTTCACATTTTTACACCAACGCATGATTTAATTGGGTCTATTGCGCTGATTTAAACATGGCGGTTCTGAAACTAGTATTCGAGGGTCGTCTTGAAATGTCTGGTTTTGTGTTGGTGTACTTGAAAAAGTGTCAGCAAAAATACCAACCCTTTTCCTTTCTTTCTTTATTTAAAAGTTGGTACAAATTCTAGCTATACATACAAGCTAATTAAAACCAACTAGCAAACTAAGTACGCCTTTCTCTTTATCCGACGTGAATACTCGGAGGGCGTAGAGTGTCTAAGTATTTGTTTCCGCTTTTCTGTTTGTTTTCAAATTTGCTCGATCTTAGGTTTATTTGGATTCATATTTGGATATTCAAAGAATCTTAATGTTAATACTTAGATTAAAAGAATCATCAAAATTAGCACATAAAACTTGCACTTGAAGTCCGATACACGGTTTTTATGAGCCAGTAATTTGAAGTTCATGTTCTTAATTTTTCGAAAATCTAAGACAAGTTCTTAATTTTTCTCAAATTATAAGGGCGTAAGCTTTGCAATTGCTAGCTTTTATGCTCTGGGGGGGGGGGGGGTGCTCAGGCCTCATTCGCTAGCAAAGTGAGTGAGGCATCGACAAGATTGAAAATTCCCGGACAAAGCACCCCTAGATTGCAAACAACTCGATTTTGAGTTGAAAAATTGTTCAGAAGTTCATTTTTACAGAACATTAGCCTGTTCTGTATTTGTTTTTATATTTGACCAATTTTTAGACTTGTGTTCTTATAAAATGGTTCTTTTGAAAAAATGGAATATATAGTTGACAGTGAGACCACGGGCTCTGTAGGCCAGAATGCCAAACCTGATAACTTATTCGGCATGAAGAACTTAGCATCAGGGCGAGTAAAGCTCCATAATACATCGATCGAAGGAACAGTATGCCTCGGTCTACTTGCTTCCATTTCATTTTCATTAGCAAACAATTAATTGTGTCTTCTTTCCTTCATTCTAGTCACCGCTGTTCTGTCTCCGGGGATGATTTGAATAGACAATGGATTGCGCCAGACCCTGTCAATCATCCTACCATTTATCACATCAAGGGTTTCATTCATTATCTGAATTCGATCAACAAATCGCCTTTGGTAAGTAAAAATGTAGCCAGTACGCATCCTTGCTGTAATGCCCTTTTCGTTATATTCCACTCAGCTCACAGAAATTTTCTTTCCGTTTCTCGTAACTTGGTGTTCTCCGCTATTCAACAATACTAATGTTGCGCATTTGAAACTAATATTTCTAAGCTATCACACTTATATTGCAAAATATAGGAGAATTCTCTATTTTGCCTAGGTTTACTGTGATTTCCACGGTCATTCACGAAAGAAAAACGTCTTTATGTATGGCTGTAGTGTGGCTGCAACAAACGCTGCGAGGCAGCAAGGCAACAGTGATACCGTTTATTTCAACGGGGCTGAGGGGGAGCTGAAGACTGAGGCTAATAATTTGGAAGACGTCAATGCGAACGTAGATGAAGACACAGGGTACAAGGTACGTCTTTGAACTTATTGAGTTGGGTTGGATTGAATTGGGTATCCAAAAAAACGTGAGCAGTGGGAAAACATCGAAGTTAAATGCCGTTAAGTCAGACTTTTAAGGGATGTGGGGAAATGGTCCGACTAAGCGAATGTCCGACTTAGTGAAAATCCTATTGGAATTGAAAGCCGACCGGACTTGAAAGTGAAAGTGAAAGTCCGGGTGATCTGGTTTATGACATAACGGGATTGAACTTTTTCTGTTATACTGGGATATCAACCATTTCTACTTTGAAAGACGAGTTTTATTTATTCAAGAGAGCTTTAATTGTTTAGCAGTTGATGACTTATGCCAGAAAATTACCAATTAAGTGGTTAGAACGCACGGTAAAATTAATACCAAAGAGGTCACCTTTCAAAGTCTGACGTACCATTGAATGAGCAGTTTTAATTTTGCCCTCTGAGTTGCAATCATAATGTAATCGTTGAGTATACTTACGTTTAGTTGCAGTGTTTGAAAGTTTTTTTTTAAAGATCAAAATTTGATTCTATGAGAGAAACGAAAAATACTGATACAAAAGTTTGTTATAGTTATGTTTAAAACTAAAAGGTAAAAGTGCTGAAAATTCAGTTACTCAGTAATTTTTCCAGAATAATGCATTTATTTCGTGTTCTTGCTAACCAGTAAGCTCTGATGTAAAGTTTTAAATTCTCCAACTATGTTTTAGTTTTAAAATGATTAGAGGTTTTTTGCAATCGCTAACTACATACCATGATTTTTCTTTATTCATACAAATATATATTCATTTAAAATATTACTATATAAACTACATTGTACTCTACTTATAAATTAATTAGCAACACTACAAGGAAAGTCAGAGGCGTCCGTTTCTGCGAGATGTCCTAAATTTAAAGGCTTCCGTTAACGAAAACTTCCCCTTCATTGCAAATGAGGAGCTGACTTCCATTCTCTTGGACTTTTAACATATCAAAATTTAAAAAAATGTTTCTAGCCGTCCCTTGTGAACACTAGCAATTTTTTAGTTGCTAGAAAAAGTAATATTGAGGGAAAATGTTTCTAGAGACCCGTTAAAATTGAGATAGATAAAAGAAGACAGACAGAGCTGTCTGTTAAACCTTATCGTTCTCCTATCTTCTTTTGTTTCTCCCTGAGTTTACGCTTTCTTTGTTGAGATGAATATAATCTCCTTTCCAACTTCATATCGTATCAATTTTTGTTTTGTTTACTCACACACTGCAGCGGGCAAATTCGAGCAGCTATCCACACATGAATTATTACGGATACCTATTTTCATCTAATGTGAGAAAATAAGCATTCTAATTTTCCCCTTTTAGGCTCTTCCAAGAATATTGAACGCCATTGCTCCAGCATTTTCAATTCAAAGTTGCAATTATATAATGGAGAAATCAAAGGAGGCCACGGCAAGGATTGTGGTGTTCAAAGAACTTGGGGTTGTCAGAAGTTACACTATGGAATCGACATATTGTGGGGCAGACCAGGGTCCTTATAAGGTAAGACCCCTTTTCCCCTACCACAATTTGTGTTGGCTGGTGTACTGTTAGAAATCCTCCTAAGTGCTTCTGGTTGGTCCTCCAATTTTATTAACAACACATCTTCAATGTATATTCCATTCAATTCTATTACATTTATTTTCTATTCCATTATTCCATTTAAACAAAGAGGGGCATTAAATGTGGATACCCCCTCCCCCTTTTTGACTGAGACATCGGTTACTTTATTCAATGATAAGACAATGACACTGAAATGTTGTCTTTTTCGCCACTGAGGCTGTATTGACTTGGGCGATACATAGATGTACACCACAGAAAGAGACATGTCTTGGAATAAGATTATAATAAATATATATATATATATATATAATTCTGTATATTCAAGGAATAGAACCTCTCTTCCTGCCTCGTGCTCCTAACTAATCAATACTATTGATGAGAGGGCGTAATATGAAGGGATGCCGGAAACGCCAAATATGGTGTGACCTTCTCGCCATGTGTTCCGGAGCCCTGGACCCTAATCGAGAATTCTCTGTATCCTTCACAACAGAGGGAGGAACCCCTCTGGAATCCTGTATACGGACCTGTTGTACGTTGAGAAAAGGCATCGTATTTTACATTAAACTGTACGCAAAGTAATATTTGCCTTTGTCCAATCGTTTATCAACTGAAATATTTTTTAAAGAAAAGGTTTTTCTCCCCTTCTCCGCTGTCAATGAGGATTAAAATTAGCATTCAGGGAGTAAAATGGCGGAGCATTTAGCCGTATATTAATAACATAATCCTGAAATTTAGCCAAATTAACCTGGCCTGTGTCACAGACAATCACCAGGCTAAATTAGACAGGTTTTTCAAAATGTGTCACGAAAATATCGCCGGTCTATGTGAATATTCAGTAATGGAAAACTTCTATGAACATTTCGACCTAGTTGCAATGTAGGATATATACATCTGCTGGAACCACATAAATTTGTTTGCATTTTCAATTTCTTTTCTAGGGAAATCATTTTGGGACACGCGAACTGGAAGAAATGGGGAAGAATTTTTGCATCGGTCTTTTAAAACTAAGTCAGTCATACAGTATAAAACTGCGACATGAATATTTCAGGGAGCCATGTTTTAATGCAGAAGAGAGAGACGACGAAAAATCGGATTATAGGTTGGATTTTACAATATTATTTATTTGTTCTATTTAAAAGTTCTATTTTTTTCATGTATTTATTATTTAAGTATTTATCCGTTTATTTACTCGTTTCGATTGTTCATTCATGAAACATTCTTGTAAGCAGAATGTAATGTGCCTATTTTTACGGAAAATCAATTTCTATCTTTTAATAGAAGCTATGAATACTTAACTAATGAACCTTAAAATTGTTCAAAACTGTTGAATCGATAAAAATTTTTGTGACTATCAAATTTAACAATTTTTGGGTTTAAGTTAACCTAGCCACAACAATCGTGAACAAATGTATTTACAAGGCCAAATAACCTTGTCCTGAAAACAAATAGTCTTAATAGCATAGATATTTTACTATGCAAAGAAAACCCTGTTTTAAACCTAATATAAAGTACATAAGGCAAGTATAATAGAAAGAATTTATTAGTAAACTTTTACTCTCATACAATATTTGACGAGGTACAAACAAGCTAACAAACAAGGTGGGGTTAAATTTCAACTTGGGTTGAAATTTACGGCGTTTTTAATTTCAGTTCCCATTCATTTATGCACCTGGGAAAGTCTCTTCTCTGATTATTTTCACTCCCATTTTCACTCACTCTCATATTTTTCACTCCTGTTTCTCACCCTGGATTCAAGACATTTTTCCTTTCAACAGGCATATTTGATTTTCAAGGTGGACCTTTTAATCTGAACCTAAGTTGAGCGCGGGACGAGAGGATTTCCCGGTGGTCTGATTCAAACTCGGTCCCGAAGGAAACTCGATCCGGCGTGAACCGACACTGATTGATTTTGTTTCACGTTATAAACCTCTAAGGGCCTTATGAGATGGCAAATTGGCAACGATGCATTGTATATACTGTCCCCAGAGACAGCATATTTCTTCAGCCATTTCCCATGATGTCAAATTCCTAACTCCACAATCATATGCAACCAAAGGCTATTATCTTCTAATTTATCTTCGTTCGAAACTAAAATATCACGCCCTCCTATTTCCTGCATGGCACAGTTAACTAAATATCATGCATATTTTCAGCATTAAAATCGAGGGTGCTACAGCAGAAAGCAATGGAGACTGAGAGCAAGCGGCAGGGTTCTTTGAAGACTCAACTTCCCACGACGACGACTTGAAGTTGTAAACATTGCCTCGTGAGTAACGTTTCTGTTCAGCATACTTCGGATATTATTTGTAAGATTTAGTTCATTTATGGTTCAATATCTATGGTTTATACAAAACAGTAAGCATTTAATTTTATTCGCAACCGTTCAGCAGGAATTTAAGTTTAGAAGTAAGTTTAAGACAGGCTATTTAGGCCCTACCTGCACAGGTATCGTCTTGCTTTGCGTACGAGAAAGCTCAAACTTTTGGTCTACCTACTTTCAGATTGCACGATTCTTCCTTTTACCGATCTTCTAGCATATTGATAAAAGAACATGTTTAATTTGCAAAAGATTTATACCAACATAATATTTACATAAAAAATAATCTTACCTCCTTCCCCATGCTGGGAAATCCCATTTTAGCGGTTGAATAAGGTGCAGCAAGGCTTATAACATTGAGAATGGGGATACTGTCAAATAAAATCGCTTTGATTTTCTGACCGTGTCGCTATTTATGCAATATCGCTTATAGAGCAATAAGCTCAAACAATTCTCCAATCATTGGATGGTTTTTTTGTTGTTTTTTTAATTATTTGGGGGTATAAATACCTGGCTTCCTTGCACTTGCCAGCTCTCCTCGCCAGTTATCCTTGCAAGTTATCCCCGCAAGTTATCCCCGCCAGTTATCCCCGCCAGTTATCCCCGCCAGTTATCCCCCCAGTTTTCCTCGCCAGGTATACTAATCAGCTTAAATAGCTTAGAATCTTCAACGCCTGTGTATTTTAAAAACGTTTGGTTTATATTATTTTTGTAAGCGATTAGATAGAAAAATCAAACAGCAAATTACTATGATGCATGAACATACACTTTTATACATTTCAATTTAGCATAGAATTTATCATGATTTAGAAAGTTAGTTCCTTTTAACTTCTTGAGTAGCTTTTACGTTTCTTTCCTTCGCTAATTGAACATTGTTATTTTTCATCCACAAAAGCAGTCAAAGGGTAAGATGAGGCAGCGCGACTAGCCCCCTTCACCTCTGCTCCCCTCTCCCTTCTCCCCTCCTTTTCTCCTCACCTCCTTTTCTCCCCTTCCCTCCCCTCTCCCCTTCCTCCTAACAAATTGAAGTATTCAAAAAGCACGCTTATCCCTTTCTTGACGAAGAATGACGGATCCTTTCTAGCAGCGTAAATCCGAACCTCGTTTTCAGGACTGCCCTCTCTTTACAATCATGGCTACGTTTTACAATCATGGCTATGTTATTATGATTTAAAGCATGATTCTGATGATGGATTCTTTTAAAAGACAACCAAGTCTCTTCCTAACTGATGTTCAGTTTTTCTCTTGTGCATAATTCTATACTGTAGTTGCCGGAAGATCGCATTTAGTGCTAAACTCGAAGTATACACAACCATGACATTTTGTGTTACAGTAAGTATCCACGTATAAGAACCCACAGGCTGAAAGTGTAAAATCAGACCTCCTGTTATAAGAACCCATCTAGCCTAAAATCTGAAATAGACTCCTGTTTGTATAGATCGACAAACTACATCGAATTAAAACTCTAGTTGCTTTCTCATTTTCTTTTAACTTTCAACTGATGTTATAAATGCTTTAAAATAGCCAAATAATTGCAGTATTCAGTACTCTGTTTCAATATTTCCAAGCTGTCTCAATTCATGTCTTTGGTAGACTCCTTTTTGCTCAACTTTCTCAACATCTTTAGTAGGTAGTAGGGATTTCCACTAACAAGTATACAATACACTGAAATTACAAAACCTCTAGCCCCATTAAGTAATATACTTGAAGTTTGAAATTTAACAAAAGAAATTGGTAAAGGCCCTGCATCGAGTAAGAACCAATTAAAATTGAAGAACCTAAACAGTCTCGTTTCCTATGAAATACCCAATACATAAGAACCTACAATCTTGGCAAAAAATGCTGAGACACTTGCAAAAAAGAAGCTATTTACTAATCACCCACCCCCCCCCTTCCCCTCAAATCAATGTTGTAATTAGATTGGTAACCACTGTAGTAATCCGTAGTTATCCCGTAACCATCTTAACCAACATTGTCCCCGGGGGGAAGGGGGTTTAGGTCACCAGCTTATATAATATGAAGATATAGCACGCGAATTCCTTTTCATTCAAATGTCGCAGTTATTTTTTGCCAAGGTTGTAGTGAGGCTGACTTGGAAAATGGTAGGTTCTTATACGTGGGTGTTTACTGTACATATGTAATATGGTATGTAACTCACCGTCAAATCAAGAACTCCGGAAGATTTCTCGAAACAGAACATCTTAGAAATCATGACTCCACTGCTAGAGGCGATGAGTCTAGTGGTGTCAGTCCTACATTTTCATCATGGAATCTGGCTAACTCTATTTTGCCACATACTACTATAGTACTGTTTACTTTTGGGGGGCTGGGCCCTAATTCGTGTAGCTAAATTGTTATTCTGGCACTTACTGCTTACTAGAAAGTCGCAAATTTGAGAAAAGTCATGTTTTGGCTAGTAAAACTTCTTATCATACTAAAATTATTAATTTATCATCTTCTTATTTCTCAATTTGTAACAATGAATCATTTTAGGAGACTCTAGCCCTTAATGCTCATTTCTAGAAGCATCTTTAGGGGCATTATGAGAATGTCTATATGTAAGACACTCATTTTTTATAAGAAACTGGCTATAAGAAACAAATACTGGACAGTCAGAAAAAATTATTAGAAACTTCAGTACTCGAAGCAAATAAATTAAGAAACTATTAAATCGTGATAAAACTGAGAACAAAGAATTTTGTAAAATCCAAGAACACGACTGCCCTGTTGGCCTAGAACTTAAGACACAAGGGATAAAAATTCACTTCCCATATCATCACACATACAGCATCAGAACGGAAGCGAGTCTCTTGACGTGATAAAAAAGGTCACGAACATTTCATAACATCATTCATGACATTATAATTAAGAAACAATGAGTATTGAAATTTCCAGAACATCAAGAAACTGGAGTACTCAACATCGACCTAGTGACGACGAAATTGATTAACCTGATCTCTCTAAGGTTCTTTTAGACAATTAGGTGCTTAATTTGTGTTGCTAAAAATACTTTGCACTTTGTGTTTAAAAAATTTTAAGATAATTATGTACTAAAGTCAGCAAAATAAGAAAAAATGAGTACTCATCCTGGGTTTAGGTTCATATAAAAATGCATTTATTTTCTCGATGTTTTTAGGTGCATTAATGGAGGGATAGTCCTATGTGCAATGGTTGTACTTTGTGAATATCAACTGCAAATTCTTTCTGACCACCAAAAATACATCATGATTATAAATTTATTAGTTTGCATTCATAAGCAAGGAGACGAAGTGCCTATTTCGCGGGCAAATCACTCCGTGGAAATCTTATTGTTTTGTCTGAAAATCCCTATAAATCATTTCTCCTATTTTGTTTTGGTGAAAAACTCGTGCGCTGTTTGTATAAGTAAATCGCCTCTCGGCCTATGTTCCCATTTTTCTCAAATGATTAATTGGTTAATAGCATTATCGATTCATAAAATTCATTGTGTGTACGAATTTCGACAAATGAAATTGTATTTCCCCCGTCTCCAATTTACACACGCCAGCTGTAGTACTTTCTGCCTCTTTTGTTTAAAGGAGCTTATTTTGATGGCCATATTTGTTCTGTACTTTGTTCCAACTTCGGTCGAGTCAACATCACGGCCTTCATAAAAGAAACCGCTCAGGTAAAACTTAGAAACCGAGTTTTTCATGCATTCGACATAAAGAAGGAATATAGATAAACATCAGCGCACTTCATTGCTCTTGATTACACGAAATTGAACACTCTAATAAATCTTAAAAATCTGAAATTTTCTGGAAAAAATTGTATCTATATTCAAATTGATTAAGGGCAGTTATTGTCGTATAGTAGGGAATGCTTCTCCAGCTCCCTTGTTATGTCCAGAGAACTACATCATGTTCCGAAATGGAAATCTACCTAAACGTTTTTATGCTAACCTTCGTCTAGAACCTGTACTCAAATTTCTTTTAAGACAGCACCTGATATATATCTTTGAATAAACTTAGGTCATTTCTCTTTATTAAGTCCAGCCTGTCCACAGGCTTCATTAAAAACAGTTAAATAAGGATATACCACACTCTGCCAAAGGGTTTGGCATCACACTTTTCTAAAGAGAAACCAGGAAAACTTGGAGCACTGCAGGACTGAGAAAGGGTTTTCTAATTCTGACTCGAGAGATAGAAACACTGACCAAAGTACTGAACTTCTAGGGGAAGGTTTCTAATTGAACGCGGGTAGCTACATACGATCAATGGTCCTTCCCAATCATGTTTAATTTGATTGCAAAATCATTATTTTTAAACACTGCTTCGTCTTTCCATCTGTTCTTTATGTACTTAAAGCCACACATCACTGGTTCCATTGGCAACATCGACTGTGTGTACTTTGGAAGTTTCAGTTTCTCCAGAGTCAAAATTGGCTCGAGTGTTTCACTCTTTTTATTTTCACTTGCTGTCTCTTCTAGAGTGCCTAAGCCAGAGTCGATGTATTTTTCTTCTCTCTCTACCCTAAACTGCAGATATTTTGTAGGCTTCCACTCCTTGAGACGAAATCTTATCTTCTCGTTCGTCTGGTTTCGTATGCCTTTTCCAACCACAGAAGAACGACGAACAAGCTCATGATAAGACCTTCCTGATTTTTTCTGTCTCACCCCAGTATGCACATCGCTGCTTATCGACAGTGTCTCCAAATCGTCAATGGTATCATGATCTTGGTCAGTCTCACTCGAGTTGAGGTCACGCTCTCCACTGTAACCTAATTCTTCACCAATAAGTGTGCTTCTGGTACAGAGTTTAGCTTGATCATTCAACGTCCCCTCTTCAGAAGGGAAATTATTCTTTTCTGAAACAGAGATAAAGTCTGAATTTGCTTCAAAGTCGTCATAATCAATGGTCGAGTCGAGGGAACACGCTGGTGTATGCGTGCGTATTTCGTGTCTTTGACTGTTAGACTCAAAAGATCTTATAATCTTTCCTCTATCCGATGTTGGCCTTACAGATCCTGCATTGGAGACCTTCGTAGTCGATGAAAGTGCTCGATACATCAAAGGAAACATTGAATTCACGAGGTGATCAACCCTTCCGTCTTCTTGAAAACACGATTCTCGCTTCATGTCAATGCCATAATCAGATCGTTGCCATGACTGTGTTGTGTACGACATCCGACTTTGATTTGCTGATCTTGAAATTACATTTTCTGCTTCAGTCAACGACTGCACATAAGCTGTTTCTCTCATCGTCTCTTCGCTACATACAATACAGTATTTCCTACCGAGAATGTCGCAGTACGGTTTGTTTGTCTCAACATGTGTACTTGCCATTCGGCCACTTGGCCTAATATCATAGCTGACACGACGCTTTCGTTCCAAACTTGTCCCTTTCTTGTCGATGTAACCAAGGACAACCGGCGTCGATCTTAAATGATCTTTCATATCGCCAAAGAAAAATCTAAATCTCCTTGTAGCTTCAACGTATTAGCAGAGTTTTATTGAAGCTTCTGTAAAATAAGACCCGTAACTCTCGTTTACCTGTTCCTTGAGGTCTGTCCGCGGTTTTTTTACAGAGATAAGCAGTTGTCACCCCCGTCTGTTATTGAATTTCTCTTCCGGGTTTCAGGGAACCAAAAAGGGTCAAGATGAACTCTTTTTTATAAGAACAATTCTACAAGAACACGAGCCTCAAATTGTCTTAAGTTATGAACAAATTAAGAACAATTATGAACAAATGAAGAATTAGGAACAAATTACTGTAAAATGCAATTTTGAACAATGTTTTATCTCAAAAACGAGGATTTTTAGGCATGTGTGGGTGCTTATTCGGTGAATATTCAAACTTGTCGGCAAATGAAGGTTGTCTCGCTCACTTGTTTGCAAATGAGGCCTGAACACCTCCCTAGAGCGGAAAACTAGCAATCGCACTGCTTACATCCTATTATTTTAAGAACAAATTAAGAACAATCCAGCTTCAGATTTTCGAAAAAATAAGAACAGTCAGCCTGAACTTAAATCTACTGGTTCTAATAAAAAAGAGTAACTCAATGAGTTGTAGCCAGGGTTCAGTATCAGTATCTGGAGCTTTTCTGAATGTGGTTGTCTTAATTTCAATATTTTGACGATAAATATGTGTGATGACAATAAAAGTTTTTAATTTCTTCTGCAATCTGAGATGTCTCAGTAGCAAGGATAGGCAGTCAATCACAATTCAAAGTTGGGAGCACAGGGAGGGAGGCACAGTGTTTGAAAATGGAGCATTCCTCAAGTGAACTAAAATGACCGTCTGAACCGAAGGGCAATTCACTCTTGTAATTAGGATACGAAATTTTCACCAAGACAAAAAGGTTTCTAGAGATTTACTGATAAAATAATTGGATTTCTAGCAAAGGTGTACGAGAATTTCATGAAGTGAATTGCCCCTCGATTTAAACTAATGCAATTCTTAAGCTGGGGGCACGAGCCCCTTTTGCCCTACCCTTTACTTCACAAGGGGCTCGTCGCCTCCTTAGTTAATGCATGGTTTGATTCTAGAACGCTCACAAAATGCCAAAAAGCGGCAATGGGAAGATAACACGTGTAGAAACCAAAATTTGGCTAGTTTATTGTCGTACTATTGGTGGAAAATATTTCTTTGTTTTGATTTAGTACCCGGCATAGATGTTGGGTAAAACATTTTCCAATGTCAAACCATAGTTAATAGAATTAACTATGGTCAAACCCTTTTGGTTTCCTGTTTTTATCGAGAGCCTCGTTTAAAAGTTACAGTGAACGGTTTCCATGGAAACAGAGATAAGCCGTGCGATCGCGTCCATGTTTTGGTTGAAAGCAAATGGAAGGCGTAGACTGACAGAGATACATATAACGAATTAGAATCGATGAAGGAAGAAGGCCAAAGTGAAAACAAGGCGCCTGAAAATCCGAAATTTCTTGTCAACAAAGATGGATTCCCGCTCTCTGAAAATACTATTGAAACTTTGTGGAAAAATGTAAAAGAACTGCACGAGGATGGTGAAAAGTACGAGAAGGAAATTCGCGGGAATCTAGAATTGCCAAAAGCTGCCTTCCCACTAGCTCCATCCTTCAGTTCATTGATGTCAACAAAAGATAAAATTGAAAGCATACAAAATTATATGAACAATCTTCAGTACAATCACACTGGACTGCAGTTTTTTGAAGTAAAAAAATATAGGCCCATTTGTGGCTTGATAGAGGTCGCCAAGGAAATCATCAAAGAATCGCTACCTATAAAATGTCTAGAAGCTGTTATTTTGTCGCTTTACTTAACTTCAAGCATGAACGACATCATAAGGTTTACTATAAGCTTTAAATCAAAGTTTGTCACCAACATTCACAGACACGTTGTTCTGGGACTAAATCATGGTATTTATTATGGAGCTCTTGGGATGAGTCGAAGAAAAGAGTTAATGGACAAGCCTCTAACCTTCCAAAGTTTAGGAAATTTAATTTTAGACTACAAAACTGCGTATGAGAATTGTCACCATAAACTAAAGAGAGTAAAACTAAGTTTACCAGTTGCACATGATGTTCACAGTTGTGAAAGAATTTCATGGAAGTACTTCACGTTACCAGTTTCTAAGATGACTGACGGGGAAATCAAGGATGCTTTAGATAAATACTCAAGAGTATTAAAAAAGCTATGATGTTTTGTCACATGACATATAATGAATTAACAAATATTAGTGTCTTGTTAACTTGAATTAAATTATTTGAAGTAATCTTACTTAGTTTTTACTTGGCACATTCTCTAGAATTTCTGTTTTTTGCATTAAATTAGCATGGTTAAGCATTGGTTTGTCCATAGTTTAGTATAGTTTAGTATAGTTTAGTATAGTTTAGTATAGTTTAGTATAGTTTAGTATAGTATAGTATAGTATAGTATAGTATAGTATAGTATAGTATAGTATAGTATAGTATAGTATAGTATAGTATAATATAGTATAGTTTAGTATAGTATAGAATAGTATAGAATAGTATAGTGAAGTATAGTATAGTATAGAATAGTATAGTATAGTATAGTATAGTATAGTAAAGTATAGTTTATTATAGCATAGCATAGTAAAGTAAAGTATAGTATAATATAATATAGTATAGAATAGAATTGCTAAGTGAAGTACAAAAACACATAGAATGTACACATTTTTTTCAAGAAATGTAAGAGGTAGGATAATCCCCGAGCATTCAATATAGCTGCTGGGATTACCAAGACAGGCTAGAATTGTAACGAGGAATAATTATTTTTGCTATACATAATTATATGGAGTGGATAGGTTTAATAATGTAGTTAAACACATTTGCTAAAAATATCATTAGAGCTTAGTTACATTTAATATTTTCCTAGGAACAGTCACATAAAAACACTAGGAAAACACAAATAATCTCAAACTCTAAATATATGAGATGAAGTCATGAGAAACATACAATATATAAAACATATTCCTTTAAATGTGTTAATAAGAGGTAAAATAGCTGTTATTTACAGGTTTGAAATATATACAATAAACCGAGTCTTCATGAAATCACATTTGCTAGCTCTTATCTGCAGTCCTAAAAAGGAAACATGATTTCATTAGGAAAATCTACCAGAAAACTGAAATACAATCAGAATTTTCTTGAAAAAGCTGCATTGACAATTTAAAGAAAGTATGTTTAACTCACATAAGTGGGAAAAATCCATTGGAAGGAAGTCCATGACTGTTATGCAAATCTCGATTTCCATTAGTCTTCAAGTTCTCTCTCTAAGAAGACAATTTTAAACTAACTGTGAGCTACTTAAATAACATTGCAAGTGATGTATTTACCATATCACAAATCAACACATCATACCAACTAAAAAACAAATCTTAACATATCATATTTTGCATGAAACACATCATAAAGCATTTAAGCAAATTGCTAAAATACTGAATTTTTACACATACAGTAGAATCCCGTTATAACATACTTGGTTATTACGCACTTTCGGATATAACATACTGGTGTGCTTGGTCCCGGCAAAAGGTGTGCTTGGTTTTAATCAATTTTTACTTACCCTTGTTACAACGTACTTCGGGTATAAAGTACTTAATACGCTGGTCCCTTGAAGTACATTATAACCGGATTATACTGTACTTTCTTATAAAGCATTTCAAAATACTTCCATGAATTAGTCTGAGCACCACTTATTTGCTTTTAATATCTAATATCTAAATTATATTATCAATATTCAATATTTTTGCTTTAAAACTTATAAAACCAAACAATTCCACTACATTCTGGCACCTTTCATCTTTGAATGACCAATTAAGGACCAATCATACAAGACATGATATTCTCAAAGTAAAATATTTTCTTTTATAAACAGAGGAAATATTCACCATAAAAAGACCCACTGGATTGACATCTGATTTATGACCTATGGGTATGCCTCTTCTAGATGATGAATTTGCTAGCTGCAGTGCATTCATTTCTCCTCTGATTTGCATAACACTATCTCGCTGAGACCTTACTTCTTCACTCAGGATGTCAAGTTTCTGCGTCAAGTGCTGCTTCTCAACACATAGTTTTGATATTTCTTGAAGTGCCAAGTTCTGAGCTTGGTAAAACATATGTACAGTGTCCTGCATAAGAATATAGCATGTGCATAAAATAACTGCTCAAACTACAATATCAAAAAAACTTCATGAACTTGCAGTCAGAAATTATGTAACTCCTTTGAAGATCAGGATGTGACCAGATACAAAAAGGAGAAAATGTGAGCCAGTTTGGCATGACCAGGGCAGGACTGATGACCAATGACCTTGCATGTTCTTTGCTCCACCAACTGAGCTACTCTGTCACATTTTCCAATCCAAGCCCAAAGTTGTGCCACTCACCCACATGCTCCACATTTTACCAAGTGTACCATCACACCCCTCTGGTCTTGTAACATTGCTAGCATTTTTCTCTTATGATTTGACAAACCCCATTGGTCATTAATTTCTATAAGCATAGATGTTCAGTGCAACTAAATAAATAATTTATAGAATCAAGAACGTGGAGAAAACTACATATCAATTGAATTCAGAGACAGAACAAATGACATCACAAGTACAATAGAAAATTTTAGTATATTCCATCATATGCATATACATATCTTATAAAAGATTTGCTTATCAATGATTATCTATCTGATGTGAATCAAAGCTGTCACTTGAAAATCTAGTTCTATAACTTTTTCAGTTTACCAGCTTTGATTGCAACATTGATTAAAAGTTATTCAAAACTGAACTTGTTATATTTAGAAAACCATATCACCTGACAAGCCAGGACATCTTTAGAAATTTGAATTCCATCCAAAGTGAGCACTTCATTTGGAAGAACTAGTTCTGGTAACACAAAGTCAAACTTCTCGGTGCTGTTTAATGTTGCTTGTAGTTTGCTCTGTTCTAGTACTGTCCCAACTGCTCGAATATAACTTGTAATGATCTCTTGTTCCCTAATTGTTTAAACAAAAAGAGGTTGCACCATTGAAAAGTAGGATCTTTTTTCTAACATCTTGCATAACACGAAATGTTTGATAAAGAACCAAAAAGTAGCAAAACTCATGCATTTAGGCTTAAAAAGCTAGCTGCTTGATTGTCCAATTCTAAATAAAACTTTCTTTTAGCAAAAAACATGCATCAGGCTTGGCCATTGGAGGACAGCCAAAGCTCTTGCTCCTCCCCAGGCTCTCCTCAAATGCTGGATGGGAGCTACAGATTGCTTTCCTAAATTGTTCTAAAAATCAAATTGCTCTCCTTGAAATCAATTTTCCTCCGTTTCCATTTTTGTTTACCTTCAAATAGCTCACATGGAAATTACTAGGAGAGTCGTTTACTGCTCCCCTGCTAAAAGTCTATTGACTAGACCGGATGCATACTTAGATAATTTTTTTGCAACTCAAAACAATTCTTTCCTTTGAAAGTTCAATTTACATGTGTTTAATTTTAAAGAGAAATGCCAGCAAGAAAGGGTGGTTGCTTAATTTTCTCTACCTAAATATGTGGACAGAAATTTACCCAGTAGGATATTTGAAAGACAAAATTGAGGTAAAAGGAGACCAAATAAGTTAACATAAAGTCAATAAGGATGTGTCTCTCTACCCAGAATATGTTGTACACCTCTGTAGGAAAGAAGGATTTCAAAGCCAGGGTTATGTTATCTGGGGTCAGTTCCCCCCATAAGATACAATCCACTATACCAGCATCCTCTGGGACTACCTATGCCAAAAAATCATTGTATACCCCAAATTAAAAGACGCACACCCAAAACCTTTAGGCTTGAAAGCAGAGCCTCGGAGCACTAGTGTAATGTAAATAAGACCTTGTCAAGAGGGGAACTAAGAAGAGAGCATTAGAAAAATTCCTCTTACAGTTATAAATGAAATAAACTTCAACAATAAAAATCAAGGATTGTTTCATCGTTTATGAATGATTGATATATTGTATTTGAATGATATTATGGTAGGGGATGGAACTGTCAAATTCCCTTTACATCTTTATCATATTCAATGTTTAACAGAGAAGCTACTCTAAAATTGACCAAAAAATCATTAAATTGTGATATTCTAGGAGAGCTGAGTAAAGTAATAAGGAGGTCTACTAAAAAATCACAAAAAGTTGGCTGGCCCTTTCAATACCACATCATCAGCATGGGTAATCAAAACCTGGGTTGAACCCCCCCCCCCCCTCTTTCATCCTCCTCCTCCCCGGCCCACCTTAAAAGACTCTCACCAGGCCAGGCAAACTCATAGCTTCGACACTACCCTTTTTAAGTGAGAGAAGTGGTGCTTTCTGTAATGCCAGCCTTCAATGCAAAATGCTTGTCTTAAAAAACCCTTTGTTTGATTACCTTAAAATTGATTTGTAAGATGCTTGTAAATCAGCTAGATTTCTTTGCGCCAAGATTTTTTCATTTTCCAAACTCCCAGCATCAACTCTAAGTTTCTTTACCATTTCATCTCGCTTACTGATCTCATGTTTTGCATTGTTAAGCATGTGCATAGTTTCTGACATTGTTGCATCTTTGGACTTCTCCTGTGATGAATGCTTCTCGACCCTACAAAGAAACAACACATTCTGCTTAAAATCGATTGAAATACCTTTCCACAACAAGCGACAGAATTGAAAAGAACGATTAATCCCAAATGCTTATTGGTACTTACATCATGTGTTTTTTAAAATTACGAAAGGTCATGTTATTACCTATTCTCGCTGCAATTTCGTCGCCATATGATTAAATGTACGAAGAAAATGTACGTTGAGTCTATTTGCTAATATGAATATTAGTGCGATTGTCTTGATATTTGAAAACAACATTCTTCTTATATTCAGTTGGTTTCGACATAAATAACAAAAATATTAGCCTGAAATGGAAAATTAGGCAATGCTGCAAAGGATAATATTCTGAACTGCATCTCTAATTTGAACCACACCCATCTATTGTGGTACGAATAATGAACAACAGTATCAATCTGAAGATAATATTTGTACCTATTCTCAAGGTCCTGGAGCTGCTTCGTGTATTCCTCTAGCATTTTCTGCGCCTTTGCTTCTCTTTCCAATGCCACATTCAGGTCATCACAAAGTGCATCGTACCTTTCAGCATCAACCATGTTAATCATCCTTGCCTTCATCTTGTCCAGCTGTCGCTGCATGGCACTTCCTTCCTCTGCCAAGTTAGTCTTATGCTGTCGTTCAGATCTGAGGAAGTTTTCCAAGTTGTTTCTTTCTTCATTGAGTCTCATAAGATTATGTCTGAAAGACTTTCTTTCGATTTCAGCTGCATGCAGACGCTCGATAAATGCCAGCAATTGATTCTTCATCGTATCCACAAGAGACTACAAAGTGACAATGACGTTGGCATGCAAAACGGTAATATTTGAGTTAATATTGTATTGGAAATAACCTAGATACAATCTTAATAATTTAAAGCCAATTTTTATATAGGAATATTATTCACCAAAAATACACACTTTTTATTATAAGAATGTAGTCTATAAAAATATTGAGGCTCAAAAGAACTGGAATTTAAGAATCATTTAAGAAGAATGCACGGCTCAAGCTTCAACGAGAAACAGTTTTTTTGTTTATTTGAGTTTTTTTTGGAAAGCAAATCAAATGTGAGTTTCACGATATATACTTTAAAATAGACTTATCTGAAATAGACGTAGATGGAATCGATCTACTAGTTTTGGAGTCGATCAACATACAAACGAAAAAGCCGCCATTGTGTAGACAGAAGGAGTTCGTTTTCTCTCTTGGACTCCAGTGGTAATTTTTCTTTAGGCACGCGACACTGATTGGTCAACTATACCGGTCTTGTGCTTGCGTTTTTTTGATTGGCCTATTTCGATCCACAATTGGGTATATATTTTTCATCGTGTTCTTTCGGACCCTTATTCTGACGTTTTATGCTCTGAGGAGTGTCAGACGAAAAAGCTTTTAGCCAATATGTTGTAAATGTTTTCTTTTGTCAAAGCCATTTTCAAGTTCTGTACCGCCAGAAAATTGTACACATACAATCCTTGTCAATATTAGTTGGAACACCAAATATTCACAGCCAAAAGTTGAAACCCCTTGGTTGAAACCTCTCCAAATCATCGACACTGTTGCTGGATTCTTCCCTCTCACCTCCCCTTACAATGTTGAGTCTATTATTTGTACTTTTTATGCGTCCAGCAGTCCTAGTTAGATTTTTACCGACAATATTGATACTGACAACATTGTAATGGGGGGAGGGGGGTTTAGATGAGAAACAACATTGAAAATGGGGAGATTTTGTGTACCGTAAATTCTTGAATTAGCCCCCCTGGGTGCTTATTTATTTTTGATATTTTTGAATGGGGGCTTATTCGAGGGGGGCTTATTCGAGAGGGGCTTATACGAAAGGGGCCTTATACGAGGGGGGCTTATAAAATTATTGTAGACATTAAGAAGACATTATCAAAAGACCTCGTTTATTTTAGTATAAATTTCTGTATGTTTAATTAATTACTAATTAATTCTGTATAAATTTAATTAATTACTACCAAAAGTATGAATTTCATCCATGAATGGCAAAAATCATCCAATTGGGGGGTGCAATTTGAGAATTTACGGTAACAGGTGGGGCTTATTCGAGGGGGGGGGCTTATTGAGAATTGTGGTTCTAGGGTGGGGCTATTCGAGGGCGCTTTTCGAGGGGGGAGGGGGGGGGGGCGGGGGGGGCGGCGGTGGGCAAATTCGAGGATTTACGGTATCTGTGGGTGTTCAACAATTAAGGCAAAGATTGTAGATACTGTTAGCACTAATAACTATATCTATGAAAGTCAGCAATACAAACCAATGAAGATGGGTAAGGTTCCTTCTTCCAATGGTCTTTGCCTCTGGCCAGGGCTCTTCTTAAACCTGTTCGAAGTTGGCTTGCCAGTGAGTCGGAGGACTCATAAGTTGATATCTTCGGCTCATAAACTGACGATGGGAATTCTTTGTGAAGGCCCTTAAACAGTTTCCTGAAAGCCTTCTTTGCTTCATCAGCAATACTGCTGACAGCTAGAGGTCTCTTGCTGTAGTCGTTTGTTTCCTCTTCATCATCTGATAATCAAAGCAGCAATGCAGAGAACACTTGAGATAACATCAATTTAGATTTCATACATGTAGATAACATCAGAAACTATGTGCTATACATCAAAAGTAGCCCGTGATCACTTATGCGAAATCTTACATCGCTAGATATAACGATATTTTCAATAAAGAAGAGATTTGTTCTTTCAAAAAAGCTTCTTGTATTCTCTATTGTTTTGCTTTACGCCATAGTAGCGCCAAGGGGTATGAAGGGCAAAAATTATTAAAATATACTGGGTAAGGATAGGGCATTTTCTAAGAATTGCCTAGGGGAAATAATACCTTGTTCTAAAACTATGCAGAAGGGCGTGGAAATGATACAAGAAAACTTCTCTTGGACAACCACAACTCGTGGTAAGACGTGTCATGTTTCGCAACTTTGGTAAGGTGGACTATGAGAAACAGGGTTGTCACTGGACTTTCAGTTCACTTACAATGAAACTAAAGCAGTTTACAAAGAATTTCTAAAAGCTGGGTTGTTCTTAGTTCTAATTAAAACCCGGAAAGTAATAGCTGGGCTAAGTACCAACCATAAAAATATTCCCGATCTGCACCATGAGCGACATGTCTGAAATCAGGTACCTTCCCTATCTCTTCAGTGAGATTTTTCGTTGAATGGATAACAACGGAAGCCAAACTTTCACTAGTGAGTGATTGCAAGCAAGATGTTGAACAAGGCTTTCTTGGAAATTGTTGATGGTGTATTCCTGTTAAAAAGACATCGGTTAGAATTGAGAAAAAATAGAAAAAGCAACATTAGTTTTACATTAGCACTTGATTGCAATCTAAGTAAATAGAAAGTTAGCTAAAGGTTTGGTAAAAGGGAATTCAGGATTTCGAAAGAAATATGATCTGGATAGGGCATAACAGTATTAGTGTGACGTCATAAAAAGTTATTCCTTCGTAAAATTTTTGACTTTTGACTAAATAACAGAAAGATGACCATATCTTTATGAATACAAAACTTTTGTGTTAAATGTGTTAAAAATCGAGTGAGGTCTTTGCGAGGAAAGATCTTAGGATGGGTAACTGTTGACAGTAATTTTGGCTTGGTTCAATAGAACAGAGACTTAAGTACCGTAAATCCTCGAATTAGCCCCCTGTCGTTCTAGGGTAGGGGCTTATTCAAGGGGGGGGGGGCAATTCGAGGATTTACGGTACAGTGCAACAGTTTTCACTGCTTTTGCTTATTTTCCGGTATTTCATGAGGCACTTTCAAGCCTTCAAAAAGTCTAAAAGTCAAAAAGTAGAGAAATATATTTTTGTGACGTCATCACTTAAGCGCTCTTTTGGAAGATGACACATTTGCCACGCTTTACACCATATTACATAATCTATTCATAACTTGTCTCTGCAATTTAAACATGGTCCAACTAATATGTCACTCTCCAATTTAAAATAAGGGCACAATGGCAATTTTAATTTGCTTGGACGGTGGTAGTTTCTGGGGGGGGGGTCCAGAAAGGCCATGGCCTAGGCCCCACGCTTATGGTAGCGAGTGGGCTCCGCTCCACCGGTATCCCATTTCAGCAATTTATAGACCATTTCATAATTATTGACAACACCATATAAATTTAAATGTAAACTAATAATTAAGTGGCAATGCGCACAGATACTATCAAAAATGGTTTCTCAAAGCTAAAGTTTAACTTTAGGTTTAGCAAAGACGTAGGTCAGATTTTTGAATAAATAACCTTACCTTTAAATTTCACACCCTTTCTTCGTTTGCTCGATAAAAGTATTACAAAATTATTGTTCATCTCAGAGGACGATTGACCCACTTTCAGATATGGTCTCGCACAAATAGCATGATGACAAAATCTGTTTATAGCAAGTATGGCAATCACCCCTTTCCTAAACTTGAGAATGCCAGGAAGCTTTTTCTGGTTCGTGCTTGCTTTTGGTCGAATATTTCCATTTGCTTCGTCCATTTCGGATCTCAATATCTCGACAAGATCAATAATTTGATGCTTCAAATATGCAGCCTCTTTAACCATCTTCTCCATTAAACTCTTCTGGACATTTGAGTTGTAAAGCTGTGATACGACATACACAAACGACCCTGATATCAAGGCATTTGCCAGCAAGAGGCAACCCTTTTCATGCGCAAATGCTTTTAATACTTTCTGCAGCTTCGAGTTCTCTAATTCCATTTCTTCTTTGGATCGTACTGTTTTATCAAGTTTTGTGGAAATCTCATTCAAGGTAGCCTTTGACTTCTAAAAATGGAGATTAAATGCAGTTCATACATAATATTTCATAGAAACAAAGCTAGTTTACACAACCGTGAATTGAAAACATTTGAAAATTGGTATAATTCATGCAAATATTTTGTAATTTTTGTAAATTTTTATGTAATTTGTAATTTTTGTAAATGTTGCTACCTAGCATCCGAAGGTAGATTTTAGGACACTGTGAAGCTATGCTTATCAAGCAGTGTCCTGGTCCTTCCTCTCGATGTGACCACACCTCGTGATTCCTCCGCCTGGAATTACAGTGAGCTGGCAACTCTCCTCACTTTGGGTAAAAGTTTGGTCATGCCAGGGACTCAAACCACGAACCCTTGGGTCTGTAGTCAGCGCCTTTAACAACTGAGCCATCCTCGTACATAATATTTCAAACTTTTCAACATATTTCAAACTCTTAACTGAGGAACTATAACTTTTTTAAAATGTGATATAGTACGAAAATGTAAGAAAAATATCCACGCTTCATAAATTAGATAAGAAGAACAAATGAATTAAAGAAAATCAAAGTCGGTGATCAATCGACCATTAAAAAACTGACCCATTATTTTTCATGAATATAATCGATTTGATCGTTATAAGAATTAAAAGGGTCCTTCTCCATAAAGGTCAAGAAACAGTCAGCAAATAAAACTCGTGTTGATGAAACATTGCTGATTTTCGACTGAAATTCCTAGGAGCATAAAACGTCAGATAATACTTTAAAACCAGACAGAAATTTATATTCAGGTTTGGATAGAAAGTAACGTATAAAAAATAGCGCATTTGATTGGTTCCATGTTTTACACCAGCTATCATCCGCTAACCCCTTACGTCACCACACGTAACTGAAGAGTCAAGTCTTTTTTGAGACGCCTATTTCTATCTTTGCATCCACGCTTTTGTAAAACTTTTGAATAAAAAGATGACTGCAATGAGTATGAATTTGTCCTTTTCTCTACAATGTCTTTGACCACTTTCCCACAATTTTCAACATTAGGAGCAATTTCCTGGGGCTCTTTTTGAGTAAATCACACAGCGTCATTCTTTATCTCCGATTTCTATCAAATTTCTCTGCATTAGAGATCTTTCTGCTATACCTACAATCCTTGCCAAAAATAACTGGAACGCCTTCTCATTGCAGCATGCAAATAAACAAATCAAGTCTAAAACTACCTCACCAAAATATCACTGCCGCTTCAAAAATTTCGACCCTCTCCCCCCGTACAATGTTGATTTATTTTCTCAATACTTTCATACAGCTTTCAGTGAAGAAATTTTCACCTTCAGGATCAAAACAGCCCGATTGAGCAACATTGTAATGGGGGTAGGGGGGGGGGGATTTTAAGAACGCTTCAGCTTTGCACAAGTGTTCCAACAATTTTGGCAAGAATTGTAGCAATGCATATATCTTTATTCTAACTCTACATTTCTCAAAACACGTCAGCACTTTTCTTGAATCATATAACAAAATCGAGTTTTAAACAAAAAAACTCACATCTGTTTTTGATTGAGTGTCTTCAATGATCCTCTTGTAATGTTCCTCTAACTCGGCCTTCATTCTCTTCCATTCAGCTTCTTTCTCTTTATTTCTTTTAGAAGCCTTAGAATGATGCAAATTAAAAACATCAAGGTCATATAATACAAATTAAAAGACTTGTCAACTAATGAAAATCGGCTTCTGCGTTGCTATAGTTTGGTGTAATCTTTCCTTGCTAATTTGTTCAGCCCCTATGAACTACAGTAAAACCCCGCAAACAAGAACATAGGAAAATAAGAACCTTCAGATTGATTTTATGGAAAATAAGACCCAAAGAGAAGAACCAAAAACAGACTGATTTCTTTCCATGTTCTTATGAGATTGTATATCATATTGAATAAATCATGAAATTCTCAAAGTCAGAAAGTATAGTTTTCAAGTCGTCATTGTGGTTTGATTAATTGATATTCAGAGCCATGGCATTTTATTTTCATTTTTTCATATTGTGATTGAAATTGGTTTGTCCCCAACAAAATAACATATCCTCTACAATTTAAAATTCAGTCAGGCCATTCTCAAATCTAGTTACTTTTATCTTGTGCATCATAGTTGTTAGTGTCCTTGCGATAAGAACCACACCCTGAAAATATCATGAGTACCACATTTATAAGAACCTAGTCAGTCTGTTCTTTAGAAAAGTAGGTTCTTGTTTGCGCGGTTTTACTGTACTGCAATTGGGGAAAACAAGGGTGGTTCAAAAAACCCAAGACATTGCGTCGAAGCAAAGAATATAACTGAAAGAGTATATCTTTTTGCATTCTTCATTCCGTTTTATGACCTCAGCATAGACCCTAAATCTATACCAAAATGGAAATATAATAAGATTGACGTTGAATTCAATAGAATCAGGCAAAGGTGTTCCGTATACAGCACGACTAGAGATCTAATACCATAACGCAGACAAGACGAGATCGATAAAAAAGTAAACAGTCCTCTGCTCGCATTGTGTGCTCTTCTGTTCGAATAATGCTTTACACTGACATATGTGTCGTTGAAGGATTAAATATCTTACAGCTACGCTAGAGTAAACGCTAGAGTTCTGTTGAATTTCATTCATTCTTCAGAATATATAAGATTAACCAGATGTCTTGATAACCAGATGAATTTTAAACATTGTTTGATATCATTAAATGTATATACCTTCTTCACTATATCATTGTACGCATGCGTTAATTTTTCATGATCATCCTTGCATTCTTTCAAATGTCCCTCAAGTTTATCGTTCTAGAAATAGGAGATAACACTAATCAACCAGCGCAGTATTTCTCAGCTACAATGCCACAGTTAAGCCCAATCTCCAGTGAGAAAAAATACTGCGAAATGCGAAAAAGTTCGCGCGCAATACGTCTTAGGCATGCGCATTAATCTTTTGCTGGGATTTCTCGCGAAGAATTTCTATGCGAAAAAAGTTAAAATGAGTTTCGCTTTTCGCTTGCGAAATCCTTCAACAGCCAATCATATTCCGTATTCCTTTGTCACGCTTCCAAACTTTACATTCCAATGTCGTGAGGTCAACAAAAGCATTCAAAGGAATTTGTCGCGTGAAGTATTTCGCAGCGAAATTTCGCAAGACTTTTTCTCACTGGAGATTGGGCTTTAATGAGAATAGTGTACCTCATCAAAAACCTATTTTTAGAATTCTTTAGTTTTGTCCACACAATTTGAAAGAAGGGCATAAAATGCATTTATGGTGCAAAATCAGCCAAAAATGTCCAAAACTAGGGAGAAGTGGGCCACGAAAGACATCAAGCTTGCTAACGGATTACTGTAATTCTGGCCTGTTTCATGAATTTTCGAACCTAGATCAAATAACAGAGGCTTAATGAGGCAAGAGCCTTTGTTCAAGTGGCCATATCTCAACCAATTTGTAACAAATTTAACTGATTTCGCATATTTAGAAGTGTTTCACGATGATCCTTCGGAAAAAAGAGTCAAAATTGAAAACTTCCAAGAATGCGCACAGGGTCCATACACAAAATGCTTTGTGAAATTTTGATTTGCTGATATTGAAGTTCCCATCATCCTTCTAGAAAGTGACATGCCCAGCCTTCATAAACTGGTAGATAACGGCAATGGTAAAAACAGAAAGCTCTATGATCTTTCAGCGTGTGTTCTCTCCACCGTCATTTAGTAGCCCTTGTTCCCCTCCACGCATTTATGGCAATGATAATGTATCGTAATTTCTGCCTTAAGGAAAAAGGGCCTTCTGGAGTTTAATGAAAGACAACCAGGAGTTTCTAGAAACCTTCAGTTAGGTTGGCACAACTGTTGTACCGAATGCCAATGTTATCAAAGGTTTGAAGAAGTACATATGTAGGCTGTGTGGGGTAAACGACTTTTTCGAAGAACAAAAGACAAGAAAACTGCAGATCTATCTCCATGCCTCCATGCAGTTTCAACATTAGGAAGCACATCCAACGCTCCAACTATATTGCAAGCCTTTGGAGACCAGATAAAAGAGCCATATCCAGAAAAAAAAGAAAATTGATTCAGTTAGATTGTTGTCAAAAAAGTTTAGATGATGAAGATGATACGGACACTGAACAACTCAGTGACAGAGCAGATTAAGGATAATGTTAACGACACGGAAGCTTATGACTTTGAATTTATTATCTGTACAATAGAAGCTAAAGTAAGTCTGTTATGGCTTCAGCTTAGAACGCTGTGAGACAAATCACAGATCAAGCTGGATTATCTAATTTTTTTTTCTCAAACCAAATGACCCTAAAATTAAACCCTCTCCCTAAGACAAGAGCACCAGTGCTGACAGCAGCGCTACTGTTTGTCGACTGGAGGTGATATTTCTCATTGCTAAACATGCATGAGAATACAACTTGATCTATTCATAGGACATTCAGAGGCTTTATCCCAATTTTTGGACAAAGCCCCCATATCTCGGAAAAGCATCCTCTCCCACCCAATCAACTTTTAGTTTTGAATTCTACACCAAAAACTAGAAAAGTCTAAAAAAATTTGGTTTGGTAAAGTCCCTCCTTGGGTGGCCATTGTTAGCTTTTTCAAAGGCTGCATCCCAGTTTTTGAACAAAACCCCCTGAATCTCGGAAAAGCGTCCTCTCCCGCCCATCAACATCCAGATTCGAATTGTAAGCCAAAAACTGATCTCGAAAGATCTAGAAAAGGTTGGTCTGGTAAAGTCCTTCATCGGGTGGCAATGCCCCCCCCCCTTTGTGCCTCTGGACTACAAATATAAATGAAATTTATGTATGTAGGTATAAATGTATATAGAAAGAGTTGCATGCTTCTGTAGTCATGTCTTTGGAATTGAGGATATTATCTAGTTTGATATAATGATAATTGTTTACTGGTCTGCCATCTTTGTTTTATTGGCGAAGAAGTGTTCGCTTTAAGTTGGTACAGAGTGATAGAACAGGATGGTTCTCAGTTCCAACTCGGAGTTTCAAACTCAATATGGTAATCAGGCAAATGTTTAAGGAAATAATTGTTTAAAAATGAACCAAGATTTTGAAATAAGTACTGCAAAATAAAAAAAAATGACCATTTTTAACTGGGCAGCTCATCTAACGATTGATGATAAATTAATTTTTTTCTCACTCTCTCCTCCGCAACTTTCAAGGCGGAAATCTTCGCATCTAGCTGCTCTTCTATCATTTGACTCAATTCTGTCGCTGAAAATGACGTCATGACGTTTTCTCGTCTTGACTGCAGGAATGGACGCCCAGTGATGAGATGCTGATAAATTCCATAAAGGGACACCTCGTGAGTCTGTGAGAAAACAAAAAGAATAGTCAAGAGGTATTTCATATGTAATTTCATATAATTTTACGTCATTAGCGGCCATATAAATCAATCTTTTACGATAATTTCAGAGCTCTCGGAAACTATCTCGTAATATAAAATCTTAAATTTGAAATAATCCAGATTTCCCAGTAATAAAGGACTGTATCTGGAGACCTTTGTGCAAAAACATTGTTCTTTGTACCTGTTCTATTTTATTTCAACCTTGAAAAAAACTTTTCAAGGTTTTCTAAACTTCTCATAGAAAAAATTTGGCTATGGAAAGTGACATAAAATTATTGTGCATTAACCTGCTGACAATGGAATCCTATAAAAGCAATAACTGTTTATGAGAAAAAGAAATTATGAAAGCAAAGGAAATTCATTAAGAAGGTGGAAAGTGAGATACACACCTCTTGGGTTCTTGTTAAGGTTTCCTGAAGATCTTCCATCTAGAATGACACTCTTGCAGTTAAAAAGATTGAAAAAGTGTGTATTTACATTAGGTGCTAGAAACGAGAAGATCAGTTTCCTGAAAATTATGGCTGCATCCAATTAGATTACTTACGTGAAAATCTGTTTGCCAAATCCATTGTGGGCATTAATAACAGTTGGCAAAACCCTTGAACAATAAAACTATTTGTTCTGTTTGAATTTCATTTGTTTGCAGTAGGTATGAGACTTGAAAACTTTGAAAACTTCGACAATACCTGGAGGTATAATTGATGATATCTGTCTTTCTGATCCCCGAACTTTTTAACAATCTTACTCGAATCATCTTGGAACTTTGCCAATTCATTCTCGAGTTTCAGACACTCAGCTTTGTAGCGTGCCGATTCTAAATGTGAGCTCTTCAATCCATTTTGAGACTCCTGTCGTCAGAAAAAAACATGTCTTCAGTCCAGAACTTTAAGACTGACAAGCATTGAAGTTTAATGAGCAATAAAAACTTCCAAATATGTGAAAGACCTTAACCTTCAATTTTACAAACACAAAAGTCCAAAAATTACATTTGTAAGAAAGAATAAAATTCGAGTTAACACGTGGTTAAATTTCCAGCTAATTGTAGTTTGAATTTTCACTTGATAGGTGCGGCCAATCGAATGATAATATCAGGCTAGAATAATATGACATATTATGACAGTCTAAGTGACATTGAGAAACCATAAACAAAACAAATAATATGACACTGCTTTCACTCAAAAATATACATCATATTTTGCCACAATGCCTTGCTATAAAAATATAAGACTAAATGTGAAATTTTGCATTAATTGATTCATACACGAGCACTAGGCTTCAGTTTTAGAGAGAGAAAATAGCTGATCACAAAAACACAAAGATAGAATTTAATGACACCAAGGACAGCCTTAGGCACCAAGATGTAATAAATCCAAGGAAAGAGCTTCATTTTCCAGACGTATTACCAAATATTGAAGAGAATACCAGAAACCGGATTAAAGGTCATTCTCTCTCTGAGATTGTTAGGAGTAACAATTGTTGGGAACGAATGCCACAACAATTTTTTTGGGAACGTGCACTCAACAGTTCTGCTAATTGCTGATTATGTAAGTCTGCTAATGACTTTAGTAATTAGTAGCTAGTCTAGGACGCGTAGTTAGTATAGATTGATTGCTGCTCTATTTCTAGCTGCCTAAGGATAGCGTAGAAGCTTCTAGAAAGTTCTAACGATGGCTGAGACAGAACTTCTTTATCACGCGTCACGTAGAGTTCATAGGTGTTTTTAGTTTCGCAGTGAACAAGTCGCTAGATTCTCAAATCACAGCAAAAATTGCATACCTCTAATGCTTTGTCCTTGTCCCTGAGCTTCTGCTTCAACCGTTGGCAATCATTTGTCGATTGGTCGTTTGTCTTTTTTAGTGTATCCAGCTGAAATGCGGGGAATGGGGTGGAAAGAAAACTGTGTGAAATCAAAACGACAAGCGAGAGCAGGGCGGGATCAAGGGGACGGTTAAGTTTTGCTTGGGCCACCAGGAACCCCGTTTGGGGCTTACCTCCGTCAAAGGGAATACGCCCCCCTCCCCTGAAGTCTGAAATTATAACCCGACCTTTCAGAAGTTAGCAGAAGGTCATTTGGTGAAACACATTTAAAATCATCCGATAAGCAACCAAGGTAGCTTCCGTTTGAAAAATTTACTTCCAATGTTACTTGTAGCAAAATTCCTAACGGGGTTCTATAGCCAGACATGGGGGAGGGGGAGAACAAAGATGAAACAAGTCGAGTTCTCACCCTGGTGTTGGCATCCATGAGCCTCGTTTGGTAATCTCTCAACATGTGTCGGAGGTCTTCTAGCAAAATGCTCCAAGTGGTTTTTTTCTTCTTGCGTTTTTCCACTGTGAACACAAGAACAACTATAAAAAGACAGGCCTTTGAAAAAGCGAAGGTCGTAGCTTTTCGATTTTAATCTAAAATGATGTATGGCCTGAATCACAACTTTTTTGTTGATGACTTTTTCGGGAAAGTTCTGGCTTTTTTTATTGCAGCGATAATTTTAGTAAATGAAAAATGACAAAGATTATTAGCACTATATAGACAGATTAATTTTTTGGAGATCATTGCCATGGCGAAACTAGCAAATAATTGAAGAGCTAACCGAAGAGGCTTGGAAAATCGTTATTTCCAAAGAAATTGAGCTAATTAATCAATGTGTATCTTTACCTGTCTTCTCTGTGTCATTGGCATTTTCGAATCTAAAGTTATCCAAAATCACTTCCAACTCCTTCAAATTACTTCCGTACGCTGATTCGACGCTAGTTTGGTGATTTTTGGCCTTGAAATGAAATCATCGATATAAAAGATTAATAATTGAGTTTATAAAGCAACATGAAGCAATCACGCGCCTTAAAGGCGCTGTATCCCCCCGATGCATTTCGATAGCCATTTAAATTTCCTATTGGTTGGACTATACAATAGACCTATTGTTAATTATCCAATCAGGCTGATTCTCAATGTTTTCTCAGTCAAAAACGTGCCACAGAATGAATTGTCAACTTTGAACGGTTGACAGACGGGACATAGTGCCTTTAAAGGCCGATTTCCACTAGACGAATTCTCTCGCGCGAATCGAATAAATGTTTGAAGCGATAGAGTAGGACCGTGATCTACTTTCTGCGAATCGAACTTTTTCTCTGCAAATTCTGAGAACATTACACCACGCATGCTCACATTGGCAAAAATTCGATTCGCGCGAAAGAATTCGCCTAGTGGAAATCGGCCTTAAGTATGTCAAAGATGAATAAATGGCGTGAGCAAGTCTGCAAACGTGAAAGAGAAATAGCAAATAGCTCAATCAAACAATCTAAAAATGTAATGTAAGCAAGACAATTGTGAAATAAGTTGTCACATTAGTGTGTAGACCAGTTCGATCCTGATTTGTTTCACCGACTTGCACGCTTTACCAAAAGGAGATCATCAAAACACTAGTCACATGAAGTACAACATAATGGGATCAAGTTTGAAACTCAGAGTTGCAACTTAGAAACGTCCTGTTCTATACAACAAGGTGAATACAGCTTCACCTACTCGACAACGAGCTATATTGGAAGATAAATAAACAATTATCTTTATCAGAACTTTAGAGAAGAGAATATTCTCAGCTTCAGAGACCTACTCACAACTCTCTCTAGGTATAAATATATTTAAAGTTGCCTAAAAATGAAACTCGGAGATGCAACTTAGAACGGTCCTGTTCTTCACACCAAAGCTGGTAAAGCTCTTGTCTTATCAGCATCGAGCAGTCTGCAAACAACCGGCTAAAGGCAATCGACAGTTACGAAAGTGGCTTTAGCATTCCTTTATTTAGCTCTTGGCCAATCATAAGCGTCTTAGTGGTATCATGCTTTTTGATTGGTCACTTGTTGATTGACAGATTGTCAACTTCATCTTGTCGCTGATTTATGAAGCATTTAGAGTTTAAGCCATATGATGTTGGCAATAAGCGTGAAACCCCGAGTAGCAACTAAGAACTGTCCTGTTCTATCCAACAATGTAAACAGCAATGTTAATTGAGGTTTGAAGCTTTGACAGTTTTCTAAAGGCAATCTTATTCCTCCTTGTATAACAGTGCCATATTACTGCTGTTACCAAAGCTGGAGTACAACAGAAACATTGAAATTATCTTTGCAATAAAGTTGTCAAGTGATGACGTCACAAAAATCTATTGTCAAAATTTTTGAGATTTTTTCCCATAACCTGAAAGAGCATCATGAAATACCTCTAAATCTGCAAAATCAGGTAAAGGTATTACGAATTGGCTGAGATATATCACCAGATTAGCACAAGCTCTGGCCCCATCAAACCTCTGTAATTTGATTTCAGTTCATAACTTTATTAACTGAGCCAAAATAACAGTAATCCGTTAGCAAACTTCAAATCTTCTATTGGCCATAGCTCACCCAATTTTTGACAAATTAAACTGATTTTGCATATATGGAACTATTTTATGGTGTTCTTTCATGTTATGTGGTCAAAATTCGAAAATTCTAAAAATAATTTTTGTGACGTCACACGTGAGACCTCTATACCTCTGTTAATTCGCTTCGTAAAGAATTGAAATTCGTCTGATGTACATCAAGTTGGTCAGACAATAGTTTTTCTCTTTCGAACTTCTCTTTCAGTTCTCTCTGTAGTTCGTTCAGCTCTATTGAGTACTGCTGATCTTTTCGTTCCATTAATTTCTTCAGCTCACTACAAGCTTCCGACTGCTGGTCCAAGGCATTTTGCAGTTCTCTACAAAAAGAAAAAACAGTGAATAAGTGATAAAATCTTAGACTTTTTGACAGGGACGGACACTTGGTCAAATATCGGGGGGGGGGGGAAAGCCTATTGTTTTGATAAGATGCCGTCACGTTTTCCCATTGTTTTAGAAAAAAGACCATTGGGAGGGGGGGGAGTAGATGTTACCTTACAAGTTAAAATTCCGGCGCCCTTTGCTGACAATCATCTATAAATTCAGACAAGCTATACACCAAGGCGTTAATGGCTACGTCAGTTTGAAGTTCAGATTTTCGATATAGACCACATATCAGTAAAAAGAAATTTCATCAATTCAAGAAGAAAACTGAGTTTGCCAACGATTTGTGTAGAACGGTGCTTTGCAGACAAGATTTGCAACATTTAGAAATGGCTTGAGAAAAGCATTACGATGTTTGTCTGACATTCTTTAGTGTATAAACGTCAGAATAAGGGTTCGAAATGATCAAGAAAGAAAATATAAATATACCCAGTTGTGGATCGAAAAAGGCCAATCAGAAAAACGCAAGCACATGACCGGCATTGTTGACCAATCAGTACCGCGAGCCTATAGGAAAATCACCACTGGGATCCAAGAGAAAAAATGAACTCCTTTCGTCTACACAATGACGCATTTTCGTTTGTTTGTAGATCGATTCAAAAACTGCTAGTAGATGAAAATATGTTTTTCTGATTGGCCTACTTCGCTTCAGGACTGGGTATATATTTTCTTTCTTGATCTTTTCGATCTTTTCTCAGTCGTTTTATCCTCTGAGGAGTGTCAGCCGATAAGCTTAAATAAAGTTGTAAATGCTTTTTCAAAGCCTTTTCCAAATTTTGTACCGCCAAAAACTGCAGTATGTGAGCCTCCGACTTCCTTACCCTAGAAAATCTTCAAAAACTCATCCCTTTTCACTTCAACACATCACAACACCACAAAAATATTTTAAAAGTAGATATCTTGTAACCTGATAGATATAATGCCTGCAATGCACCATGGGAGAACGATGTATTTGAGTATATCCTCTCGGGAATTATTCATCAACACAGTCTCGTGGCTTTTCATTCGAAAATGAAAGCTGGAAAATCGATTGACAGGGAATTGCAAAATAAAGTAAAGCCGTACTTGTAATCCCTGGCATAATTTTCAAGATCCTGCCTGCAGTCTTTGAGCGATGCTTCACTGCCTTCTAGGTCTCGGATGCGAACCTTAAAGATAAGTATTGTACAGAGTTAAATAACAAGTACAAAAATAAGTACAGGGTTAACAATAGGAAAACTCTTTTCTACAATTCATTATGCATACGGTGAATCAGTGAAACCAGTAGCGGAGACCTGGGGGCGAGGGGGTTGGGGCAATCTCCCTAATATTCTAGAGGGCTATGGTCTTTTGTGCTAAAACAATGGGAAAATGTGACGTCATCTTATCAAAACACAGAGGGGAGCGAGTTGCGTTCGCGGCCTGATTTTAAATCTCTCAAAGCTTCAGCGAAAACTTCAGCGAATTCGTCAGCAATTGGAATGTGTTTTGTTCTTTCCGGACACCGGCGAATTCGCTAGTGAAGTAAGAGTGGAAAGGAGTTCAACTGCCTAGCGAAATACAGCTTCCCTCTGAATGGAAACACACTCGGCGAATTCGCTGACGAAATCAGTGAAGAATTCGCTCAAGTGGAAAGCGGCCTAGGCCCTATCGCAAGTTTAGAATTCAGAAATCGCAGAGATAGTTCTTCAACACTATCCAAAAACAATATTCATTACACAAGAGAGAGGTAGTTTTCCCATAGGGCCTAGGCCATACTAATCCATTCATTCAGATTTGACAAGGAATGATTATTAGTACTTACCTGGAGCAGCTCAAAATTAAACTTTGTTTCGAGATGGGCGGTTCGTTCGGACTCAATCATGCCTTCTAAATGCTTCAACTTCTCCTTAGATTTCTAAAAAAAATATTACATCGTAGCAATTTTAAATAGACGTTCTCTAAGGAGACATTTACATTTAGTCATCCCGGTTAGTTTTCAACCCGACAATAAGAAATTTGGGTTCTGGTGATCTAGAGAAATTTTCAAACAGGTCATTCTTGGCACCCTTTCTAAACCCGGGTTGAAATTTTCCCCATTGGCCGAAAAAAAATGTGAATAAAAAGATCAAAAATTTTAGAATGTTAGTCTTTTGACCATATAACGTGAAAGAACACAAAGAAAGGTCTCAAACTAAGAAAATTTAATTACAGATATTCAAAATTGGATGAGATATGACCAATAACAGATTAGACGTTTGGTAACGGATTACTGATATTCTCGGGTCATAAAGTTATGAATGGAAACCAAATAACATTGATCGAGGAAAGACTCTGTGCTTATTTGGCTGATTTCGTAACTTTAAAGGTATGTTATGATGCCCTTTAAGGTTATACGATCCACATTAAAAAATTCTAAATATTCACGTGACGTCACCACGCAGGATCTTTACAGGAAATCTAGCGTTACCACTTAGGCTACTGTAAAAATCGAAAATGTACTTCAATCATTTGTTGGAGATCTACTTCAAGAAACAACAGTTGTATTCATAAATAGGAAACATGAGAAGAAGCTAAAAATCATTCTGGGGGGTCACACTGGTGGCAAGATAGCAGACAGAGTGGGTAGTATTCTCTATCGATTTTAGAAGAATAAACTAGGCCTGGCCAGTTTCAATGCAGTTCCAAAAAAGTATGCTAGCTACTAGGAACAGTTAAAACATTGTTCGACAACCAAAAACAAAGATCGGCTACAATAGCAAATCATATATAGTCATAAATACGGATCCTGTTCATATGACACAAATATCCGGACAACAAACCATACAAGAACAGCAATTTTATGAATTTTAATTTTGTTACATCTTGAAATCGTGACACAACTTGATTTTAGCGCGCAGTTGCTAGAAGGGGGAAATTCGAACATACGTCAGCAAGGTGTTTGACGCAAGCACAATTCAAACATTGTAACAACGTAGCTTGCAATGCCTTTGCTGTTAAAAATATGCTTAAAGCTCAAAATAAACACACAGTAAAGCAAAAACGCTTACAGATAACTCAGATTCAAGTCTTTCCTCCTGGTTCGACGAAAACTCTATGTCTTTCATCAAACGGCGGACTGTGTCGTTCTGAGCATCTCTTTGATCTGAAATTGGAATATAGTTTTGAGATAACTCACAATCAAAACTGGTAAAGTCACTTTTGGTAGGGCCTATGCAAAATTGCTATATGCTGATGACTCGAATTCAGTACTACAGATACATGATAAGAAAAGCAACTATATATTGTTTAGGCTAAAATTCTAATTCCAATAGAGGACTGTAATTTCGATTAATCATAAAGTAAATTCTAGTTTAAATTCCAACTTCGATCCGTTCTAATTGTGTCTTCTCTAATCTCATTCAATTCAAATTTAAAGGCAATCTGTCTCGTTGAGGATTGGTTAACGAGAACAATAGCTGGAACAATAGCCTAAACAGGATTCCAGCGCTCCGCCATATTTTTTACAATGCGATAAATTGAAGGGGGGCTGGAAAAAATTAAAAACCCCTTTGTTCATATAACCAATCAACGTCGTGACAGATTGCCTTTGATTTCTATCGCATACTTCAACGTGTACATTAACTGACAACAACAACAACAACAACAACAAAAAGAACAACAACAACAACAACAACAACTGTTATTAGAAAGTACGTCATGTTAGAAAACATGAAGACTCTGCGGAGGACACATAGTAAATAATGAGTATTGTTTAGTTTATTTCCGTGAGGTATATAAAGGGATTTAATCGAGGTTGGGGGACTTGTGATGGATAGACTTTTGATTGATAGGACTTTGATTGTTGGATTGCTTGAATGCAGAGGGTTTGTTATACGAACGCGTGAATTGAATAAAAGTTGATTATGTTTCGAGAATATATGGATATTGTTTAGTAATCGGTTATATTGGAATCTAGATTGAAGATTCATTGTTTACAAATACCACTGATTGAGAGAACCTTGGAATTATAACCAGTTTGTTTTCCTCTTGTTGATCTTGAACTGAATTTATCGTACGGGAACATTGCTCAGTTTAATTATTCTGGCAGAAATTGTTTATTTGGCAATGTTTTCCATCACGTCATACCTAAAAATTTCTTACAGTGCCTGTTTGTGCAACTCTTTAAATAGAATCCAGCAAGAGGGGTTTTTCAGTGTACATTTTTAGTTATCAGGGCTTATAAGTTAACCACCGCAAAAAACCAAGTTTCCAAGAATGCTGTATTAAAGTGCGTATTCCAAGTTTAGGCTCAACAATACCAGAACTAACTTCTTATCCAAACGGTGAATTTTGATGATGAGCTAGAAGAGTTCTAAAGTGATGGCGTCAAAAATTTTTTTTTTAGAATTTTTGAATTTTGATCCCATAACCTGAAAGAGCATCATGAAATTTTTTTCGAATTGGTTGAGATATGGGCACATGTGCACTGGCTCTTTCCCCATCAAACCCCCGTAATTTCGTCTCTGTTCATATTTTTATGAACAGAGACAAAGCAAACTTCAAATATTTTACTTTCAAATCTTATGCTTTGAGGTTAGAATTCAAAAATTCCAAAAATAGATTTATTGTGACGTCACAATTAAGAACTCTATAGGGCTGCCTCGGTGACGCTAGGTGACACACCGCACCGTGACGTGTCCAGTGTGAATATAGCTGCATCGGGGATCACCGCTGACGAATTACGATTTATGAAAACCAGCCTAAACGCTTGATCCTCACTAGCGACTAAAGCAGAAACAAAAACGTAAGGGAATACTTTATGCGATGGTAACAACGGCTTAATTTATTGGATCAGTTGTGCTTGTGCATTGAATGCCCTTAGAGAAAAATAGTAACTCAAGCACATACAGAAAAAGAACGGAAATTTTCTATACACTTGTCCTCATGCTTTTGTCACGCCATTTACTATGGCCCAGCCCGTCCTTACTGGCGCATAATTCCCTTGTATTTGCGTTCGTGGATCTGTCGCTAGCGAGGACTAAGCCTTATATGGTGGTTCAGGGAAAAATACCAATCGAAACAAAAATCATAAACACCAGGTGCTTGATTAAAAAATGGCGGCAACTAGTAGGTTCTTAATTTTTTAGATTCTTTTTCAGCGAATTGTATTTGGTGTATCTGCTTTTTGGACCATGCCTGTAATACCGTTTCGGTAAAAAGGACCACCCCCGTAATAGGACCGACTCTGTACAAGGACCACCTCTGTAAAATGACCATCACTGTAGAAGGACCAAATGTGTAATACGAGAACCTATGTAAAATGCCCATCGGTGTAAAGCGACCGTCTGTGTAAAACGATTCCTTTTCACTAGCCTCGGGGAACAGCCGCCTTAAAAACAAACGTAAATTTTCAAACTGCAAAAGAGCACATATTTGTAAATAAACTTTGTAACAATACAGGTTTAGATGAATGCAGTTGTAAATGGCTTTGAAAAAAACAAACATTTAGTAAACTAAAGCTTTTCGTCTGACACTCTTCAGCGTTTAAAACGTCAGAAAATAGACCGAGTATATATTCGAGTATATAGTCCACAACTGGGTATAAATATTTCCTAGCGTAGAGTTTTCGGTCTATGTTCTGACGTTTTAAACTCTGAAGAGTGTCAGACGAAAAGCTTTAGTTTACTAAATGTTTGCTTTTTTCAAAGCCATTTTCAAGTTTTGTACCACCAAAAGATTGTTTGAATGCAGTTGTATAAGTTGGGTCATATATCCCTTAATATGAAATGCTGCACCTGAGTAGTGCGAGCGGCTTTAAAACTGATTAAAATTACAATTAATAAATTTCTTACTTGTAAAAGTTCTGCATTTTTCTTGAAGATCTGCTATAAGGCTAGAAATAGTAAAATGAGTATTAACAACGAAATAAATGTTAACAGAGAAAAACAGGGCAATACAAGGCTGGTTTTCATATAACGTATTCCGACGTATTTCATCGCAATTCAGAGTCTACGATAAATTAAGATTACTTCGTTATATGAAAACCGACCAAATTTTATGAAAACCACCTATCGTGAATAATCCTAATAGAACGTAATTCAACGTAATTGAACGTAATTCATCGGAAGAAATCAAACAATTTTGTTTCTCCCGACAAAATACGTTGAATTACGATGAATTAAGATGAAATACGTTTTTTTGTTAACATATAACGTGAAAATCGTGGAACCTGAATTGCGATGAAATGCGTCGAAATACGTTATATGAAAACCAGCCTTAAGAGTCATTCTCATATCAAAGTATGCGAAAACACTTTAACAATGTAGCCTGTGAAACAAAATAACTACCATGGGACAATATAAGAGAATCTATCGGTCAGAAAAATGCCTTTACGGTAAATCTTCTATTCGCACGCTCCTCATATGCATGCCCCCCTGATTAGCTCTGTATATTGAAATAAACATCCCACTCTCTAACGAACCGTCTGTTAGATAATCAGGGATCCAGGGGGGGGGGGCTTTAGTTGGGATATATTGCATTAGGATGTTACAAGAAGAATTTCAAAGAGTCATGATGTCTTGAAGATAAAAATTTAAAACATAACGACTCTTAATTCACTTTCTTTTGTTTTCATGAGCACACAAAAATTTCAGTCAAACGCCATCCAAGTCAAGGCAAATTAGGTTAAAAACTCAAGATAAATACACTGGCAAGACGAGAGCTGAGAAAATATTTCTTTTTAAAACTCCAGAGTGTTATTTTCTTCAAGACTTCTTTTGACCGTAAAATTTTTGAAAAAATTTCCTGTGAAATTAGTTTGGATTTTATGATTCAAAAACCTCAATAATGCGATAAAAAAATGTTGTTGAAGACAAAAGGAGTCACATGAGTAAAATATGAAAGTACAGATTTTATCAGAAATGTTTTGCCATATTTATAATCAGAACTGCAAAGAGGTTTCGGTGTTTCTAGGACAAAACCGAAGGTCAAGGCCCCCAGTGAGCGGAGGGAACAGAAAATATTTATCACCAAGCCCTTAAGATTAGCTTAAAATGCATTTTAGAATATTCCTTGCAGTCATTTCTTGCAAATTTTTTAACATATTACGTTCTTATGCATACTTTTGCTACAATTGATTAATTCCATTCCTAACATAGCGCAATCAACCCTGAGGCCCTCTGGGACATTTTGCCCCTCATCCCCCCTTTCAGCAGCCCCACTTATAGTGGATGCTGTTGTCAAAACTCTTTCAAAGGGTTGGCAAAGAAATATGGAACATTGCCATTCTTGCATAAATGAGCGAGCATTAAAATGGCAATTCCTGTGTCTTGATAAATGAAGCGATTTTATGAAAGACTCATACCAAAAACTATAACTTTGTACAAAGGAGATTTATTTGTAGTGTTGTGATTGAGTTACAAGCAGGAAATTCTTGCAAAAATACACCTGTGATACGGGAGGTTGGTTCTTTCTTTACAGCCTGCATTTAAAAATATCTCAAACACTAATAATGGTATGGGGTCGTAATGACATATCAGTAATGACATAATTTGTCACTCTTTGCAACGAAAGCTGATCCCCTTGAGCTCCCTCAGCACAGTATTACTTTTCGAAACATAGTTTTGATCTTTTTCAGTGCAATGAGTTGATTTCTTCTGAGCATTTAGATTCCTTCCAACCTGCTTAACTTTTTGTTAAGTGTATAAAACGTTTCTATTATTCATTCATGGTTGAGAATTTCCTGTGAGGAAAATATTCTAACTGATTTCCTGTGACCAATGGTCACACGGTCAAGGGGAAAATAACTCCCTGCTCAAAACTATATTCAAGTAATTTGGGAAATTTTTTGAGTTTAAAAACCATAATTAAAAAAAGACTTACACGCTCGTAATCTAACATTCACTGTAAACTCTGCTAGAGTTTTGTGAGATTTATTCCATATGAACAAAGATAAAGTCTTACTTTTCACTTTCCTTTTGTGCTTTCTTCAAATTTTGTTCCGATTCGAGCAACTTTTTATTCATTTCTTTGACTTGTATGATTTCATTTTCCTATCATACAGAAATATCACCATGTCAACAAAATAACAAAAAAAATTATACATTGACCTGGCTATGAAAATTTTTCCTATCAGAAACTTTCTAATACTTCGCTGTGTTTTGGCTTATGAACTGTTTGTACTTGCTAGCTAGCATCCGAAGGTAGTTTTTGTAAGCCAATGCGAGGCTACGATTATTAAGCAGTGTCCTGGTCCTGCCTTTCAAAGTGACAACACCTCGTAACTCCTATGCCTGGCATTGCAGAAAGCTGGCCACTCTCCTCACTCTAGGTGAGATTTTGGTCATGTCAGCGACTCGCCGGTTTATTCCAAGCCTCGGAATATGAACCTGTTTTAAGTGGCACACGAATCTGGGTAGATCCTAACCTTGCTAAAATTAGACTTGGATGCCGAGGGGTAAAATTAGAGGGGTGCTGAAAAGAAAATTACAGTAGATGGACACAATGTTGACAATACTAGTAACAGGCACAAACCTCATTTTGTGCATTTTAGTTTTGTAAGCGAAGTGAGAATCCAAAACAATGATAGAATTCACAAATTAAATAGCTTTTGAAAGAATCAGCAAAAGCAAGAAGTAACCCGGGGCAGACACTTGCTCAAATATTGGGGGGGGGGTGCAAGCCTATTGATTAGATGACATCACATTTTCCCATTGTTTTAGAACAAAAGACCATTGTATTCCAAAATATTGGGGGCGACCGCCCCCCTCGCACTCCCCCCCAGGTGTCCGCCACTGGAAGTAGCATTGTAAATTTTAATTTTCCACAGTATTTCAAACCTTTTTCATTGCAAATTTTTCACTTTTCTTGACTTCTGCTATCCTAGTATTGTTTTCATTTTCAATAGTCTTCTTCAAACCACTTATTTCGTTTTCAAGATTCGAAACTGTTTCTGTAAGATGAAATATAACCATCAAAATACATTTCTATCATCAAAATAACTTGGGCAAAAGACAAAACTGTACATCTGCGTTCTTAGAATTTTATAGTTTTCTCCTTGGACTAGCATTTATCAGGGCACATCAAAACATATATATATATATTTTTATCTCAGCTTTAGATAAGAAGTTTTGAGTTCTACCATAATATACAGAAGAAAGCAAAACATGAATGGAAAAATTATAACATAATGAGATTTCATTACTAGCTACGCTTGAAATATCATTATTTTAAGACATGAAAATACCTTTGAGCCTGTCATTTTCTCTTTGAAGTTTCACCTCTTTCTCAGCAAATTTTCTCCTTTCATTGCTTAGGGACCTTTGGGCCAGTGTTAATTCATACTCCAGTTTTTGTTTAAGAACCTCTCCCTTTTCAACAGTTGTCCTGAGATTTGTGACTTGTACCTCTAGATTTTTGCACTGATAAGACAATCAATACGATTATGTTAAATTAATAATTTGCAATGCATTAAAAGGTTTCAAACAATTAATTGTTCTTCAAATTTTGAAACAGAAAAAAGTAGGAAAACCTTGAGCATTCATGAAGGTTTCTTGTACATAAAAAGGAAGGTTATTTAATAGATCCAAGACATGAATTGTAACATTGTTGGCATTCAAAATTTCGCATTTATCATTGTTTATCAGATTGGTGCTATCATCACTTTTCTTTCTTTCATAAATAGATAAAAATAATATTGAAAATTACTATTTATGGGTCTCTCACCAAATACTTATTGCCAAAAAATAGGCAGAGCTTGTGTATATAAGAATAATATATTTGAAACAATCAATTTTGCTGAGCTATTAAAGATGCCCTTACACAAGAATCGCTGACATTCATTCATTTCAAACATTGACAAAATTTTGCAGGCTCACAGGACGTTTATGTAGGCATTACCATGCAGTTGTTGCTATTTCATGGATTGAGTTTCTTCTTTGTATTTTTTCAACCTTTTTTGACATTCTTGTTAAGGGCTGGATTATATATAACATAGGTTTGCCTGGTTAAGCTTTCCCCTGGTTAATACCAAATGGCAAAAACAGAACACACATGCACCTCTTTAAAATAATGTACTTTTATGAGGATATAAGAGCACCCAATGCAAGATGAAAGGTGGTTTCTAAAAGAAGATGTTGCTTACATCTTCATTATATTCATGAGCTCTTTCAGCTTGTTCTGATTGCATCTTTGATAACTTGATCCTCAATAATGTTATTTCATCTGCAAAATAATGAAGAACTCAAAGTTACACATATATATCATATATCCTCTGCCCCCTTTTGATTGTTTCTCATCTCATTGGCAATGCCTTAATAATAATCAATTTGTAAGGTATATATTCAAGAAAAACTTATTTTTCTCAAAATTGGCAATACAGTGAAATTCTGATTTTAGGAACCCAACTTATGAGCCTTCGGTATTAATAAGTAAAAATTGTCCCCTGGAATGCTCCCTGTGTAAAAACCTATGGTTTAACAAACACTGGCTAGCAGAAACTTTTTCCCTGGACCCTACAATGCACACTCTTTCATAAGAATATAGTCTTTAAGATAATTAGGCTCAAAATTGCTGAAATTTAAAAATAGTTTAAGAATAATGTATATTAATCCAAAGGTCAGGTTCCATTAAGAATTGAATAATTTGTTTATATAAGATTTTTAAATGCAAGTTTCACATTATATGTCTTGAAATAAATAGATTGGGCCTTGGAGTCATTGACATGTTAAATGTGGCTCAGTTATACCTTGTGTTCTTAAAAGAAAAATCTAACGTGGTACAGCAAAAAATTAGTTATTCTTGTAAAAAAATTGTAATTTCAATAGTGGTAATCCACTATACTTGATTGCATTGATGCCAACTTCTTCTAGGAACAAAATTTGATAAAATGAATATTTACCTTTTTCTGCCATACTTGGCTCCTCATTAAACTGGAATGTTTTTTCTGGTGAAACAGACTGTGCCCTTTTGGGTGACTGAGGAGACTTAAGGTAGCGACTGTCCAAAGGAGATGCCATACCTGATATTTCTCAATGAATAACTCAGCTAGACAGAGGTACTGCCCATTTGGTGGGTGCAGCAAACTTTAATGTCTTCTACAATCAGGTCAACATCATCATGAAAAAAGGATGTGATATAAGTCCTTATTAATACTTCAGCAGAATTTTTTAGTTTTCTCCTAAAGAATTAATATTGCAATTAACATTAAACACTTCACATTAACATACTATACTGTAGCTCTTTCTTACATTTTCATGTGAGGCAGAAAAATACTAACATCTCAAACCCTGTTCGAATTTCAAAATGTATCTTCTGATTAAAAAATATAACCTTGCTATGTTCTTATCTAGTGACCTGATTTAGAATGAGAAAAGGACTGCAATGCCCTTTTCTAAGATTATAAATTGTATTTGGTGCAGGGTCCCTTGTAGCTATCAAAAGAGTCAGCCCTGGTGTCTGGGGTCATGGCCTCTTTAAAACTGACACTGTTTTCAAGAACAGAATCCTCAAAATTGATAAAAAATTAAGTGCAAATGAGGAGCAAGCAAAGACTGAGGTATTTTAAAATTTAAGAATGTAAGAACATCATTATTAAGGATATATTTTTATCCCAGGTCAGGTGCAGTATATATTTGTGTGAATGAAGAAAAGGTCACTGTAGCAGGTTGGTACGATGGGCTCCAAGGAATTCTTGCGGCGAAAAGTTGATGAAAATTTAGCAAATATGAAACACTGCAATACGCCAAGAATAAACAACAATAAATACACGTACATCAGTAAAGGCTAATATTTCACCCCGGCATACGGGGCTACATCAGAGCAGAAGTTAACAGGCTAAAAATTTACACATTTAGAAGAGGCGATGGTGGTGTTGGATTGGCTGATGTGGAATGGTGTGAATGCAGCGCAGTGGTAGAGGAGGGAAGGGTGGCGAATGAGAGAGGGTGGGTGGTGGTGGTGGAATGAAAACGCAATGGGGATGAAGTACTATAATATGAAATAATGATAATGTTGCTGTAAGGTTAACGGTCAGTGGTTCTGTTCATGCCGTTCGGTGTGAGAGTGTTTGCCAGGCCAATAAGGTATTGCTCTTTGGCTCGTCGGACACTCTCTTGTTTGTCGTTGAGTTTCAGTAATGGTGTTACAAGTAAGGTCATTGATGGTATGTTCTGGGCTACAGAAGTGTTCTGGTTTTCAGTAATGTAGTGCCTGAATTTATTTTACTTACACCCAGACAATATTAGAATAAATAAGGAAAAATAGAACAGAACCTCGATTTCCTTGTTCTTATAAAAAGGGTGCATGTAATGTCTAACTGTTGATCCAGTGTAATTACTTTCACACAAGTTGTTGTACAACAACAAATGAAAATTCTATATGGCGTCCAAGACTTAACAGAAACAGAGGATTCACAAACTTCCATATAACCAATGTTGGCTTTTGAACTTTTTTTAACAATTCTATCAACCATTTTATTAAGCTTTGCACAACAACAAAATTTAAAAATGGGAGGATCGCTCTTTGTTTGGCCTAGGCCTATGCATAGTTAGGCCTAGCTAGGAAAGAGTGATCTGTTTCCTTCAATCAAAAAAACTTATAATCGGTCTAAGCTTTAAAAATTGCTGAATGAACTTTGAAAAAATGTCTTTAGATAATTGTTTACCTTAAGCAGAATAGTTCCCATTTCCAACCAGAGTATCTCAACAGCATCGCCTCTCAGATATTTTCATAAATGGCGGGCTTTTTGTTTTCGATACAGCAATTTACTTGTTGTACTTCAAGTAACGACACACGACACAATGAGTCGGAGAAGAAAAAATTCACTATGGCAAAATACCCCACCCACTTGGACCTGCTACAAGTCAATCGCTCTCTCTGTTTAGTAGTCTTCTTTCTCTATTTATTTTTCAGATTACTAAATAGAGACGGCTTATTCGAGAGAAGGGTTTTTTTAAGGAGGGCTTAGGCCTGGTTCAATTGGCGTATTATTTATGTGCCGTATTAGGGATATTTGATTCGAATTAAAAAGAATATACGGCTTTTGATTAAAATGCCGTATTAAATGAAAACCGTTTTTATTTAAATCTTGGTAATGAAGGATTTTTGAGTGAGAACCGCAACCAAGATAGCGAAATTGAAAAAAAATGAAATTAGTACTGCTTTTAGCTAACCTGTAAAACTTGCCACATTAAGGACAGGATTTATTCTCAGACACTGTCTATCTCACCCTGCTTCTCATAATTTGTATCAAAAAGATGTAGTGTGTAATTTGTAATTTGTATCGTCGCTTACATCACAAGGACATGTCGCAAGCATAGACGGAAGGAAGGCAGGTAATAATAATAATAATAACTTTATTTCAGTGTCAGATTAATTTAGCATTTCTGCTAATTAGGGACACTATTTACATACAATTTATTAAGAAAACGTAATCAATAAAGAGTAATATATTAAGGTGAGAATTTCAAGAAAAGTCGCAGAGCCTAAAATGTTTATTGCATAAGTTTACTTTAAGTAAGGCTTCGAGGTCCTTTTTTCTTATGCAGAAATTATCAATACTTGAACTGGCCCTTTATTTTTTCATTTAATTTAGTTCATTCAAGAGGTCCTAGGTACCTCAACGGATGTTTTCCATACTTTACGGTTTTATATATAGGAATTGTTAAGTCTGCATTTCTTAGATAATATCTTTCGTTGGGTATTTCAAATTTCATATTTTGTTTTACTTTGAAAATCATGATGGCAATATTTTGTAATCTTCGATCAATAAGTGTTTGCTTCAGCAACTGCATCCCGAGAATGCTGGAGCTCAGAAAAACGGCCATTCAATAAATGTGATGATTTGTTTGTTTTCTTATTATCTAGAGCTCTATAGAAAATTCTTATGAGAAGTTTTCATATTGTTAATACATGTTTGATATAGCGATTTCAGGAACAAAAGAGGTAGCAAATTTGTTCTATTTGCAGTCATGGGAAAGAATCTTTTCTTTATTCACATGCGTTAGCATATAATTTTCACATGTAATGAACACAATTTGTTAAAAGCAAGAAGCGGCATACAATACAATGCTACATATACATTAGATAACGCATTGATCAATGTCTTTTTGCTGTGCAAAGAAGAAACACACAAGACGAAGACATTTTCAGTAACAATCTCTAGAGTACAAAGAATTATGCGATTGCAATTTATAGACCTTTGTTCTAAATTAATTGGGTAAATGCGAAGGCGTCAATTTTCTTTCTTGCCAGTATGTCAAGGCCCTGGATCAGTGGCAATCTTTCATAACATTGATGCATCTTTTGCAGTAAAAACAACATGGCTTCAACAACATCGTGTGTCTGTTTGGTGAATAAATATAATTTCTCGATGTTCATAATCATATTAAGAATTGTCAGACTGTGAAAACTGGTCAACTTCGAACACCATATCAAAGGAACGTACGTTTTGGAAGAACCTATCATGTGCTGAAGCGAAAAATGATTATCACAATCATCCCACAAATATAAAAAATTTATGAAGCAGCCAGCAGTTAATAAATATTCGTAATTAAAAACCTATCGGATTCTTATAACAAAGAATGTTTTTGCACGTCGACATTGGCCACTTGGAAAATTTCCACTGTTAGGTTAAAAATTTTCAAAGACATTAATCCACTCCCTTGGAGATTTCTAATTATTTACGTCATACTTCAATATTAATCTTTGATTGAGAAGAGAGTGGGTGGATAACTCGTACGTGATACTGATTATTAACACAATTAAGAATACAGAAAGGCTTGACAGTGACATGTTTTGATAAAAGTTTGCAGTGCGGATAAGACGAAATGGCAAATCTTTTTGAATGTTTCCACCGCTGGATGAAAGGATTATCAGATGCTAACACGTGAAAGGGTTCGGTCTATGCTTGATTTGAATAAGCATACATGTTCGTAGATAATGGTCTCTTCAAAATTGAATTTCGTGATGACAATAGATACATAAATCAGTGTGGTTGTACAAGAAGGACTTATTTGTTTTCACAATCAATAGGGATTTATACCAGTGAAATAATTAATTGTGAATCGTCTTTTACTCATAACGTTACCATCATACATAGTTGTGGTAGATAAAGCAGTGTTGACAATCGGAACGAGTTCATGCATGTTTTGGAAATCAAAGAAATTAATTGGGCCTAGCCTTCAGATCAACGTAGTTGTTATGGGGAACAAAATGGAGAAAAACAGCAGCCATATAGCTCTGGATGACAACGCTTTGCGCTTCTTTGATACCGGTAACCATTTCAAAGAAGTAAACATTCCGTTGACTAGACCGCTTGATATTCAGTTGGTTCCACAATTTGCTACGACCGATACCCCAGGTAGAACGGTTCGTTACAAACTGCAGTTACGATTTCGGGAGAATCGCTCTGATGCAAATACCAGTGACTATCTCGAGTTGTCAAGCTCATCATCAAGTGATACTGGCGAGGAAAATACGAGTCCTTTTCGAGTGATGGTCGAACTAACAGAGACAGTTACCAAGGAGGGGAAGAAAACCACTGTTGGATTTGCCAGAAAAACTTCAATAGTAAAATACAATACGTGGCTTGGCAGAGCTTCTGACTTCGTCGTAGAATTGAAACGTATACGACTAAAAGGGAAATTAAATCAGTCGAAAAACGACGAAAAACTACACACTTTGTTAGATTTTGACCTGATTTTGTGCCCAAGCGAACACATTATTCCAGGAACTGGTGATCGATGGAGCTTGATGGGAACGCTATATGCAAACAACACACATGAAAGGAAAGACTATAAATGGAGGGCAGGAGTTCCACACCCGGAAGTTGACAGAAAACTATCACAAGAATCCTTATTTACTGTGTAAATAGCCCATTCGTAACAAGAGTTTTAAAATTTCTTCATTTTATTACAATAGGCCAAGGGTCATAGGTTTCGATATGTGTGTTTGTGTGTGTGTGGGGGGGGGGGGGGGGGGGGGGGGCTTTCGATTTATAAAACAAATAGGTTCCCAAATTTAATATTTGAAAATTAGAGTGTTTGTTTGAAAATTTGCAGGGGGTAGGCACAAGCCCCTTAGCCCCCTTGATGCCCCAGCCCTTGCAACAAGCTGATAGCAGCCAGGGTTGGAGTGCTGTTGTACATGGGCTCTGACGCAGGTTAGAAAGTGGGGGGGGGCAAGGGAGATTTCAGCCATCATAACAAAATAATTTTAAAAAAGTTCTATTGTTTTGCAAAAGATTGGGGGGGCATTCCTTTCGTCGGAGGCCCTGGTTGTAAGACCCCTGAGCAGTCACAAAAATATTGTTAGCAGTGTAGTAAAGTTTACTAAAGGTCTTTATCTTTTTGGAAGCATCTAGGGGGCATGGGGCTCAGCTTCCCTCAGTAAAACACCCTGGTAGCAATCGTTGTTGTATAGCAATTTTAGTGAAGAGCATAATTTAGGTATAGCTTCAGATATAGTAAGAGACAAAATATGTTTTATCAATATCCGTAAATGTAATTTTAATCAAGATAGTCATTTCTGAATTATCTCTACCAAATGGCTAAGTTTCCTTATTGGCTGCCGAAAATATACGCCAAGATATATTCCCCAAACAATGTGGGATACTAGTCAAATATCATAAGATTGTACATTACTGATTGGCTGGCCTAAGTCACGCCATTTCATTACACCCAATTATCCCATCTAGCACTGCCACTGAATGCAAAGGATATATTTTATGCAGGTAAAATTTGCAGCTTCCCAAGTCCTGTCACAGTAATTTTGATGGCATTTGAAAGGATACTAAGGACATGTTTCCGGGACACTTTCATTTTTACTCACATCTATGAATTCTCAAAGGCATATTCATATGGTCCAATTTGTTTCACATCTACTACGAGGGCGCAAAGTAGGTGTACAGTAGCAAAGCGTGGTTTTGTTGTTTGATCATTGTTCAATGGCGGGTCTAGGAAACTTGGAAGAGCTCATAAATCATCTCAAATCATCTTTGGGGAAAGTTTTAATACAGCTTTTGATTCCAAAAGGAACTAAGAAGGTGCTCGAGTAATTTCTACATTCTATCGCAGCTATGCCAGGGCCCACGCAACGAATTTCAAGGGGGAGGGGGAGGGGGGTTGCTCCAAGTACTTTTGGCAGGCATTGTAGTTCTTCTCGCGGTACTCACGGACCTTATTACTGCACACTTGCTTTGCGCACTCACAGTATGTGTGAAACAATTTAGACCATACATGTTTTGTTATTGCATACTCACTTAGCGCGCTCACTTTATGTGTGAAACAAATTGGACCACGTAAATGTGCTTTTTAAAGCTCACAAATGTGTTATGTAATCACTATTTCTGCTTGCACGTGTTGATGATCTATCTCTGGACATCTATGTCTTATGGGACTCAACGGGCCCATGGGTAAATGCGGTACTGTGTGAAATTTAAGAAACAGAATAATTGGTTCCCAAGAGCTCTGTTATTCTTATCAACCAGAACAATGTAACTGTTTGGTTATTAGAAGGCCGAAACGTCACGTGACGCCCCGCAATGCGCCTTGGGGAATTACTAAATTTGGCACTACTCCAACCAATGGATTTTATCCATTTGTAGAAAAATAATTTGGTGTACAATGTTTTGGCAAAAAGGGATAATTACCTTTTACGCTTCCCAGCATACCTTTCCCCTGCATTCCTCCAGGAACAACTAGAGGGGGTGGGCAAGGAGTAAATTGCTCCAGGGCCTGAAGGTCTAGGGGCCTCATACATCTTTTTAGGACTGGAATTAATCAAACGTACCTTAAGTATAATTAAAAAATGGTAAAATATTTGAAATGATCGCAATGACTGCAAAGTTTACTCTGAAATGCGTTTTAAATTAATCTGAAGGGCCAAATTGCAAAAAATTGTTCGTTCGCTCCTTTCGCAGGGGGCCTCGTCTTTCTGTTTTGCCCCAGGGCCACCTAAAACCCCCAGCAACTCTGCATACATCTCCTTAAGATTACCATTAATAAGTGGCTTTGGAGATAAGCAAAATTTAGGGGCCCGACGCAGGCTGGGAAGTACGGGGTCGAAGGGCAAATTAACGATCCATACTTTTATTTATAGAAACACACAGAAATAGAAAACAACACTTTCGAAGGGGAAACTTAAGAGGCGACTGGGGGTAAAAAAATATCAGCCTTAGTTTGCAAGGGACGCAGGAAAATGAAAATCACAGGGTCATTAAATTTTTAAAGGGGATTTTTCGGGCAGTTTTTTGGGTGGTTTTTATCGGGCTTGTAACATAGGATTGCTTAAAATCTTGATGGTACGCGCCATCACTGACATATATATAGTAGAAAAGAAGTATATATATATAGAAGATTACAGGTACAAGATAATACGTTTTGAAAAACTGAAAATAGCAAATAAGCGGGTGAGACACAAGATTAAGGGATATTTGATGAAACTGATTTTATGATCATTCAAAGCGGCATTTACTTTTTATGGCGGCAAATGGCATAAACTGACATTTTGGCGGCAAGTACGGCAATTCAAACTTCTTCGCATTTTGGCTTCATAACATTTTGCCCCTTTATAACACACTCTCGTTGAAAACTAGTGGAATACAGAATATTTTCTGAAAAACAACAAGGATTTTGAACAGAAACTACATTTGAAAGAGAAATAGATGCTATAAGTAGTTACATATATCGGTTAAACAACGCTTAATTTATACTTTTTAAAAAATTAAACATAAAATTAGCGTCGAAAAGAAAATTTCCAAAAACAACCACGCAAAATGGCCAAAGTTTCGGACAATTTATGCTCGCCTAAATTGGGTTCTTCTGTAACTCCACCTTTCAACTCTTTCGGACAAGGAACAAATTTCAGCATTGATTGTTATGTTTTTAAAGGTTGAAACGGAGAAACTAATCGAGACGGAATTTAAAACTAAAACTCTTTAAAGAACAAAGAAATTTATGTAATGTACTTAAAGCCTATAAAAACATTGTCAATCTCAATTGTTGATGAATTTAGTACTAATAATTTTCATTCATGCCTACGTTATCTTCGAAGCCGTTGCTGTTCCGCTGAATTTCATTTTGATATGGGGCACCTCTCATGTCTTGGAAATCTGATGGCTCATTAGGTCCATCTTCATGGCTAAATTGACTAAATCCTCTTGTACTTTCCTCAGGGTAGTTTGATTCTTGCTCGAAATCGGCTGGATTCCTCTCTTGCAAAAAGTTAGCTGACATTTGCTGTTGGGGGCTATCTTGGGTATTCTCCATTGAATAATCTGATTCAGGCGAGAACGAGGCTGGGTTTCCACCAAAGGCTGTGCTGACACCTGCCATAGGAACTCCTTCTAAGGGCGTTGGGTAAGGCTGAACTTGAGACGCCTTGGAATCTACTATTGTCACTTTTTCGAATGGCTTGTCGTTGCTGTCTTTGGGTAGGTTTTGAATAGTATCAACTACATTCTGAAAGGACAATTCAACTCTGATTACAATTTATACTCAGTCGTGCATGAAGTGCATATTTTTCGTACTTAGACGAAGCAGGCGGAAACGGTACACATGCCTCCTAACTTCCAGAAAAATATGTTAACTGCATCTTTGTTGCTTATAAAAGTGCTCCTTCATGTGCCCCCATTTTTATAATACCCCCTCTTATTCTATTAGATTATATTTAAGTTACATTTGTAAGACTTAATGGAGAAAACACAGGCACTTGGGCACCCAAAAGCCTTGTGTCACACACTGTTTGTAGACCGAAAGATGGAATACCAGATTTAACGTCCCAAGAGTAAATCGTTTCCATGCCCCTGTTAATTTTCCGAATGATCTTGAAACTGGACTTTCAATCTTTTTAGGCAATCAGTCTTGAAGTATGTTTCCTCTATTTGCTTGTCATGGCTTTCTGAAACGTAGTTAGATGTGCAAGAAGGAGATTTTGTTGTCTGAGTTGAAATAATGGTTATTTTCGAAAGGAGACTCCAGAGCAGTGGCGGCTCCAGCCTGAGATAAGTGTGGGTGGGGACAAAAGGTGTGTCAGTGACCACACCCTTTTGGACCACGCCCTTTTCCCTGTTTGAAACTGTTGTCTCCCAAAAAATGTCATTTACATGGGACGATCTAGATAACGTACATACCCCCCCCCCCCTGAAGTTTTCTCATCAGGTTTGCAAGAATCTCAAGGAACAACTTTCTGAAAAAGTGAGGGGTACTAGTCCCCCCCCATTCCCCCCCGCGGCTCCGCCACAGCCCTAGAGTATAGCACAGATACGGGGGAAGTTTCAGGGAGGAGGCTCAAAAAGCAAAGAACATGACGGTTAATTGTCTTTTTGAAGGACATATTGGGAATTCAAAGACATTTCCAGTCTCCTCCAGCCACCCGAAACCTAAAGGCCATGTTTTCAACCAATCCAAAAAGACAAACAGATTATTCTGAGGAGAAACACTAACCATTCCTTGTAGGACCTTTCCAAAACATACGTGATGGCCATTAAGCCAGTCTGTTTTAGCTGTTGTAATGTAGAACTGAGAATCGTTTGTGTCCGGTCCAGCATTGGCCATGCAGACCCAGCCCGGGCCGTAATGTTGCAATTTGAAATTCTCGTCTGGAAAATGCGCTCCATAAATGCTTTTTCCTCCTGTTCCGTCGTTATTTGTGATATCTCCACCTAAAAGGTTCAGTCAAAATATATTAAATGTCAATCTTTTGTACTTTTCGACACGCAGCGTGGCTGTAGAAAGCTTTTACAGTACACAGCGTTTCAGTCCTGTATAAAGAACAAGAGGCTATCATACACAATTTACCAAAAAATTAATAGCTAAGAAGATAAAGGCTACTTCTTGGCATATTGATCTTAGCCCGTAGGGCCCCCTAAAACTACGCCTCTTCCTATTCAACTATTTAACCACGGCTGTACACATTTTCTCTGGCTTGAAGGGATGGTGCCCCTCCTTGAAACATTATGCCACCCCTCTTCTTGTAGAACGTAGAAAATCGTCACACACACACAGTATCTCCCATTAACTTTTGCATTTCCCCCAACAGTTCTGCCTTTCTTTGACTCTCTGAGGATCAGGCTCCAAAAGTTCTTACGGTTCTGATGGTGTGAAATTATTTCCAATCGGCACCCCAACTACATTGAAATCCCTAGCCTATGACAGCTCACCTAAAAATGGAGCGGGCAGATTGCCTTAGGCCCTGAGCTGAGAGAGACGCAAAAAGTTTAAACAAATGTCGTAGCAATGATAACAACAATAACAATCGAAGTTTTAATGTCTTCACCATAGACCCATCTTTCTATTAGCCCCAGAACCTAGGAAAGCTCACCTAAAAGGGGAGCGGGCAGATTGCCTTAGGCCCTGAGCTGAGAGGGGCTAGAAAATCTCTGGGCGTGCCTAAGCCTATTCAAGGTAGCACCATTTCTACCCTCACTTTCCCTGTCCTGGGGATTTTAAGAACATCAAATTCTAACCTTGAGACAAGTTTAAAACCTTAGAAATTTTTTTCACAGGATGCAAGGGCTTCAACAACTGAGTGCTAAAGCCGATCAATATGTTCCACATTCAGATATCGTGTTAAGACAAGTGAAACATACCTTGAATCATGAAGTCTTTGATCACTCTATGGAACGTGCTTCCGCGATAGCCAAAGCCATACTTGAACAAAGAAGAAGAAGCAATGAATTTTGTGTCTGTGGCTGAATCATTATTGGTGCATTATAAGGTACTTACTTGACTAGTACCCAATCCCTTCAATCTGCCTTTGATCAAAATAGTAAACCGGCTGAAAGATTTCATAAAAAGAAAGATTTAATAAATTAGGAAAGGCTTTGATCATCCCCCTCAAAAACTGTTCATGCTCAGGCAAATATTGAATCTTTCTTAACGTTGGTTTTTTATGTGGCCTGTCTGTTATTTGTAATTTCACTGTTTTATTTTTCTGTCTTTTTCTTCTCCTTATATCATTATTACTTGTTTTGTTTCATCTTATTTTTTGTTTCTAATACAGCAAGCCTAAGAACCAATTCAGTGTCTCATACCTCATGATTTGCCAAGGCGACAAAATTGGTAACAGTTCTTGGTACAACTTGTCCAAACAGACCAATAACTATCCGTCCTACTGGTCGCTGGCCTACAGTCATTTCTAGGGCGGCTTCGTGTGTTACAACGGCATCCTCACAACGACGAGAAGCAATCAGGAATCCAAATATTCCTGCAAATACCAGGTTAATATCAAAATATTTCCGACAAATCATTTCGGCTTTCGTGCACTCTCCTAAAGTGCGTATCGTTATTTTCGCATTAATATCGTTTGATTTTTTGATCTCATTGACTTTGGTCGAGTTTTAATCGCATGACAGGTGGTGCCGGTGTAACATAGAACGGTAAGATCACGCATGTTTTCTTTTCGTTTTTCAGTAGATAAACACTTGTCACCCAAGCCAAACTCACAAGAGTAAATCTATAAACAGCTACTGCATCAATTTATGTTAAATTGAATCCAGCTTCAACAAGCCCTGCTTATTACGGGCTTCTCGCTATTAGTAACAGTATTCATTCTTTTATAATAAATGTAAAAATTATTTCATGGACAAACTTAAGTCGGTCTCTTTTAATAAGTATGGGTGGATTTCAAAATAGCATTTTTAGCAAACATTATAGGCTTTTACTCATTATTTGAATTTTACTAGGTTTTTACTAACTTTGATTTCTTTATTGGTTAGATTTAGATTACTTGTACTTTTAATTTGTGAACCAAATTGAAAAAAAGTTTTCAAACTTTTTTGTTAATCACATTAAAGATTATTATACATACATACATATATGCATACAACAAAAAAGCCAAATTCCTTCAGTGGCGGAAACCAGTTTAGAGTAACTTAATTCAGTAACTATTGGAAATATATCCTCAAGTTCAACTATTATAAACTTTCCTCAAGTTCAACTTGTTTTCAAAGGTCTGAAAGTTCTTCAACTGAAGCATGTAACCCAGATCCCCCTTGCTGACGAAAAATACCCCTTAAAACCTTGATATTGTGTTTGACATACTCTGCAACCTTCAATGGGCCCTTCTGGCAGTCCGTGAAAAGGGGCCCGTCTCAGATTTTCCCAAAGGCCCCTAGGTGTATCCGTTACACCACTGGATTCCTTGCAATACTCCATGTAGAGCAAACCCTCGGTGTGTCAAGCTCCTTCTAAGACGAACTTTTTCTTAGTCCCTAGATGATTCGTTATAGTGTGGTCCCACTGCATTCCAAAGGCCCTCTCCACCCCAAAAAGTTATGAATGTCCTTTGTTTCAAATGAAAGATCCCTTTTGTTCTTATTGTTTTCAGGCAGAACTACCCCAAATAGCTTTGTCTTTTCTATGATAATGGCGAAAAGGGTGAAATCATATAAAAAGTCTGAGATGTACCTTGTTAATGATCCCCTATTGTATTTTCTGTGTACACACCAAGTGAGAATGTTCCAAAAGAAGAATTTATAAAGATATTTCATGCAATTCATCCGAAAGTTTTATTGCACTCTTCTTGAGATTATTAATATAGAAAACAATGTGATCAGATTCTTTGATTTTTACAGAAAGTCGATTCAGAGTTTTGGAAAATGTTCGTCGTTCTAGTTGTTAAATAGCTTTTACAATCTTCAAGTGAATTACAATAACTCTTTTTGAATGAATTAGTATGCTTAATGGGTTTTAATTCATCGTCACTTTGAAGGGATCAGAGAAGATAAGTTATTGTGCCTTTTCTCCACTTCGGGATCAAAAAGCTGCCTGATCTTAGCATCTATACATGCAAATACCCGTAGCACCAGGTATCATCATGATTCGTATTGTCTTGCCAAAGCCCAAATTATCCCGCCTTTTTATAGAAGAATAAATCCAACCCAAACTATCACGTTCATTGGACAGCCTCTTTTTCAATAACCAATCAAAGTCAAGTTTGTCGAATGTTTCCGAGAGCCCCGAGGAAAAATTTCATTTGGCCCTGTGTCAGCTGGTTGTCTTTTGTGCTTCGTCTGAACTTATTTAGTTATGGATCTTTGGACGTTATATTTTATCATTAGTTTTACAATACTCGCAAGTTGCGAAGAAGATGCAATCGTGACAAGGAAAGTGCAACTGGACATTCAAATCGGCAATGAAAAAGCCGGCACCATCGAGTCGAGTTAGGCCTATTTGGCAACATTGCCCCGAAGACAGTCACAAACTTTGTTGCCCTTGCAGGCCACGAGGTATTTAGTTGTGCTTTTTATACCTGTAACCTGCTGCGATCATTGTTTCATTATTTTTCATGAAACTCTTGTTGCTTTGTTGAGATATTTTTGCCTCTTCGCCTCGCCTGCACTCCCCTCAATCTAGCAATATTACTTCGTTTATCAATGGTCAATCGATAGGAAAAAGGCTATGATTTATCCCTGCCGAAGCATTTCGTTCACATCTGCCATACACCCCTGATCAAAAGTCAGTAATAATTTCAAGTTGTTTTTTTTCTATCGTAGTTTGGTTATGGCTACAGAAATTCTTACTTTCACAGAGTGATCAAGAATTTCATGATGCAAGGTAGTGTTTATAACATTTCGATTTCGATGTTTTTTGTTTTGCCGTGATGTAGTTGAAACTTCTAAGTTTTCCCCTTGTTGCTACTTCTATGCTATGCTTCAGAACATATAATCAGACATTTTACCCCCTGGAATAGGACACCAAACAGAGTAGGCACCGTAGAGCAGGGGGGAGGGGCTGGTGTCCTTAGCCCCTGCTACTTTTTACCGAAATGGACCACTAGTCAAGACTCTGTTTATTCCGTTACTACCAGTCAACCCCTGCCACCCCCTGCTACTTTTCTCAACGTTATGCGCTATTTGACACGTGTGATTTTCCAGACTGTAAAGTATTTTTTCTGCGCGGGGAATGCCAGTACAATAATTTTGAAATTTGCGGACAACGAACACTTCCCACGAAATCGTGCACGGAATTTGAAGCAAAGACTTTCGAAGAGACCTTGTATTAGTTGTTTTTTCTTGTAATCAGAAGTCGGAAGTTCAAATAGTGGAATATTCGAGGGGAACATGACCAGATAAACAAATATTTTGCGCGGAATCTACGGCAGATTCTTAATAATACGCGGGCGGAAATAAGGGCAAAAATTATTTCGCGGGGAACGCATTCCCCGCGCAGACCAAACTTTTCAGTGTTTTAGAATTTATAACTATACTGTTATAGCTTAAACCCTCAGGCAGTCTCATTTCCTGTTAAGAGCTCTAAAGAAGAACCTTGGATATATATAGCTCGGTAATTTTATACAAAAGTTTATATAACTTGGTAATTTAAAAGTTTATATAACTTGGTAATTTTATACAAAAATTTTTAAATTGAGAATTGAAAAGTTGCTCAATGATTGCATTGAGTATGAAACTCAGCTCAGAGAAGCGACATCCTGCGCTATTACAGTGTACAGCTCCACCTGTTATACGACATCAAGCACTTAATGACATACTGGTAAATAGTGATTTTCATTAACTAACAATTGGTTAACCTTTAAGCAGTAATAGTAAGGAGCTTACTTGCTCATGTGTAACAATGCTAGTGACTTTTAAATAACAACTAGAGAATTGCAAGGACATCTAGAGATATTATATCATATTAACATAACCATATTATTAAGGCATAATTAGGCAAAAATATATTTACACATATTTATTTGCATTGTTTATTTGCTTCACAGGGGGTGACTTTACCACTGGTGATGGGAGAGGTGGCTACAGTATATATGGAAATAGATTTCCAGATGAGAACTTTACCTTAAAACATTATGGTCCTGGGTGGTTGTGTATGGCAAATGCAGGAAAAGACACCAATGGATCTCAGTTTTATATTACTTTCATCAAGACTCCCTGGCTAGATGGTGAACATACATGCTTTGGAAAAGTACTGAAAGGAATGGTATGAAAATTATTTTTTTTCTTAACCTAAATAGCATCAGTTCAGTACAATGGGAAGGAAGAAAGTAAATGAAGGTCACCACTATTTCAGAGAAAAAGATTTTCTTGGGAAAAAAGGATTTTTATAATTTTATGAAGGGGTGTGGGCCCCCTAAAAATTGTAGCAGTATCCCTGATATATCAATTACCTTCTAAAATAGAAAGAATTTTGCTGAAAAATGCAAGGCCTTCTGAAAGTTTCATAATTCTCTTTTTGCATTTAGGCTAATGTCCTATTGTTGATATAAACAGTACCCTGACAGGAATTGTGCATATAAAGCCATGTCTAATGGATAGAACCTCTATATTCAGTTGTATCCAGTGTGGTCAATTTTATTTCTTTCTTTCCGTTAAATCTTTGTCTTAAAGGAAGGGTATGTTGAAAAGTTGGGAAGGTAAAGCAAAAAAAGCTGCCGTTTTGTATTATAGGGGTATTGTTTTTATCATTCCTGGAAAATGTGGAGAAATATGCATCTCAAGGTCCTGATTTCACTGCACCTGCCAAAATCTATTCAGCATTTCTAAAGAGCATAATGTATATTTTGTTTATAACAAACAAAATGATATATGTTTTACATCTGCCAACAGGATGTAGCATACAAAGTGATGAACAACCCCACAGGTCAAGGTGATCACCCAGTCCTGCCAGTGAAGATTACAGACTCCAGAGTAATCACAGTTGAACAGCCATTTGCTGTTGCGAAAGAGGGTGTCACACAGTGAGAGTTTCCTTTGTTTACTCAATACTAAGGCGAAAGCCAAAATAGATAATAAAAGACATTGCAGCTGGCAAATTTATAAATATTTTTAATTTTTTATAAAAAAAATGATATATGTATTTAACACAGTTTTATAATCTTCTTTGAACATTTTCTCCATCAACTGTATAGCAATCTGAGCCAGTTTAAAGACTTATTTTACAGACTGTTAAGGATGAATAGCAGGGACTGCTGAAGCTGGGGGCTAAGGGGCTTTGATCCCCCTAATAATTTCCAAAATGTGCCTAACACCATATATGTCAAATCCTATACCTTTTCAATGCTAATAACAAACTTGGAAAAATACATTTGCTTTAAATGCAAATGGCTTTTCAGCAATGCACTTGATCATCACATGACACCTAGTAAAAAAGCAAGGGGACAAGGGAATGGATGCCCCTAAAATGTCAGAAAATGGTGCCTGAGAAGTTCTCCAAAAAGCTAATCTGATGCACAGCTTATGACATAACTGTGTCTCAAATGCGTCTTCAAAAATAATGGACAGGGTCATCCCTGGACTCCCTATGGTTATATTTGCTCCCTTTCCCTTTGTCAGTCTGCATTTTGCTATCTAGCTATGCTTTTGATGGCAACCTGGTTTTGTGGAACTCAAGAAATAAAGGCAGTAGCGGCGCCACGGGGGGGACTGGGGGGACACGGCTCCCCCCAGTTCTCAGCAAAATCGATTTTGTATTTCGTCTAAATTTGATGAGAAAATGTTGGGGGAGGGGTAATATTTTGATACCATAATTTTTGTGATGTAATCCTATGATTTTCAAACTGCCAATTTTCAAACAAAAGTTAGTCATAGGCATTCCCTTCGGATAAAATTGGCGTTCCCTGTTGGTAAAAGGGCGTGGCTTAAATTTTTTTGGTTAGTCCCCCCCCCCCCCCCCGAGGGCTTGGTGGCTGGCGCCGCCATTGAATAAAGGGTCTTTTCCACCAGAACAGTCAAAAGCATATTAGATGTGTAATTAAAAGGTAATTGTGAACACGATGATCAAGCATCGTAGAGCTTTGAAGAAAGGGGGTCTAAAAAAGTGGGGGGGGGGGGCTAGTACCGTATAAAAAGAGGCTTTAATGGTAGTTTATTAATTAGTATTTGTCATTTTTTGCAAAAAGTAGGGGGGCTAATGCCTGATGATATTAAGTTTGTAGTTGCAAATACCACACACTGATCAGTTACGCATGCGCTGCGCTTCTCACATTATCCGTAATGACGTAATGAAGATGTAGTAGAATGTGTGCTTTTAATGGCTAAAGATCGATGCGGATTACAATGGTATTTATGTCCAGTGGCAGATCCAGGCCGTGTCCGGAAAACAATCCATTTCAACAATTAAACTGCAAAGAACAATTAATCTTTCACTCAATATCCATTCATTTTTGTCGTTTTTGTGAAAACGGTTACCCATTTAGTTTTCAGCGTACTTATTTTTCTTACTCGACTTTTCTCGGCATCAACATAAAAACCTGTTAAAAACAATCCCAAAAGCAATTGGTCCCATCGATTTCTTTCACAAAATTGTCATACCAATTTTAAGCATTGGACCTAATATATTTTAATTGCACTTTTTGACCACTTTTGCCCCTGTCAATGCGTTTCCTGTTTCTGTTGCTTCTCGTTATGTTACAACCAATGGTGGAGTACCAATGTAATACGGACTCACTTGATTGATAGTGGCGAAGTATTACGCAACAAATATCATAGCTCTTTTGATTTCTTGCGTATAAATTGGTGTGTTCTATTTTTTTCTCCCCAGTACTGTTTTGGTGGGCAACTGCTAGGCCACAGGATTGCAGTCACCATGTTTCCTTTGAGAATCGCATTTCGTGACAAATGTCGCATGTAAATACTGTGAGATTTCCAGCCATACATTGTTCCTCATTCGCGCAAGTACTTTTAACAAATGCACAAGTTTGTTTTAGCGTAAAGGAAATCCTTATATCATATCAAATAATTTCGATTAGAGGCTGTGATAATTATTTATTCTGCAACTGAATAAACATTGTGGAATCGCTGTAACATCGTTCCTTGCTCTTATTTACCTACAGCCCTCCAGTCTGTCATTTGGCTTCCTTTTTTTTCAAACTTCCCCTCAGAATTCTAAAACGACTCTCATATTCGATTTCTGTCAACGTAGCTAGTTTATTTTGGTTCGTCCCCAGAACATTCTTTAAGAGTTCAGTCAAAGGTATGACGTCATATCTTGCAGCCCATATTAACAAAGCACCTTCCTCGCCGTACGAATGACTGTCCGAAAAAATTACGGAGCCGTCCGGAAAAATGAGGAAGGCGCAAGTTCTATATCTGTGTATGAATAGTATAACTTGCTTCTTGCAAAGGTTCACAAAGCGCTGAAGTTGAAATGCGACGCGGACCGTCTCGATCTCCGATTCAAATGTTACTGGCAAAGGATTCCCGATTTGCTTTATATTCAACTTGGTGCCAAATTGCTCGGCAGCCTCCTCGATACTGAGATCGAGTACGCCGAACTCCTTGAGGATCTTGTCGTAAAGCGCGTTTCCTTCCACAATTGACGATACGTACAGGTTTATCCAAGTGTCCGTAAGATAGCCAAACGGAGGTATAACTACGTCCGATCTTGAAAACAGCCGACCAATTATCAATGCGATAATTGTGCACGCATTACTGCCATTTCGTCCACCGTAGTACGACTGGCTAATGTGTCTGGGAAAGTGCCAAAATCGCAGTTTTGTTTCTCTAATGTGGTAACAAGGAATTAAAGCTGTCTCGAGGTCCTCCCGCGGTTTCGTCAATGCCGCCGCGTGACTAGATTTTCGGAGCCTGGAAATAGCCTCCTCGTAGCCGATGACAAATGTGGTTTCATCGTAGCTGGACAATTGGAAAAACGATTTCTCGTTGCTATCTGTCGAGTTTGTGGTGTCATTCTTCCGCAGCGGATTCTTCGTTAGATAACGCAGACAGATTCCGAAAGTAAGCAGGCCTATGTAAAGCAAAGGCAAAAAACTGCTCACCACGCACAGTGCAACGAACCTGTAGTAGTTGTACTCTTCGACATCAACAATGTAGTTTTGTTTACCGCGATCCCAGTCGACAGCAAGCTCATGGAATGGACTATACCAATTTGTCATTGCCATAAGTAAGAAACATGAAGCAAGGGACATTGTGAAGTGAAACCGTGCGAAACCGAAGCATCGCAATGCATCTGTCTCTCCATCGATATTGATTAAGCTATATGTATAAGAAACGTTTTCGTTTCTAAGTAGAATGAAGAGAAGGGTCGTTGTTGTCAGCACACACAACGATATTGAACGAAAGCTAAGTGAGATATTTTGCTTGGAACCCGAAAATGGTGTACCGAACATGTTGCAGTACTCGTTTTCAGAGTCTGATAATGCCAGCCACGTGAAGAACACAACGAAGAATACCATTGTTGATAAAATGATTTGAGACGAGGCCTTGGTCTCCTTTAAGTGTGGAAAGTAAGATAGAGTTGCTGCAACCAGACATAGAAATATATTGATAGAGAGCAAGCACACTGTTGTGATGCACTGAGTCACAGAATTGAAGAAGAAAAAGGCCAAAATGAGATCAAATGCAATCGCATAGAAAATTGAAGTTGCTAAATGAATCAGGAAGAGCCATGTACATAGATAGCATGTTGGTTCTTCGCTGCGAGCATGTGCACTTCGCATCCACAAAATCTTCCAGGCATGGCTGAAGTCCAGGGACAGAATGAACATGACTGGGATGTAGAGAACAGCAGCAACTAGGTAAATGTAATACAGCAAGTGGAACGCAAACGGTCCGATTGGTATTATGAATGCTACTATGTTGATTGCCACGAATACGGGTAACTTTAAAAGCCAACAATTGGTGTGAATGAAGCCAGAGAAGTTTGGGCAACAGTTGCTATTAATGGTCAGCAGTGCAAGTAAAAGATGGTACACGGACCCAATGAGGGTGATTCTGTAACCGGCGTGAACACCTGATATGTGAACACAGATCTCTGACTTGAATTTACTCCAGCAATAGCTGTTCAATATATCGCTTAATTCCGGTATCAAGACGATGAATTGAATGGAACTCCAGACAAGAAGAACCATAATGTATATACACCTTGCTACTTTCACTCCCATAGAAAGAAATGTCACTTGGACAATTTTAGACTAGTTAAGTTTTGTTGTGATTTGCAAAAAACACTTTGGCCCAGAATTACTTCCCTTTCACAGTGATGAACAAACCCAGTTATGAGACATCAGATAGCTGCGATTACTGCTCTCAACATTTATTAGAAATAAGTTGAAATATCTCCATCATTTGTCGATAATTGACTTTCTCTCGAAGGGCTCCAAAAGAGCTGTTGCTCATCCAAACCGCTGTCGTAACCTTTTCATCACTCAGCTCCAAAGAAACATCACAACGCACTTACTTTGTTGATTGTTGGCAACATTATCACTAGAACCATTCTTCCAATCAGTGCAGGAAAATGTATTCAGTATTTTCCCCAGTTTGTTTCCTCCATTCTTAAAATTGTATTAGTCCGTGTTCTGGAAAATAACATTGGGGATGCCCCATCACATATCTGCTGTGATCTGAATTGATCTCATAAAGAAAATACTCATATACCCCTTCTCTTCAAGGATCTGTAGTTTCTTTCGAAACACACTAGCCATTTAAAAGGTAGCAATGTAAATCTTATCAAAAAATGCGCGCTCAATGAAACCACTGGTCCTGAAAGCCGCCACCCGACACGTCGCTTCTCCGTTCGTGAGGATTTTTTTCACAGTATCGTGCAACTTCAGGACGTCACTTGATCTTGCAATAAGCACCAGGACAGTTGGAAATAATTCCATTTTTGCTACTTTAACCTAACCATACGCTATAAACCGACTTTTGGCTAGGCACGAGGTTGGCAAACTCAGTGGCGAAGCTAGAGGTCATGCAGGTCATGCACAGCATGACCAAAACATTTTCCAGAAAATAATTTTTTAATCTATGAAAAAATCTCTCGCTATTTGAAAAAATGGGGTTTTTTCACATTCAAAATTTTCCAAAACCAAAGGAAATTGTTCTTTGCGTACTTTTATTTAACTCCGTAGGTGCAAACATAGGGTTTCTACATTTGAAACTCAATAAAGCTCAAGGGTTTCCAATTTAGTTATGCACTTTCACAGGGATCCCAATTTAGTCGTGCACTTTCAAATGTGCATGACTAAAACCCTATGTTTGGTCATGCAAAACCATGCGAAACAATGAAAAGAGCAAAATAAAAGTCGGTAGTGGAACAGATTTTCCTGTTGTGGACTATGTTTGCTAACACATATATTTAAGCCTATGGCCGCGGTCACACTGTACTTTTCCAAGCATCCTTTTTGCTAATCCGTATTTGTTCTTACATCATGCGACCGGTCACACATGATTTTTTATAAGGATGCTTTAGTACCCTCAAGGAATTAATAGCTCAAGAAAATAACATGCACATTTATAACACGCAGAGTATATTTCCCGCCAAAATTTCACTATTTTTGCTTCTTGGTTCACGCCAATTTAAAATTTCTTTATTCGTTATCATGATGGAGCTACAATCGTCTATCTTGTTTCTCGTAAATTCGAAAGTTTTTTCTTGGCCTGGTTGACAGTTTTTTTAGGTCCATTTTTATTAACATTATTTATAATTTTTGTCCATGCCTGCCGATTGCGACTGCTTTCCAGCTCCGGGACATTTTCTTTCCACTTTTTAATCAGGCTTCTTGCTTGAATCTCGGACCAGCGACAATTGTTTTCCCCTTTTTTCTTTTCATCTTCGTTCGCAACTTCATTCCCTGGATTCAAGTTCATACGCGCATTCTGGTAGCGTTCAAATTCAATTCGCTGCAAATATATTTGGTACTGAAACGGATTTTGCTGAGAATTGCCTCCAGATCCGGAAGGGTACGACATGATTGTTTTGTAAATTTTGCTTGTTGAATTTTCAGTGAAAAATTTATAAATGAAAAGAATTGTACGCGTGCGCTTTATTTTATTGCAACCGCCATAGGACACACATGTCAAGGACACGCACATCAGTAATCCTTTATGGAAACAGAACATCATGATTTTGTTCATTTAGAACGCATAACAAGTATTTAGCATGGTTTTGGGAAGGTACAGAGCATCCTAAAGAATTAAGGGGATTTCCTTTGAAAATGCAAAATTCCGACCGAATTCCAGAAATGTTTAGCAAGGCCATTAGTACAACACCTTTTAAGAAAGCATGCTTAAAAGCATAGTGTGACCGCGGCCTATGTCAACGAGGATTTGACATGCACGAACTAGGCCTTCGGCGCCTGATGATAAGGCAGGCAACGCTTACATTTCAAGAAAAACAATGAAACAAACTGCCTGGTTCTAATATCTATTTGTGGCTGTGCTGATAATTGGCAAGCCAAAAGTATTCCATGCTTTGATAATGGCTAGTGGATTTACATGCTAAATTCTCATAATATGTAACTTAAAATATTCAGAATGAATGTTTCTAGAACTTGTTGTTAGTCGAAGAAACACAAATACTTCATTGTTGTTGCTCTTTAGAAACATGCATTGCAAGTTTGACATACAATGAGACATTAAATTAGTGTTGCCTTCACCTTTTCAGTCTTTATCTTATAATGGCCTTTTTTGTTATTGATGTTGTGTCAGATGAGAGTATTGAGATTGTTTCAGAGGAGAGCTCTCCATTTTCTGATTATAATCTGTTTTGCCAAATTAAGAATGATGAATTTAAAATAAATGAGGTGTAGCATGAACATTGACTAGGGGGCGTTAATTTTTTTATTTGTAAAAATATCACTATTTGTACTTGTAAGTACAATAGTTCTAAGTAAGGAACTAGGGAAGGGTCATCAAAAGTGTATTTATCTTATCATGTATCAGAGCAAAACAATTTAGACATTTTATATTTTATATAATGTTGTGAGAATCAAATCTAGCTGTGTTTTGTTATCTCAAAAAGCCTTCCTTCAGTATCCAACAGTTTAATCAGGTGAATCAAACTGCTCTTGAAATAGTAAATATGAATAAATTGAATGTCAGAGTTTAAAGCAAGTTAACATAAAAAACAATCAAAAATTTGGATTTCAGAATTAAAAAACATGTTTAGCACCTAAAGCCAAGTCTTCTTCAAAACATGTCTCAAGAAAGTATCTGAAAATTATTCTTTTGCAAATTGTTAAAGTTTTATGCCACCTAAGGCTTTTCTGGGTATTTTCACAGTAGCTGAAAACACTTTTCTCACAGGAACTGATCTAACCTTAACTTAAATTGGGCACCTTGCTGTGGTGACGAAAACCCTGTTTATTTTTTTGCCCAAGTGCATGACCAACTCTCCAGAGCTGGCTTCGCCACTGGGTAAACTGCATAATACTCAGTATTGTGGTGAGTCATACCGGGTCGGGATTGGTTGACATGCAAGCAGGTTTATGTCTGCGTATCATTTATTTTGGTTCAATGGCCATTAAGGCTACTTTTGAGAGTGGATTTGGTCCGAGAGCCCTAGGTTGGCCGTTGCTCTCTCCTCTCTCCTCTCTCCTCTCCTATTTCTAGAAACAGTTTCTATTTCTTCTTTTCGTTCATTTTGCATCTTTAAATTGTAGTTAATTTAGTTTTTTATGTTGAATGTAAATTACCTCAGGGTTCCTATGTATTTCCATGCTCCCTGTGGTATCGTCTGCTAAATTTGTGTATGTTTTGTAAAACTTTTCTGTGAATATAAAAAATACAGTGCTGATGGCTGAAAAACTAAGAACAAATTTAAAAAGGAATTGATGAATTTATGTTTCGAAGGTCTATTAGATAGGGTGAATAATGGCTGTCAGTTCTGGCTGGGGAAGCTCTGTAGCTAACTGTATTAGGGGAAGATGCGGGGAGAAAAGGAGCTCACAATTGGACAGGCAAGATGACCTAGAATAATTGGAAGGGAGCCCAGTTGCCGGTCACTAAGGACATTTTATTACGGCTACGTCGTTTTCATTGTAATGGAAAACTGAATAGGCAGGCAATGGGACGACAGTGCTGCAGCGATAAAGAATGACGTCACAAAAAGCTATTTTTAGAATTTTTTAACTTTTATCATAAAATATAAAGGAACTCCATGAACTTATTCTAAACATGCAAAATCAGTTAAATTTGTCAAAAATTGGGTGAGCTATGGGCAATGGAAGATTTGAAGTTTGCTAACGGATCACTGTTATTTTGGCCCAGTAAATAAAGTTATGAACTGAGACCAAATTACAGAGGTTTGATGGGGCCAGAGCTTGTGCTCATCTGGTCATATCTCAGCAAATTCGTAATACGTTTAACTGATTTTGCAGATTTAGAGATGTTCTGTCAAGTTTTGGATAAAAAAATTCAAAAATATGATATTGTGGCGTCATCACTTAAGAACTCTATTAACAAGTGTTGTAATAAGGAAATGGAATGAGAGCTGGGTTGAAACCAAATTCTAAGCTTCAAAATGAATAAAGCTCTTTATTTATTCTTGTTTTCCAACTTGCAGCTCTTGATTCCAACTTACAAAAGTTCTTACACATTTCGCTCCCAACTAATTTTCCCAATATTGTCATCTGAAGAAAAATCTGACTGATTAATACCTATTTGAGTCTGGTATTATGCAAGTCAAAAAAATATCCGCTTAATGCTAAAAGAGAAACCAGAACTAATCAATACATGCTCTGGTAAGAGGAAAACTTGTCCATGAATTTTCTTTATGGAATAAGAAAATCAGAGGTGGAGAACAGATGGGAAGGGAAAAAAGTTAAGTTTCTCTATGATCTTCTTTAACCTACAATGCCCGCCAAAAGTATTGGAACAGTCCAATCATCTTTCCTACTAAACGTCTCCCCTCCCCCCATATACAATGTTGGATTACGACTGGAAAATGACAACAAATGTATGTTGGCGCACAAATTGTATAACCCATGTTTAGCGACATGCTCATCCTTCTTCAAACCATTGTATAAGGGGGGGGGGGGTGGTTCCGTCTGCTTGAAAATGGGAAATGAATTGAAAAATATACATTTATTAGAAGTACAATCTCGGTGTTCCAACTACTTTTGGCGGGCATTGTGTGTCCCTCATTACTTATTTGCTTCTTTGTGGCCCTTATTACCAAGTGAAACTAAAAATGTGCAATTTAGCCCTCAAATCATTCCAAACGATGCTTCTTCTTGATAATTCTTTCCGATTACTTGCCTCTTCTTCAGAGGTGTTCCCCTTGTGAAACATGGTTTTTGCTCATTCAAAACTAAATGAACATCTTGTTCCTCCGCATCGTGAGGAAATGCAGATTAAATCTAAAGATAAAGTGGTATTGAAATAAGAAACAACATTTGCAACAATTTCACATAATATGTTTATGTCGATGACTTGATTGCGTATCTATTATTCCCTGAAGTTTGAACTAACTGGTCAATTACCTCATATTAAAGAAAAACGCTTTCAGCTTTTGAGCCTATTAACTGCACGGCAGTAGAATGCAGCTTAGTGGAAACTTTGATTGTTTCAAACGACGTTGTCTATGGGCTGCTCACTCAGAAATATCATTGGAACCTGCTGAATCTGTCATTTTGTTTGATGATCTTTGCTCATGGTCATAACGCCTGTTCACTGCGATCATTAGCCGATTCGACTTTCAATAGACCACACTAACACAACCTGTGATACCATCAAGATCAGTGATTCTGCTTCAGTTGTTTCTAATCTGATCCAGTGTTAACTCTGGTCTCGTTTGAATATTGGATGCATAAACTGGGATAAATTTGGTGTTCTTTATAACCGAAGGCACTGCTAGGTGTCTGTGTTTGGCCTAGAAGCATCTATATTACAGTATTCTATATATCAAAGCATATTTGATTGCGTCGAAAATTCATTGAATTTTGGCTGAGTGTTATGACAGATCGGAACCAAGGTAAGGAATTTCACTGAATATAGCCATAAACGTGTTGATATTGATCCCCATCTAAGCTTAATCTGACGGTGTTTAATCTTCAGTTTCTAACTCCGCTGAAATACATATGTATCTTAAATATCTGATTTCGTTCTAGAACACATTGCCGTCATTAAGAATATATACAATTCAAATATCTGATTTCATTTTATACCAAAGTTTGTCATCACCTTCTAAGTACCAAAGAAAAATTAGGAAACTTTGACACCGCAATTAAAGATATTTTGGAAACTTCAGGCAATTTTCACTAAACATGCAAGAAAATTATTCAGCCTTGAGACTATCTTAATTATGTTGTAACAAAATTTCAAAAATGATCCTAATCCATTAAGCTGAAAATTTTCAAAGTTTGATTATTAAGAACGAATACATGTAGCTTTTATGAGACTCTAATATTGATCAGTTGAAGAATATTTTGATTAAGTAAATTGACATGAATTTAATTCTTTTTACGATAAAGCTGGAATAAAGAACAGAATATGGAAATTTAGTATTTTAAACAGAAATATTTCTAGCAGATGCTTTGAGATGATTTACTGTAAAACCTCCAAAGATATATAGGTGTTGTAACATCACCATCTAAGGACCATTCGTCGAATCAATTTACTGTCCGTTTAGGGGGAAGTCTCTACTTATTTCTGTTCTGTGTGTGAAGCTTCGACTTCAAAATACAAATTTTGAGACATTTTGAGTTGTCTAGTGATAGACGTTTCGTTGCATTATTTCTGTGGAATTTTTACACGTGGATTCTGCATTCTCGTTTTATAATATTCTTAACTTTTCCTTGATTTGCTTTTTGTATTTTCAGATTAACGATGGCTACGGCATTTATGAGTTCCTCGCAAGTAATTGAACAAATTTATGAACAGTTAATCTGCGCAATTTGCCTGGAAAGGTTCAATAATCCAAAGTTCCTTACCTGCCTTCATACTTTCTGCTCACAGTGTTTGCATCGAATTACTAATCAAACCCCAGCGAAACACATCACTTGCCCCACATGCCGCGTGGAAACCCCCATACCCGAAAAGGGTATCGATCAGCTACCAATAAATTTCTTCATAAATAATATGCTTGATGTTGTTCAGTATAAGTTTGAGGAGATAAAAAAAGAAAAGCGAAAAGGTCTTAAGTGCGAACAATGTCAAGACAACGAAAATTCGACCTCTCGTTGTGTCGAGTGTGACGTCATGCTGTGCGGAGGCTGCATCGCAGAACACAAACGAACCCGCGGGACTATCGAGCACAGGATTTTGGGAATTGATGATGATGATTTTGGCAATGGTCAATCACTTGATAACTACACACTTGCTTTTTGTAAGTATCATACGAAAAATGTGATAAAGTACTTTTGCAATACATGCGATGAAGCAGTCTGCAGAGTATGCACAATTCTGGAACACAGGGAGCATCAGTTTGTCTATCCAAAAGAGGCTATTCCGCAGCAAAAACCAATCATAGAGAAATTGCTAGACGCGACAAAGACACACATACCAAAACTAGGAAATACATTGGCAGAGGTGCGCGGGATGCAGCAAACGTTGAAAGAATGCAAGCAAAGCATAATTAGTGAGATCAATGCAAAAACGCAAGCCAGAATAGATGCTCTCTTAGTAGCAAAAGAGACGATACTAGAGAAATTGAACAATATATATGAGCGTAAACAGAAGATTTTAAGTCTTCAACAGGATGGTGTCGAGTTGGAATTAGGCAAAATTTCTGGGTGTTGCAGTTTTGCGGAGAATGTGCTTGAGTTTGGAAATGAAGTTGAAATTCTTCAGATTAAGTCAACACTTCAAGCACTGAACCAAATGAAGGTGAATTTGGAGCCGGAAGAAGATGACACCATTCAGTACATCTGCAACAGTGACTCCATACAAACAGTGATGGCATCCTTAGGTAGCATTCAAGCCAGCCAAACCTTCGCCTCGTTATCATATGCAGAAGGCGATGGATTCGAGTCTGCACGAGTTGGGGTTTTAGCCTCGATCACGTTACATGCTCGTGATCGTCATGGTCACAAGAAAGTTGGCGGAGACAGAGTAAAGGCGGCGATTGTCTCACCGGAGGAGGTTGAGCAAGATCTTAATGTTGAAGACAATGGTATGGTTTTCTTTCGTTTAAGAACTTTTGCTATGTTGACTAACAATATATATTGTGATAAGGATTGCACTAAGAAATGCAAGTGTGTGCACATCTTGGATGCACATACAAATCTCATATAAGGACGCCCTCCTTTGTATTGAAACATAATCTTTGTCCTTTATAAAATACAGCTAAATTTTCCACTTCAAATTTTAATAACCTTATTGCCCGCTTTATGTCCCTCTGATCTTCGTTTACAAATATTCACATCAACCTCAGCGACATTTTTAAAAATGTATTTTGAACAATATATAATGATATTCCTATTTATTTTGCAGTTCTTATTCTTGACTTTCCAAAAAATTGGCAAGCCACGCCTTTCTCGAATGGGAACTTATTCACCCATACCTGTTTTTACACTTGCTTTCATTTACCCATCAATTCAAAATTTATATTACAATATTCAAAACATAGCAAATATTTATAATCTAATGCAAACATTATTATGAGATAAATGTCTTACAGATAATTTGTCAGATAATTACAGATAATGTCAAAAGGGGCGGCTGAGCTGAGGAGGTTTTACCCCCCCCCCTTCATTTCCTCAGACGTTTCTTATTTCTATATAGCTACAAAATTCGTGCTGACAAGCTTTTAATTTAATTCGCATTACTTTTTCATCTCAAATTCCACCTCCCCCCTATCCTTCAAGTTTTGTTCCGATATCCGCGCAATGAAGTTTTTCCTCGGGATTACTCAATGTTTGCTTTCTTCTAAAAGTTTAGCCAAATTTTTCATTCATTCCATTCTCATTTGTTAATATTTATGCAAGTTAAGCTTCATACAGGACGTTTTTCAAACCGACCAGATAAACCAAAACTAACTATTTGCATTGTATTTGTTCCATCAACCGTTCTATCGCCATTTGTTCTATCTATCGTGCCATCTGAAGGTAGTTTAAGGTCACTGAGAAGCTTATGCTTATCGAGCAGTTTCCTGGTCCTTCCTCTCGACGTGACCACACCTAGTTATTCCTACATCTGGAATTACAGAGAGCTGCCCACTCCTCTCATTCTGTATGAAATTTTTATCTTGCCAAGTACTCGAACCCCAATTCCTTAGATCTGTAGTCCGTAACCCTAACCACTGGGCCATCCCCACACATTAGCACAATCCTCAAAAAATTAACTATATATAAAGGCCAGTTTTAGTGCTTTATATTTGATTCTTGTTTTCATTTCTATTTTACTTCTCTAGGCGATGGGACTTATGTTATCACATTTACGCCAGAAGTCAATGGCAAACACGTGCTGCATGTGCGAATCCAAGACAAGCCAATAAAGGACAGCCCATTCCAAATTTCTGTCATCAATCGCAGAGAGTACAGCGAAGTTGGCAGCAGCGTTATGAAGTTCGGTCAATACGGTTCAAAGAGGCGCGAGTTCAAGTCGCCGTTCGGTGTCGCCTGCGATAAAGAAGGATTCGTGTATGTCGCCGACAGCTACAATCATCGTATCCAGATCTTCGGTCCCCGAGGTGAATTCGTCAACCTATTTGGATCTCACGGCGATCGCAAAGGCGAGTTCAATTGTCCGACTGACGTTGCTATTGATGCTGATAATAGGCTTATCGTTTGTGATAATGGTAATAACAGGATACAAGTATTTACCAGAGCTGGGGGAATTGTAAATAAGTTTGGCAGAGAAGGGATCAAAGGCGGGAATTTCAAATCACCTTGGGGAGTCACAGTCTCCCCATCATCACGTGAGATCATAGTCGCAGATACAGACAACCACAGAATACAGATTTTCACCAAAGAAGGGAAATTTGTCATGAAATTTGGTTCACAGGGTGAACGTGCAGGACAATTTAACTCACCTTGTTATGTGGCAGTAAACCACGACAATGAGAACATTCTCGTAGCTGACTCCAAAAACCATAGAATTCAGATATTCGATCAACGTGGAAAATTTATCCAAATGTTCGGCATGCATGGCCAAGGAGAGGGACAGTTTAATCACCCAAGAGGACTTTCCATGGATATTGCAGGAAATATAATCGTATCTGACATGGGCAATCATCGCTTGCAGGTAGTCACATACTCTGGGAAGCTCATCAAAGTCATTGGTTCAGAAGGCAACGGTGACGGCCAGTTGTCCTTCCCCGAGAGTGTAGCGGTCACGCCAAACGGCTACATAGTTGTTTCTGATCTTAGCAATAACAGAATACAAGTATTCTAATACAGGCTTTCAAATAATACATTATATGTCTGTTTTAACAGGTTTTGAGGCATATAGCATTGTGATGAAATAACGGAGTCATATAGCCTCGATTGGATTCTCCCATCCCTTCAAAGCCCCATAATGCAACACTAGATTTATTTAGCTTGATGAGTATTGGTATATACCTCAGAATAAGACTAATGATGTTCAGAAAACCTAGCATACCGGACCTGTTGTTTTGTGCTATCAACCTGATTGGATTCCGAATTCGGTGCGGTACCGCATGAATAGCCCGAGTTCAACAATGCTTTCTTTCAAGTCCGCATGCATACGTCATCATTTAAATGTACCGTTTCTGAGGCGGTCAATGATACTCCAAACAGAGAACTGAAAGCTTTTTTCTGAACAATCTGATTCAATTTAAGTAAAACTTGACTTTACTAGAAACCTGAAGATAAATTAAACACATTTTTCGTTTTCTGCTAAATAGATAATAAACTTTCTTAAAGAAGCTTTGATGACCACTCTATTGTTTCTAAGAAAAAGACCTAGAAAAAGTCTAGTTCGCCAGTTCAACACTTAAAGAAGATCTGACTGGTTATATCCGGAATTCAGTTTTTATACACAGCAGTTTGCTTTCCTTTCTTAACAGATTGAACGTTTCTAGAATGAAATATTGACTGTGTTATCATTAGATGTTAACCAGTTCAATGTTTCTAAACTATAGGGAACATTGTTTTTTGAAATCTTGTGGGTAGCTTTTTGATAAAAAGTAAGAAAGCAATATTTGTTAAATTTCTAAAAACCATAGAGGAGTTTTTAAATGGTTAACGGTCAATTACTAAGAAAAGTACGAAACATTTACTTATAAGAATTATGTTAGCATGGCCTAAATTGATTATAGTGCAAGACGTTTGGTGTAAACAGTTTGATTACAAAATTGCTGAATTAATGTCCAGGGCCCAAGCCACAAATTTCAAAGTGGAGAGGTCAAATGCTATTAATCGAACTTGACTTTAGTGCTTCAAAACAGGGCACCTTTGTAAATATTTTTGCTTACCAAAAAGGTGGGGAGGGTCCGGTGGCGTGGGCCCTGATGTCAGCATTTTATCAGTATCGATTGTGCCTGATGCGTTTATCTTTATTTATAGCTACAGACACGCTGCCAATAGCTGAAACAATTTTCCTCTTTTTCTTAAAAAGAAATTTAAAGCTGTTGTGGTACCCTAACTACCACTTGCTATCAACCTCATGAAAAATCATCACCTCTGTATTCTACACGGAGATTGGTCACACTAGCATTAAGAAACAAGCAAAAGGCCTAGGCCTTAAGCCCTGGCCAAACGAATAAAACATCGGCAAAGAGCATCATCCAACATTGTTGCATAAAACATGTTTTATTCGTTTGGCCACCATGTTATACGATGTTTTATGATGTTTTGCAAAATTTGATTTTTATCAAACGTTTCGTAAAACATTTCTTTTATTCTCATGTTTGATCAACAATTTTGCGTTCGTTTGCCACCCCTTAAAACATTTTTTTACTAACGCAAGTGCAGTAGGTTAAAATTTGGCAAATACAACGCAGTAACTGTAGGAAGCTGTGCGGCAGCGTTTGACCATAACATGTTTTAACATTTGTTTCGTTTGGTCAGGGCATAAAAAATCGTCAAACAATGTTAGTACAAAAATGTTTTGTAATGTTTTACAGATGTTTAATTCGTTTGGCCAGGCCTTTACATCGCTACATCATTTAGCGGCTCGCTTTGATCCCATTAAAGAGTTAACTATTGTTTTATGTACCACTTATGAAAGATCATCATTATGATGAATGAATGAAAGTAGATATACATATATATATATATATATTTATATAGTTTAAACCTCGGTACTTGATTGTATAGGCATTTAGATGAACTTAATTGTATTCTAGATAACATTTATTTAAGGTTTCAAAATCATGTATAAAAACATAATAAATATTATGGTTTCAGTAGCTGAAATTTTATCAAGAGTTAAATCGAACTTTAAACCATGTTGTTATTTTTCCTGCTCATTGCTCAGGTGTTTCTGGTATGACCTAGGCAGCGGGTTCGGGCATACTCCCCCAAAACATCTAATTTTATTTTGTAAACTATCGTAAACTATCGAAAGTTTTACAGCATTTTCTTAACCTTCAACTCATTATTCTTTTGAAAGAAATTTTCATGTAGAATATTTAGTCATAGATAAATCTTCAAAGTGACATAGGCCCCGTTTGCACCATGTTTTGACATAAGTTTGTCAAAGTTGATAGTCTGACAATCGTTGGTTAATCGTTGGTTGGTTTAACGTTGGATATAAAACACGTTAGTTTATCTACGACTCAAAAGTAAGAAATCAAGTAGATCCCAAGTGTTTTGGAGCTTCCCTCGGCCCGAAGCATCCTGGTTAAAGCACACTTTATGCGATGAACGAATATCTGATTTAAAGTTCAAGAAAAGCTTAATGATTGAAGGGAACACATTTTGGATTATTCTAAACATTTTGCCAAAATTGTTATTGTTTTTTCTAGAAATAAGGCGATTGGTTTACTCGGTTTTGTTTCATCTTTTGTCTACACAATGGCGCCTTTTTCGTTTGTATGTAGATCGACTCCAGTTTACGTTTGAAAAGGAAGAAAATGATTCCTTGCCATTTTTAGATGTTATGATCGAAAAGTCTAACACTGGATTTCTTACCAGTGTATATCGCAAGCCGACTTTTACCGGTCAGTACATACGCTGGAATTCATTTTGCCCAAAACAATGCAAAGTCGACCTTGTCTTATTACATAGGTCACTTACGATCTGCTCGAAATCTAAACTGCACGCTGAACTGGAAAAACCTAAAACGATCTTCCTGGACAACGGCTATCCAGAAGACGTCATTTTATCTTATACTAAGGAGAAGATCGCAAGTTTTTCAGCTGTTCAAAAGTTTGGTCCGCAAAAGTGCCCAGTTTATTTGAAACTACCATGGATTGGTAACACTTCCTTGCGATTCGAGAGTCAGATTAGGCAATCCATAACCAAATTTTTCTTTGCTGTCAATCCTCGGATTGTTTACAGCACTAGGAGAGCCCTTCCATCCATTCAAAAGGATTGCGTTCCTACCAACCAAAAAAAGTTCCGTCATTTATAAATTTACGTGCCAGTGTGATTCTGGCTACGTAGGACGCACAACCCAAAGATTGGGGGATAGGATAAAACGGCATGTTCCTTCCAACATAAAAGAAAAACTGCCCTTCAAAGAGAACAGCCTCCTCGATCTTGTAGGTCTAGAAGCTCTGTTAAAACAAGTGATTCTGCCATCGGTCAACATCTTTTAGACAACCCAGATTGTGCAAAAATCTATAATGACGACATGTTTCGGATAATTGGCGGAGCCCAGTCGTCCTTCCATCTAGCAGTTTTGGAGTCGATCTACATATAAACGAAAAAGCCGCCATTGTGTAGACAGAAGGAGTTCGTTTTCTCTCTTGGAATCCATTGGTAATTTTCTTTAGGCTTGCGGCACTGATTGGTCAACTATACCGGTCTTGTGCTTGCGTTTTTCTGATTGGCCTATTTCGATCCACAACTGGGTATATATTTTTCATCGTGTTCTTTCGGAACCTTATTTTGACGTTTTATGCTCTGAGGAATGTCAGACGAAAAATCTTTTATCATCTTGTAAAATGTTTGCTTTTTTCAAAGCAATTTTTAGATTTAGCGGCAAATTTTAGAAAGTCTACGATCGATGTGATGAATAGAAACCAGATAAAACGAGGATTTCTGTAAATTGCTAAAAAAATTGTATGGTTGCTCGGTATCGACGATCCATACGATCAGTGGTGTCCAACGATCCACCTTGACAGGTTGTTCCGCCGATTGAGTGTTTAAGTTTCCAATGTCTATTCGAATGGATTTTCTTATTGTTTTACACTGTTATATATAGTTAATAATATTTCTTTGGATCTCAGATTTTGCAATCTTTTTTTTCCAAGTAGCTCTTTGGTTTATTATTGCTTCACTTTCTCTACTTTTCCAGCTACATAGCCGTAACTTTTATTGTTCTTAGGGGGTTGAAGGCTCGTACCCGAAAAAAAGCTTCAAAATATTTTGCTTCCAATAAACAGTACCTTTTGTTCCTATTGTTCTCAAGCAACAGGAACCTGTTTTAATTCTATCCTACCTACGGTCAGCGGCGAAGCTAACCAAGAACAGGTGGTCCTGCTCAAAGGGGGTCTGGGGGCATAGCCCCCAGAAAAATCGCGTGAAGCCACGCCCTAGATACCCTCGGAAAAGGGGGAAACGCCCTTCTGGATATGTTGAAATCAAGATTGCAGTGAAACATTTTTCGCTGTCACATTTTGGAAAAAAGGGGATGAAGGTTCGGATCCTTTCAAGTTGCTCCTGCCTTACATTGAAGAAGTCAAAAGAGCATCACAAAAATTCTTTCTAAAATAAGTTAGATTTGAAAATGTTTTCATTGATTGAAAATTTTGAAATCATGGACTAAAAAGAAATTGCTTGTACAGATAGGCATATACAGTTGTAATACATACTGGAAACATAATTGATTCAAATTATTTAAAAAAGTAAAAATATTTTGTCACAACATGGATATGTCTGATGAACGGTAGATAGGGTCTTGAATCAATTTGTTTTGAATATCAGAGGGGACCCCTGACATTTTGCCAGTACAATACAATCTGAGTCAACGAGTACAAAAGCTCCCAGTAATTACCATTGTTTTCCTTTTCATCCTTTTCAAAGCGTTCTTTTCATCGGGACCTCTGAATTGTATGGTAGTTCCTGTTTAAGGCAGTAGGACGAACTGCTGAAATTAAATTTAAGCAAGCCCTTTTTCTGTCATGAACACCCCATCTCCCCTCGATCTCGACTTTCCTGAAAAAATAGAAGATTCTCTCTCGGAAGCGGCGGCAAACTTTTTCTACTTTTTAAAATAGGCCTTTGAATATGACTTCCTTCGCTCTCTGCAGTCTGGGAGAAAACTATATGCATATCAGGTTTCTCGCGATGTCTGTGATATTCCCGACTTTAACAGTAAATAGGAGCAACAGAACGATCCTAAACAATTTGATTTCCATAAGTACCACTCCTCTTGAAACGATCGATTCTTGTATAAATCAATTGACGACAGTGTAGGGCCGAAGCTTCTAGCAGCAAAAACCTCTTCAGCAGCAGAATCATGATGTCTTCGTTACAGTTAGTTTTAGCCATGATATCAAAATAGTTAAGCCTGACTATGGCCTGAGTGAAAATTCTTTGTGACCTTTGACCACAGCGCCGAAAATCAACAAATTATACCGAAACATAGGGCTCCAAAAGTCTAGGTCCTGCCTTCATGAAAGAGCAGGACCTGAGGTCCTGCCATTTCTGAAGGGCAGGAGTGCCATTGTTTTCTTCTATTGCGAGGCAGGTCCAAAAACAGGGCTACGAGGCATTTGCCCATTGTTGGGCAGGACCAAACATAGGGTTTAGTCCTGCCTACGAGTATTGGGCAGGACTGACCACAGGGCTAAATTTTTGACGATATCAATTTACGAACGGAATACTCGAAATTCCATTTCAGTCACCCTGTGTCTCAAAATTGAAAAAGGGCACAGCCACGAAGTATAAGTGTAGAATAAGACAAGAAATGCCTTTGAATCAGGCATATAATGATTTTATAAAGTGAATCAAATTTTAACATTTTAAAAATTGTTATCTTTGGAAATTCGTGGTCCTGCCCGGCAGGACAAGCAGGACCTTTGGCTTCGCCACTGCCTACGGTCCTGTGTACAATCAGCAACAAAGTACTTCGCCCAGCCAATCGCTGGCAACGCAACGATTGCTAACAACGCAACGATCTCTAGCAGCGCAACGATCTCTGGCAATGCAGCGATTGCTTGCAACGCAATGATCGCTGGCAACGCAACGATTGCTAACAACGCAACAATATCTGGCAACGCGATGATCGCTTGCAATGCAACGATCGCTAACAACGCAACGATCTCTAGCAACGCAACAATATCTGGCAACGCAATAGTCGCTTGCAACGCAATGATCGCTGGCAACGCAACGATTGCTAACAATGCAGCAATATCTGGCAACGCAATGATCGCTTGCAATGCAACGATCGCTAACAACGCAACGATCTCTAGCAACGCAACAATATCTGGCAACGCAATAGTCGCTTGCAACGCAATGATCGCTGGCAACGCAACGATTGCTAACAATGCAGCAATATCTGGCAACGCAATGATCGCTACTAAGGTTTCAATGAAGACACATCGATCTCTGGTCACAAATTTCTGCAACCTGCCATTTAATTGTTCCTATTCTTTAGCAATGTCCGTGCGTCTTTCTCTCCAGAGTTATATCGATCGAATAAAAAACCAACACCACCAATCACAACTCATCAAAAAGGTCACGTGACAACAACAGCAAAGTCAATGAAGATAGGGGGCAACAACCACTTTTCCCCACACATTGAAACCAAGCTTTAATGTGCATTGAGCATGGGCCATGTGAAAGACTTTTATCAAAATTACAGGCCGTTGGTACTCCGAGCACGCAGAGGGATGGCGTCGACCCTTTCGAAGGTTTCGCAAATAGCAAAAAAATTAGTCTACCACTGAAAATGGTTTTTATTTCAAAATATTCATTAAGCAAGATTCCAAGATTGTCCGATTATTTGAAAAGGTTATGGTATTGTCATGGCATCCCTTATTGGTAAGGAATTGTGATCGGCAGAAATGAGGCTGCAGGCTGATGAGTCTTGTTGGCTTGGATACAATTTTATATTTCTATGAGGTGGTATCGTAAGGGAGTGTTGTTGACAATTGATTGCGTGACGCTTTGAGACGGCTTGCTGAGGTGTGGCGACAATGCCTTTGTGGTTGAGATCTACTGAAGTTGATGCTTCGGATTTTGATGACCGTGGACCTAGAGGACCAATAAATGCCATTTCGCTTTTCCGATGACTTTGAGCAAAGTCTTCCTTCATTTGGTTAAAACGCTCTATTAGATCTTTTAGTGTATCCGTGATCTTGGATAGAAGTTACCTCTTTCTCAATCTAGCCCCCCTCTCTGATTGTAATAGGACTGGACGCTAGTTTACATTACTCTATGATAATTTATGTTGCTTGTGTTTAGTATGTACTGTTGTAATTATGTAATTATCATTAGTTAGTTTCGAGTCTCAACACGAGTTGCACGCTATCGTCATCGCTTCTTATCGTATACGACTACTTGCAAGTTACAGCTAACCCTTAACCTGTAACAGTTGGTGGAGGACCCGATTTTGCTTTCAAGCATAAGAGCAACGATTCAGAACCAATTAAGCATCACTTTCACAGACACAAGGATGTTATTTGCCGCCTGTTCATATTGCAAAGGCTACGGTCATTACAAATCTCATTGCCTCAAACTGCTAACGAAGCTCAAAGATTCATCCCTAGAAATATGTCGAGATCTCAACCGCTTCAAAGTCGCCAGTTGTGAACAAGATTCCAAGATTTGCAAATATGGAAGAGACCACATATGTTGAATCTGCCTGAAATTTAACTGCAAAGCCTACACTCACATTCACAGTTCACACGACACTGCCAACTTCAACCAGAAGTCACTTCTATCCAAGATCACGGATACACTAAAAGATCTAATAGAGCGTTTTAACCAAATGAAGGAAGACTTTGCTCAAAGTCATCGGAAAAGCGAAATGGCATTTATTGGTCCTCTAGGTCCACGGACATCAAAATCCGAAGCATCAACTTCAGTAGATCTCAACCACAAAGGCATTGTCGCCACACCTCAGCAAGCCGTCTCAAAGCGTCACGCAATCAATTGTCAACAACACTCCCTTACGATACCACCTCATAGAAATATAAAATTGTCTCCAAGCCAACAAAACTCATCAGCCTGCAGCCTCATTTCTGCCGATCACAATTCCTTACCAATAAGGGATGCCATGACAATACCTATAACCTTTTCAAATAATCGGACAATCAATCTCAAAATGATAATTGTTCCTCACCTTGCCACAGACATCATAATGGGACAAAATCACCTAGTTAAAACTAGATGCCATCATACATCACAAGTCACAGACGATATCATTTCAACATCCTGATTTGAAATTTGCTATTCCTTGTATTCTGAGCATGCCATCCCAGAACTCTGTCATAGCACTGACTTCTTTCCTGAACACTTAATTCCACAAAATTTCAAAAAAAAGAATAGCCTTCTCCTTGCTTTTTTTCCGAAGAAGGAATGGACTGTAATAGGACTGGACGCTAGTTCACATTACTCTATGATAATTTATGTTGCTTGTGTTTAGTATGTACTGTTGTAATTATGAAATGATCATTAGTTAGTTTTGAGTCTCAACATGAGTTGCACGCTATCGTTATCGCATCCCCCCTTTGAAGTGCTAAAAAAATAATTGAATTGTTTACTCTCGCTTTGGTTAACTCATGAACGCGTCTATCTCCTTCGCAGGGTACAAAATTGTTTCGCTACCGCGTACACGTTGCGTAAGAAGCGAGCAATTTTGCCAATCGGCCTTTTCGAATCGTCTCGCCTTTTACAAGGCGCACTTTACAGACCCAAATTTCTGAGAGCAGGAGAGCTCAAAACAGACAACCAAGATGGTAAGAAATGCATCGAAAAATTATCGTTTGATATCATCTTTCTTCGAACATCGACTGTATTTTTTTTCATGTCTTATGAAGGATGTTTCACAGAAATGAAGTAATATTTTGTTTTTTTTGTAGGTGAACTTCACAATTGACCAGGTGAGAACTTGCTATTTTTATGCCCAAATGTTGGTTGTTGTTAGCTAAAAAATATATACAACTTCCAACGGTTGTCATTTTATTATCGGGAAAGAGTCTTCTACTTATTTCATTACTTTCATCTTTGACTTTTGGTCTAACTCAAATACGGCCTAAAAGTAAAATGGCCTAAGTTAGGAAGCCGCTTTGAGTCATGGATTGCTCATTGATTGATAAGTTGATTGGTAATTTATGTTTTTTATATGTGAAATAATTACAATACTCTATCGAAATACAATTATCGAGATTGACGATCTCCACTTTTCTCGCGTCTTGTGACAAGAATGTAAGCCGTTTGCTTCGAACTAACGATGACAGTATGGTGCCATATCCCAGAACATCGTCATTGTTATTTTCGAGTGTTTTTTTATAAGTATACCTGACATGCTCATCAACAAAATAATTGTTTGCTATCTCAAACACAAAACTTGGTATAATCGGCGTTATATATGTTACTGGATATTTTTTGGAGACGTGAGTTGCTAGACATAAAAATCCGAACCAAAATCGGCGATAATGACCCTGCTTTTATCGACACACAAAACGTTACATTAAAAGGGAGAATGTGGCTGTTCTTTTCGATGATTAAATCTATAGACTCCTTGAAATTATTTCATTAAATTTACTAAAAATTTGAGTCACCAAGTGAATAAAAGATTATTTATTAGATGTTTAGTAGCAAATTCAAATATTTCATTTCATAACATTTCGTTACGTATGATATAGCATCGAAAAATATTAAGCTACTGCCAAATTTAAGATGATTAAGTAACAGGGAATAGATATTCACTTATTAATTTCATAACAGTAACCATCACAAAATGAAAGCGTCTGCATGATAAAATTTTTTTCTGACAATGTTTGAAAATAATCAAAGAAGAGGCTCTCTGTAGGAACAGAAAGTATTAGTTAAATCTTTATATAGGTACAATGGTATATTGAAGGGTATAATGTTGCTTGTTCACTTCTGACCTGAACAGCCGAAAATGGCAGTTTCCAACAAGATTTTGGGGGTGCAAGAGCAAAATTTCAAGTGTGAAAGAGTGCACTTTGGTATAAATAAGTGTGCACTTAAATTGTGCATGTTAGTGCGCAGAACTATTCAAGAGCCCAAGGATATCAAATTTAGAAGCAACCGAAGATAAGAAATTGTATATACATGATTTTTATTACTAAACCAATGAAGATTATGTCAGTTTTGAAAAAAACTTGATTCTTCATTTGCCCAAAGCACCCATAAAACATCCAGATCTCAAAATGCCACATCCTACACTAGGTGAGCAGAGACATTTTAGAAAAAATATATGGTGTGTACAAGGCTACTGACTTTGAACCATGTCACATGATCCTTTTCAACTGCCTGAAAACACTTGTTTTGGTTTTTTTTATGATTCCCAGGGACTGGTCTCCACATATAAAATAATGATAAAAATTCTATATTTTACTGAAAGTCCATAGAGTTTATCCTTGGCAACAGCTATATTGGTATGCAAATTGAATGGGGTTTAAAGTTATCTCCAGTTAAGCAGCTACTTCTGTCAGTCATCTGTTTTATTGAAGCTAAGGTTAAGTTGGTTAAGATTTTGTTTAAACTAGTTCCTGTTGTGGATTTGGATGGGTTGATCATATTATTTTCACTCGTCTTTATAAGAACCTGTAAACTGAAGTTCAAGCAGTGCAATTGCTAGCTATTGTGCTCAAGGCAGGTGTTCAGGCTTTGTCTGCAGACATCCTTCATTTGGCAACAAATGTGAAAATTCAGCCATAAACCATCCTCCTTGGATTGCAAATCATCTCCCTTTTGTGATGAAATATTGTTCAAGAGTCCAATGAGGAATTTTCCAATTCTTTCCCTTCCCACTCTTTCTCATTGTTTCCAGTCAAGACAAAGGTTTTTCCTGTTTGTTTGAAAAAGAATCAGTGAGTCACCATAGCTGACTGAGCTTGTTAATGATACTAAGTATTCTAGGTTTTTTGTTTCAGCAGATGCACCTTTTACCCTTGAGAAAATTTTAAGGACCCAGAAAGGAATTTATAAGACTCCTTTTAATTTGTTGATCGATTTTACCAATTATTTATGTCAATCTGTGTGTTTGTTTTTAGAAAATGGATTTTCTATTTCTGTTATACACAAATGCTAGGCATCAAGAAACTATGAGTAACTAAGTTTTTTACATCAGTAACTAAGAAACAAAATTTTTTTATGTCTCAAGTTGAAAGGTTGAACTTGTCAAAATATTGTAACTTGGTATCCCTGAGATTGCATTATGGATAAGTCAGTGAAAGTTTCCTAATAATTGCATTCAGCATAAAGCTGGCATAAGAGCGCTGGGTGATGTCTGAATGCTATATTAGTTTTTTTGTAAGAGTTGCCATTTATATGATCTGCTTGAACATGCAGAGAACAAGGAGCTAGCAAGAGATTGTTTTGTGTGACCTTTGTGTCATGAAGAATTTACTGACTAATTACAATAGGTGTTTACATAAAAAAATCCAGCTTTTTGCAGATTAATTGTTGATATTTTAACTAGTGCTAGTAAAAGAGCATCCCAAAGTTCCCCCAGGAGAATGTTTTCCAATATCAATGGTCAACACTTTGGTTGTCTCTCTTGCAATGATGGTTTCATTTGCTAGCTGCCATAGTTTCAATATAATATGAAGAAATATGATACACAAATGTGCTTCTTGCTCCATGTGTGCTATTTTTTCTGGCTTGAAAAAAACCTCAGTAGTATTAGGGTTTAAAATAGAAAAAGCCTGCTACATTAAACAGTGGCAAAATTTTAGCGATCATTTGATTTGATATTTATATTAATGTTTTTTATCTCAGCACTTTGTGGAATCCGAATGATCTCCTGAATGAATATCTTTATTCTTTGATTTAATAGGAGATTCATTTCAACTGCCCTCCCATGACTAGGGGAAAACAAAGCTTTGGTTTTAAGTTACTAAATGCATAAGTTGTTTCTTTAATTGTAAATTAGTTTTATGGTTGTGTGTTAACCAGGTCCGTGTCATTATGGACAAAAGGCACAACATCAGGAACATGTCTGTCATTGCCCATGTGGACCATGGCAAGTCTACATTAACAGATTCCCTTGTCACCAAAGCTGGTATCATTGCTCAAGCCAAGGCAGGTGAGATGAGATTCACAGACACAAGAAAGGATGAGCAGGAGCGTTGCATCACCATCAAGTCAACTGCTGTTTCTATGTACTATGAATTGAACGAAGATGACATGAAATTCATCAGCCAAGAGAAACAGGGAAATGGCTTCTTGATTAACCTCATTGATTCACCAGGACATGTTGACTTTTCCTCTGAAGTCACTGCTGCTCTTCGTGTCACAGATGGTGCTCTTGTTGTAGTTGACTGTGTCAGTGGTAAGGATATTTCTTTTCTAACAGGACATCATTTAGTTTGTTCTGACAACTGATTCTCCTCCTTCTGTTCTTGATTAATTCTATTTACAGAGCCCCTGCTTAAAATGTTTGTGACTGTCTGTCATACACAGTCAATAAGTGACAGCCAACATTCCAAATCTGTTGTACCCTACAATTTCTTATAAAATTCAAGTCTAAAATAGCTGAAGATAATATTTACCTTCCTCTGTTTAAGTAGAATTTCTGTAAATTATTTATTGGCATCACTGCATCTAGTTTTTCTATTCATTGGTGGAATTAGATATATCCTTAATTTAAGTGTTTGTGAAAAGTTTTTCTCAAAAGGCTCATTTTCACACTAGGTGTTTGTGTTCAAACTGAGACAGTGTTGCGTCAGGCTATCTCCGAGCGTATCAAACCAGTTTTGTTTATGAACAAAATGGACCGTGCATTGTTAGAGCTGCAACTTGAACAGGAAGATCTCTACCAGACTTTTTCCAGGATTGTAGAAAGCATCAATGTAATTGTTGCAACTTATGGGGATGATGAGGGACCAATGGGAACCATCAGCGTAGACCCAAGTATTGGAACTGTCGGCTTTGGTTCTGGTCTTCACGGATGGGCATTCACATTAAAACAGTTTGCAGTTATCTATGCTGCAAAGTTTAAGATAGAACCAGCAAAATTGATGAGAAGACTTTGGGGTGACAATTTCTTCAGTCCAACTGAGAAGAAGTGGAAGAAAGAGAGTGCCAGTGGCTATGTGCGAGGATTCTGTCAGTTCATATTGGATCCTATCTACAAGGTAACAATGGCTTTCAAATTTATAAATCTATATATATATTTCCTTGAACGATCCTTGTGGCCAGGGTTGCCAGATGCTTGGAATGGTTGGTGACAGCCAAATTCGGCTACCCAAACAAAATTTACAAAAAAGCTACATTTTTGCTAAGTCTAAGGTTACGGTATACGTTTTCTTGATGAAAACATCATTTTTTCGATTTTTTCACATTCAAGTAGCCGAACTTTCAAGGCACACAATGATACCAAATTTGAAACAAACAGAAATTTTGAAAGTGGAAAAAATCCCATGTAACCAAAGGTTTCCATAATTTCTTTATCAAAACTTTTAGTTGAGGCCTGAAAATCTCTTGACCTGTTAAGCCGATTATCGTTGCTTTGCGGTTGTGGTCGCATGTCTCATTTACAATATCGCATGGCACATCCATATATCCAATGTACGGCCCTGTTTATTTAAACAGGCTTATTGATCTTAAATCTTCAAGTGACTTGACCCGGATTACACTGTGGTTTACGAGTGTATCTTGCAAGTGCGATCAGTAAAATCCCGTTTTCTCCGGACTCGAAATTCCTCTACATGCAGGTACGAAAAAGCTATTATGTACCCAAGGAACCAATCAAATGGCTCGAAAATTTGCACACGGCCAGGGCAGACGTTGGGCAAACAAAGTGTGTCTCAAAATTTTTTTATTTTCTCTGGTCCGTCTTTTATACCCAAATACAGCTGCGGGAGGGTGGAAAAATTATTTGCCAATTTTTGACAGGGTATAGTTTCATAAAGAGGAGGAATTTAAAAAATCTGAGACACACTTTGGTAGCTTAGGACCTGCACTTCCTGCTGGTCTAAGTCAGATTTTGTTACCTCAAACGCAAGGGTACATAATAGCTTTTGAAGGTGGTACACTTTTTGACAAGTAAATTCGCATGGAAAATAACATTTAACATTATTTGCCAATAATTGTTATCTGGCTAGATACGCCATAATCTTGTGCATCGAATGATATATAGTTTATCCAGATTTCTTGAGCCGTTTGGCCTTTAGGAAGGAAAAACCAATTTTCGTGTTCAAAACGTTTACCGTAACCTTAAAGTAGTAGTGTAATCAAAATTGGCTTTGTTTGTTACAAAAGCTCCAACTTGCTTGCAATTTCAATTTTCTGTTATCTTTTACTTTGTTTCTTGCTTCGTTTTTGCAATTTTGAGATTGTTTTAACAGTTCAGTTCAGTTTCATATTTTAAATTCTCCACATACAATTTATCATAACAAAACTAATTAATACAAACAATTTGCTAAACTACAAGAAGAGAAATAATGCACCTAAAATTAATACAACATACAAATACCAAACAAAGAACAAGATAAATTGCATGGGGGGAATTACTTAAAGGAGGATTAACAAAACGTTGAATATTTTCTGTGCAAAAATTATCTTTTTCTTTGTATTTTTGTGGCTTTCAACATGCTGCCAAAATTCAGCCAACTTTTACTTTTTTGGCCAAATCAATTTTAGACGGCCAATAGCTTTGAAAAACGGTCAGAATAGAGGAATTTGGCTGTCAAAACGGCCAAATGGCAACCCTGCCTGTGGCTAACTTAAACGCAACACTTGCTGGTAATAGCACACCACCCCAAGTATTATCCACATTTTTGTATAAAAGAGTCTGTAAGAATGATGTTCTATTTTGTCTCCTCTTGTGTTTTGTCAATCTAAACGTAGCTATTTAGCACTTTGTCTTCAAGAAACCTTTAAGATATTTTTGTACGGAATTCAACAAAAATTAAAAAGCTGTTTGTACAAATTCCAAACTTAGTTTCTTGTTTATTATCTTATAGATGTTTGATGCAGTAATGTCACACAAAAAGGATGTTTACAACAAACTGCTTGAAAAACTCGAAATCAAATTGTCAAGTGAAAACAGGGAAAAGGAAGGCAAACCTCTCCTGAAGCTCATCATGCAGAAATGGCTGCCTGCAGGTGAAACTCTTCTGCAGATGATCACCATTCACTTGCCATCACCAGTGACTGCACAGAAGTATAGAATGGAGATGTTGTATGAGGGTCCTCTTGATGATGAGGCAGCTCTTGGCATTAAGAACTGCAATCCTGATGGTCCTCTCATGATGTACATATCAAAGATGGTACCCACTGCTGACAGAGGACGTTTCTTTGCTTTTGGTCGTGTTTTCTCTGGTAAAGTTGCCACTGGCATGAAAGCGAGAATCATGGGTCCAAATTATGTTCCAGGAAAGAAGGACGATCTCTATCTAAAGAGCATCCAACGGTAACAAGTTTTTCCTCTTCAAAGCAGCATGGCAGGTCAATTTTATGTATATATCATTGTATTTGGGCTATGATGCAAATGTTTAAACGAGCCTGTAAATGTTACAGAGCCAGAAATGGTTGAACCCACTGTAACATTTACAGATTCTCTGAATAAAATTGGGATATCCCTTGTCTGAGCCCATTTTCAGTTTTTGTTTTCAAATTGTAAAATCTTGAATGCAATTCCAGAAAAAATGGTATGTGGATAAATGGTATGTTCTGTTTTCCAGAACAATCTTGATGATGGGAAGATACACAGAGCCAATTGAAGATGTACCATGTGGTAACATATGTGGTCTTGTAGGTGTTGACCAGTATTTAGTTAAAACAGGAACCATTTCAACTTTTGAGCATGCCCACAATCTTCGTGTTATGAAGTTCTCAGTATCTCCAGTTGTGAGAGTAGCTGTTGAGCCAAAAGACCCATCTCAATTACCAAAACTGGTAGAAGGTCTAAAGCGTTTGGCAAAGTCAGATCCTATGGTGCAGGTTAGTGTTTCTTGTTTTTATCTTTACCGAATTTGTCTTAACAATGAAAAGGTTATGGGAACATTAGACAGCTTTCTTTAGGTCTTTTTTTTGTTTCAACCAAATCATAACCAATGTTTTGTTGTTTATTTACGGCAAATAGTTTTTCAAGTTGATACAATATTTATCTGTCTTACGCAGTGTATCATTGAAGAAAGTGGAGAACACATCGTTGCTGGTGCTGGAGAACTGCATTTGGAAATCTGTCTCAAAGATCTTGAAGAAGATCATGCATGCATACCTTTGAAGGTATCTGTAACTGGTTTTTAAACAGTCACATTGTTTGCTGCTTAATTTAAGTTAATTTTCACTCACCCTGGTTAGAACATATTTGGGATATAACATATATACTCAATCTACTGGTCCCTAACAGTATGTTAAAACCGAAACATACTGCAGCATTTAAATTTATATATGTTATATATGTTTATTTTGTTTAAATGCCCAATGATGAAATCTGACCAATGACTGGCTTGCTCTAAACAGGTTTGCTGTTGTACTGTATCCCTGTATGTAGTGAACTGTTTTGTGCTTTGTTTGTTACTTGTTGTTTGGGTGCAGGCCTCTGTGATGGAAAGATTATGAGATCTGAGGGCTTTTGGCAATTCACGACTTGTGTTATTTCATTTTGGGACCCATTAGGCCTTTTCAAGAAACTTAGCAGTATCTATTTCTGTAGACATGCGTATCTGAATTTTAGTTAAAGTGGCAGTAGAGTGGTCAAATATTTTTATATCAAGCACGCAGCTGTTTGAATGAACACCACATATTACCTCTAAATGTTCAACCTCAGCTTTATGTAGTAAAAATTGGCTGAGATACCGCAATTTATAAAAATCATCAGGCCTTGTGAGTAGCAAAAAGCAGGCGCTTGACCAGCTGAGCACCTTAAACTTTCTAGGCACACGATTGAGCATTATCAATAACAAAATTTGGTTTTTCACATTTAGTTTCTACACAGCATAAACATGCTAGGTGCTCAATCAATCAAGCTACTAGAACTTTCTAGGTGCATGTGGAGGCGCTTGATAAAGCTTGAGTGCCTCTGTTTGCAAGGCCTGAAAATCATGTTAACCAAAGAACTTCTTGGTTTTGATATTGTTAGTATTTTTAGTACTTAGATGCCAGTTTTCAGTGATTTGAAGGGAAATGACAAGAGCATGATTTTTGGCTAACTTTGTCTCTGTCAATGGAGGATAGAACAATTGTTTCAAGATTCTTTAGGATTACACAACCAAATTTAAAAACATCTAAAGATATATTTTTTGATATCATTACTAATTCCTTGTAGTTTTTGGTGCTCTACAAATGCCTTTCTGATACATGTTATTGATAATTTTGCTCTTTTCATAATTAATTCTGGCTATGTTTCAGTGGCTAGTTTATAAAGAATTTTGCCAACCACTTGCATTTTATTGCAACCCATTACTCCATTTTTGTATTTTCAATTTCTTGAACCGTCCCCATTTCTCTGGGCCACTCTGTTTTGGTGAAAATAAAAAAGGTAGTGTTGCCCTTTTTCCATCCGTTTTAGTAACCCTTGTTCAAGTTTGTTTGAAGCAAAGATACACCCATTCATCTACATTGCATAACAGGCAATGAGGTCTTCATTTTATGGGTCGCATGCCATCACACGCTTTAACTTTTCAATGCCTGCGATAGCCAGGGTGCCAACAAATTTCATATTACCAGGACTGCCCTTTAAACATTTTACATGTAGCACAGAGAACCTTTTGGGTTTTTTGATGAAAAAGGTTGACCTTGTCTATTTTCTCCTGACTTTGAAGCATTTATCAAATTTAGTTTTTGACATTTTAGAAATCCGATCCTGTGGTCTCATACAGAGAAACAGTAAGTGTAGAATCAGATCGAAAATGTCTTTCCAAGTCGCCAAACAAGCACAACCGTCTTCTAATGACTGCTGTTCCATTCCCTGATGGTTTGGCTGAGGATATTGACAATGGTGAAGTGTACCCAAGACAGGAATTGAAGGCTCGAGCAAGGTTTGTTTAAGTGCCCTTTTTTGTTCACCTGGAATATTCCTTGTCCCAAGCAAATGGGGGAAAAGCCTGAATTTGTAGCATAGAGTGGCATGTTTACTGCATTAGCACTAATGATTTTCTTTTATAAGTTAAGGCAAGCAACTGAAAATGCTGGACAGAAAAATATTGACCTCTAAATGTGAATATTAATAAATTGGCTGCGAATTGAGTTTTAAAAAAGTCATAGATTTGAATATGATGAATATTGAAATTGTATATCCTCGACTTTTGCACTTGAAATAGCCATGATGCAAAAGGGCATTTATCATATCCATCCAGTGAATGCTGTTGTCTTGCATTAACAATAACGCTTCAAAAAACGGCAGTGAGGGTTGTAAAAGACCTAGAAAGTTTTTCTAATGGAGATAAAGCATTTCTACAAATTGATGCTTCCTGAATACCATGCCTCAGGGACACATGGGTATGATGGATCCCAACCTAGGACCGCTTTCAGAAACTGCCAAACATGTTGTAGTGACATCAGCCGTGAATCCCAATTGGGTGACCAGTAGACTTTTGGTCTATCACATAAAAATTATAAGCCTGACCACAAGCTCTCATCAAATTTTTTGTTGAGTAAGTGGGATTTAATGTTAAGTAAAACCCTTCAATTTGGTATTCAGTAAAAGCACACACTACTGGGTTTATAAGCCAAGATCATTTTTTAGATATCTGGCCGATAAATACGAATATGATGCAACTGAAGCTAGGAAAATCTGGTGTTTTGGGCCAGAAGGAACAGGACCAAATCTGATGATTGATGCCAGCAAAGGTGTACAGTATCTAAATGAAATCAAGGACAGTGTTGTTGCTGGTTTCCAATGGGCCACCAAAGAGGTAGGCTCAATCAGTTTATTCATCGACATGTTTCCTCATGAATAGCTGGCCATCCAATTTTTTTATAAGATGACGTCACATATTCCCATTGTTTTAGAACAAAAGCCCATTGTCTTTCATATTATTATTCAGGGGACAACCGCTACAAATAAGATTGATCTGACATATACCAAACTAATTCAATAAAGTTAAAACACCAGAGTTGACACAAAAGCATGCATAAGGAGAAAAATACATATATATACATAAAAGAATAGAAGCTTGTCAGCAGGCCTCATTAATCTGCGCAAGTTTCTCGCAGGCACAAAAGCTCCTGCTCCTAATATTTGCAGGCACTTCTGAATCAATTATTTATCTTTATAATGTTAGAATCATGCCCCAATGACAAAAAGTCACTACATTAATGGCGCCATTTTTATTCTCAATGGCTGATATCAAGTTAAAGTCTTGTCTTTATCTCTCTCCATCCTGTCTCTTTATCCCTATATTTATCTACTTTTCTCTATTTCTATCTTTTAACCAATCTATTTATATTCGCTGATGACCTACAATTAGTTGATCTTACTTTTCTCTGAGTATTTTGAGATGACTAATAGAGCTTTTTCATGCATATGAGGCTAAAGAAAGCACACTGTTTTGAGGGGCATATAGCTCCACTAAAAGATCGTACACATTTGACAAATTAAATACTGTTCAGGGAGACTTGCTTTGAATCTTGCCAGAATATCACTGCTTCGTCAAGATAGAATTACCCGAATGAAGCCTGAAATACGACACATTTTGTCTGATTAGGGGGAGGGGCTTCCCCTTTTTTACTTCTATGCATTTTAGGTACACCTCCAAAGAATTTAGCCAGAACAGAATTCTGACGATTTTCATTAACAGAAACAACCCTATTCTTCAATTTTTTACATTAAAATGATTAAATCTTACAAAAATGATAAACTCAAAGCTTCAGAATTGAGTATCAAAATTTCCTTTTAAGTTGCAATGTTGACTGGGAAGTTTTTAACGGAACCTTTTTGGAATAGAATCTTTCATGGTCAAGATTTATAACTTTGCAATGAGAAAAATCCAGTGTAATATCGAAACTCCTGTTGATGAAAGGAAAATCAAATCCTTGAAAGGCTGACTTTGAAAAATTTTCATGCAGTCTTAGTTCATGATAATAATATGGTATCTACTTTTGACAAAGGTTAGTTACTGTAACTGTAGAAAGGCAGATCCACAAGTTCTCAGTATCTGACCATAAGTTGCAACCTATTTTACATGCAGGCATATTTTCACTCCTTTTTCCGTTGCAGGCACAAAATATTTTTAATGAGCCCTGCTTGTCAGTTGATACTTCTGTAGCACAGTGCTCAATACGTAGAAAATCAAACTACACGTTCAATCTCTGTGAGCCTGTTTTGTGAATAGCTCACACTTCAGGAGGTGTGTAATAAAAAGTATACATATATGTTTTGACTTGGTTTGACAATAAGATTCTTTACACAGGGTGTGATGTGTGATGAAAACATGAGGGGTGTTAGATTCAACATCCATGACGTAACTTTGCATGCTGATGCCATCCATCGTGGTGGAGGACAGATTATCCCAACAGCAAGACGATGTTTGTATGCTTGTGTGCTGACTGCTCAGCCACGTCTTATGGAGCCAGTTTATCTTGTAGAAATTCAGGTGTGTCATCGATATATATATGTGTTATTCGTTTTTAATATTATTCTGTTTGATTTTCACTTTGCTGCTTTCTATTTTGAAAAAGTTAATAAAAGGAAAGGCTTTTGCCCAAACATTTTTCTAAGAGTTTGTCGATCAATTTAAATAGGTATTTCAGTAATATTTTATCTTCATATTGTACTAGAAGTTGGTTAGATAATTTTTCAACGGGAATTGATTTTTTATGCCAAGATTTATAAGTTGAAAAGCCAGCAATTGACGGCTCTCATTTTGCCATTTGAATAGAGTTCTACGATGGTGAGGTCACAGAAATCTATTTTTAAAATTTCGAAATCATGAAGTGCCACTAAATATGGAAAATAAGCTGAATGTGTCAGAAGTGGCCACGGAGCAAAAAGGCTCTTTCCTCATTAAGTAAATCTAATTTAGTCTCTTGACATAACTTTGTGATCCAAGCCAGAACAATAGTATCTGTTAGTAAACTTTCAATCTTCCATTGGTCATATATCACCAGCTTTTAACATATTTAGCCAATTTTCTATATTGGAACATGCTTTGTGGTGTTCTTTTAGGTTTCTGTTAATAGTCACACTCTAGGTGACATCACACATAACACAACTGGTGACACAACTGGTGTCTTATGAAGCACTTGTCAGAAATCTGTTTTGTTTAGTTGTGTAGAGCATCCTTCTCCATGCGTATAATCTTCCCAGTCTATAATTAAATATAATATTTTTATTGATACACATGTTTTGTACTTGCCTCAAAAGAGTGGAAGTTAAAACAGTTTTTTGTTTCTAGTGCCCCGAGTCAGCTGTTGGTGGTATTTATGGCGTAATCACAAGGAGGCGAGGTCACGTTTTTGAGGAAGGAATAGTTGCAGGAACACCCATGTTTTGGGTCAAGGCTTACTTACCAGTCAATGAATCATTTGGTATGTTTTATTTGGGTCTCTGCTGTGTTTAACTACTATGTTTAACTATTCTTTCATTCCTAGTCACTGTAACTGTGGGGGAGGGGGGGGGGGAGATTTACCTCAATATTCAATGTGTAGTGGAGCAAATTTAATAGGTTATTTGTAACCTGTTCATCTGTTCTGGCCAGTTTAGACATTACTGCATATAATGCCCCATTTTGCAAGAAGTATTAATGACATGACCATGAACCTTGTTGTAAGTCCCAGAAGGGGTTATCAACCCATACTCAATCCTGTTTTTGCTTTTAGGATTCACTGCAGATCTCCGATCCAACACTGGCGGAAAAGCATTCCCACAATGCATTTTTGATCATTGGCAAATGATGAACGATGACCCATTGGAGACCACTACAAAGTCTGGTCAAATTGTTCTGGTAACACGAAAACGCAAGGGACTGAAAGAAAATGTTGAGCCATTGGATAAGTATTTGGATAAGTTATAAACACCGAGACTTTTACAGTAACTTGGGCAAGATGCTTCAATTTGCAAAAATGAATAATTAATTTAAAACAGCATGTAGTTATTTTTTTTTTCTCTTGTTCCATTCAGTTCGATTCCACGAGCAATAGAAATGAAGAGTCCTAATGCAAAATTGTTCTCTTTGCAACCCAATTACATATATCTTTGAATCTGTCCAGATGATCTTTTTGAAGTTTGTATTTGGAACGCTTTACATCTGCTAAAAGTGTACCCTAACTTTAGGTTTTTTATCAACAGAACTATTTGTTGACTGCTTAGGTTGCTGAAATAAAGCCCTGGTTGTCATCCTTCTAATTTTTCAATTTTAAAACAATCTTTTTAATTGACATGAAAAGTTTTTACATTGCGATCTTTCAGAAATAATTTTAACTCTAACTTTTCAACAAAGACTCCTCGATAGAATCCTTTAAAAAAGTTTCATTTAAAAAATTGCATTTCTTTTCTCAGATATTTTTTATAAGGCAAGGATTTTTTTAAATTAGAACTATGGAACTATCAAGAATAAATGACATGTTATTCTGAAATGTTCACTGATTTCTTGATTAAGTTCTTCAAGTGTTCCGTAAAATGGTTTTGTGAAAGTAACAGCAGAATGTAGGACCAAAAACTGTGAACCAGAGAGTTGGGGAAGTCTCAATTTATTCTGCAAATCTGTCCTTGTACTGTTTCAATGTCCTCTACTTGTTACTTAAAAGTATACTGACACGCAAAACTGTCTTTTGATAAAATGCAGAAAATGATGCAAGGAATCTTAATTTCAAATTTTCGGTTAATTATGATTGTCCGTTTTGACGCAATTACGTCACAAACACCATGTTTTATTCCTTGAATGCAAATCACGCACAAAAGTTCATCTTGTTCGGTTACTATTCGAGGAGATCTACGTGGCCTTTGATCCGAGATATATGCAAATTTGAGGCTAATTGAATGCACAAATGATGTGTGCTGGCTGGTACTGCGTTACGAAAGGAGGGAATTCAAGTTTTTTCTTGAATTAGTCCAAAATATTATTACTTTGATATGTTATTTCTACATCTAAATAAATCATGAACGTCATTTTGGGTTTGTAATCTCATCGGTTCACCCGAGCTACAGGGGTGCAGCGGCCTGGGAGTTCTTACGAAATTATTTCCTGCAAATAACGACTCGATCGTACCAGGTTCTTAACCCCTAAAAATCTTTCATGTGATTGAATAAAGAATATGCTGAAAAAGAGTGACTTAAATTCGAAATATTTACAACATATATTGAAGTTAATCAGGATCAAAGACCGAGGTCCAACTTTTTGTTTGGGTGGCAGGGGGAGGGCAGCCTTGATAAATTAGTGAAACAGCAGCTGTATTTTACAAAATAAAAGTATTTTACTTAGGTTTCCAGATCCAGATCAAGATCCTGCCAATTTATTTATCGCTACCTTTATTGGATATGTTGGCCCGTCACACAATGGGTCCTGCGAGACGGAGGAAGGGCCTCAAACGCGTTGAATAATACGATATTCTTGCATATCTCATTATGAACGGTTTGTAAATTACAATCTATTTTCCAATCAGGCTGTTCAATGGAGCCATTGATGTGCCAAAAATTCTTCACAAAGAGAGAAAGTTCACACTGTTTTATTCTCTCTATAAGTTTGTTTTTAGAGCTTGGATGAATTGAAAAATTTCATCAAGTCTGCTAACTTTGAAAGGTTATAGCCTTGGCATTTTTTGAATATTTTGTCCAAGCGATTTGCAACAATTTCTTCGCAAAAAGAAAGAAAATGCATTGGGGAATAGTTCACACTATTTATCATTTGCAATTGTGTATGTTGACATTTTCTTGGAAACCTGACCAGATTATTCGGTTCTCTAGGTCTTAAAACTATAAATAAGAACTCTCACTATTTCATGGTTTTGGCAGATTTTCCGTAATAATTGGAGTTGAAGGAATTTTGAAAATATTATAAGCATCTTCTTATAAAGCCTTGCAATACAAGGCTGTTGCAATATAATGTTATGTCTATACGTTGGGAGAGTCTTTTTCCGTTTCTTCAATGTTATTGATACATTTAGGCCTGGTTCAAACGTCGCGCTTCTCATGTGCCGAACCTAACTCGAGAATTAAGTACATGGGGGGCGCGACGTTTGAATCAATTTGGTACGGCAGATTTAGTTAGGAGCGGCAGACTAGTTTGGATCGGCAGAGCTTGCCGAGCTGCACGGCTCCAGCAAGGCACGGTTTCAAGCGTCGAACTTGTCATGTACCGAACTCAATTCATAATTATGTTTAATTTATTTTCCTTCACAGAATTCATTTCTTTCTTGGAGGGCGCATGCGTTTCAAACAAATATTTGAGATTGTGCGCCTAAACCAAGATACTTCATTTAATGATTATTAAAATTTCCAAAGATTTATTGCTATAAATATATATTTCATAAAATTTACAAAAATTATAAAACTCTTAAAGTCCAATTATAATTGAACCAACGGTATGAGTCGGAGGAAGAGATCATCACCATGCAATGTTTTATTTTTAGACCATGTCACCGAGGCCTTTCGTTTGAAAATTTAAAAAGGGCCTATGTCCCTTGCAACTTCTGCAGACAGCGAGGCAAAACAACATGTTCGTCCAGTGCATTACGTCCATCTCAAAATCAAATCTTGCAATATTTCAAGCTTAATTAAATTCTACATAATCTGAATAAAATATAATTTTAACAGATCTTTGGTAAAATATATAATCCATAAAAATCGAACTATTTGTTTCGAAATACTGAAAGAAAATTCGAAATCTGAAACATCTAAAGTTCGACAAACCCTGAAAAATCAGATTCTACAAAAAGAAACATCAATAAAAAGTTTATGAATTTGAAGTATAAACTCTAAAAGATGTCAAGTTTGCTGAAATCTGAAAACACTTGGTTCTATAAAGTCCAAAATAAGTTGGTTTTCCATTAAGAATTTGTAGCAGCATAAAGAGTAATCTAGATACATCAGAGGCGGCTGCATGAGGTAAGTACCATTTTACCGAGCGTTAGGCCAATAATTAATATATCTTCTATAACCTTCATGCTTCTGAACATAATTAGAATTATAACTTACGGAACGCGGCTACTCGATCGACTTTATTGATCAAATACCGTATTTTCTCTTGTATTCCCGCCTTCTCTAATAATCCCGTTTTTTTCTATAATTAATCCCGCCTCTCCGATAATCCCGCATGCGGGTTTGATGAACGAAAGAAATCAATGCATTGCAAATATGCTTGGAGTTTTTACTGCTTTAAAAATTTGGACACTAGCATTATCGCTACATTTTAAGAGAATTAAATGAATTAAAACAAAATAAGTTTTAATTTAAAATTCAGGTATAAGAACTGAATTAAAATCATGATTGTTAAAAATGCTTAAGAGTAAAGTTAAGTATCAAAAAGGTTTATCATCAGTAGACCAAGAATATCTTCATACCTCCTTGGTGCAAATGCTGCTTGAGGCGTTCGAAACAGTACATGACCACACTATTGCCAATCCCAGAGACTCTATAAAGATGGAAGGTCTCACCATTGTTGAACGCAACTTCGAGTTCCTTTGGAGAAATTTCGAAGGGTTTCGAAGGGTCAATACTGGTTGATGATTTCACTTCGATGTAATGTAGAACACGATTGGTTTTCTTTTCAACAATCAAAATATCAAATGGCTGCTTACTCTCTGCGACCTCGTTTATCCAAAAAACTTCGATTTCTTCACTCTCATATTTCCTTTTCATGAACGAGTAAACAATTTGTTCACCATAGCGTCCTACAGCTGTAGTGTCTTTTTCATCTAAGTTCGAAGGAATCTGGAGACCCTAACAGTATAAAAGAGAAATGAAAGTTAGTCATGTTGATCTAGAAGTCGTTTACACTCATTTTTTTAAGAAACAAAGGTCGATGTTGAGTACTCCAGTTTCTCAATGTTCTGACAATTTCAATACTCATTGTTTCTTATAAGTTTCTTAATTATGATGTCATGAATGATGTTATGAAATGTTCGTGACCTTTTTATCATGTCAAGAGATTCGCTTCCGCTCTGATGCTGTATTCAGATGTGGGAAGTATATTTTTATCCCTTGTGTCTTAATTTCTAGGCCTTCAGAGCAATCATGTTCTTGGATTTTACAAAATTTCGTTGTTCTCGGTTTTATCACGATTAAATAGTTTCTTAATTTTTTTGCTTCGAGTACTGAAGTTTCTTAATTAGTACTCGTTTCTTGTAGCCAGTTTCTTATAAAAAAAATGAGTGTAGAGCTCTAAAGTGTGAAGTCACCAAAAACGTATTTTTAGAGTTTTTGAGTTTTAGCCGCATAACAAAAAAGATTAAATACTACAAAATATGCAAAATTAGTCAAATATGTCTAAAATCGGTCGAGATATTGCCAATGAAAAATGTGAAGTTTGCTAACGAATCACTGTTAATTTGGCTCTGTTCATAAAGTTGTGAACAGACAAACACAAGCATAGTTGACAATCCCAAATTGAGAAGAACAATTTACCTCAATTTCACGATCATCGATTGTAACAGTCTTATGTGCAATGACATTCAAAGGTATACTTTCAGGACCAGCATTATTGTCAATGTAAATAATGTTTGAATTCTTCTTCTGAACAGGTGTAATTCCCCCAGGTTGATGATTTCTTGGTTGCACCGAAACAAGATCCTGGTTTTGTGGTTTAACCACCAAGACGCTCTCAGAAACACGTGTATCTTCTTTGGCCTCGTCTGGTGAGATTTTTTTCTTGACTTCATCGGAAGAGTTTCTTCTGACGTCACCAGTAGTAGCTCCTCTGCTGGCTTCAGTCTGCGTTTTTGCTTTTCCAGCGTTCTCAGTCACACATTGTTCTGATTTTGGTAGCTTCCTTGCCACTTCCGTTGTTTTCGTTGTTGCTGTTGCTTTCGTTGCTGTTGTTGCTTCTGTTGGTGCTGCTGTTTTCCTTGTTGCTGTTGTAGCTCTAGGATCATCAGAATCTGTGCTTGCCAACTTCATACCGGAATTCTTTCCACGACTGTTTGTATCTTCTGTGAGAAATTGACTTAGTGTCAGTTCCACAGGTGGGAGGGGCGGCCACTGTGTCTGAGCAGCAGCGCCCATGTGACTCTGTGGTGGCTTCGCTAGACTGCCAACTCCTACCTCTGGTGCCCGTGGTGGCCAGCATGTCATGGCATCCGAGGAATTTGCCTCTCTTTCGGAAGCACTGCTTTGCTGTTTTATCTCGACTACTTTCAGATCCTCAGATTCTTTCAACGCCCAAACTGGCTCATTTTCGGGGGGTTTGGGAATATTTTTTCTCTTAAGGCGTTGCTCGATAGCCTCAGGTTTGCTGTCACCTTGGATCATTGATTCCAACAACACCAGCAAGTCGATGCAGCGGTCGGCAAGATCTTTGTTTTCCAATTCAAACAGTGCAACAAATTCAGAGATGACATCTTCCTTATCATGGACTGCATCTCGTCCTATGTAGAAATGAATCCCTTTTTCAGTGAGTTCAACAGCGCACTTTCTGCTCACCTGCACGAAAATATTGTCTATACCGCGTAGAGTATGGACTGCTATGATGCTGCTCGCCGTGTAAAATGACAAATTTTTGAGTAGTTCTGGGAAGTTTTTCTGTAAAAGGCATTCGTACTTGGCCTTGTCGTTTGTGCGCAGAAACCTTTGGGCGTATGGGAGAAGCATCGTAAAAGCTTTGTGCCAATAGGGACAACCATTGATTGAGTTTTCTGGATTTATAAGTGGTGGTACAAAAACTTGAGATACTGTATCTATCTTGCAAATAGCCATGAATGCCAAGATTCCAGCCCCACGTGTGCGTTCTTCTTTCACCTTTATTCTTGAGTCTCTGTCGCCTTTAGCAGCTGTTGCTTCCATTTTGGCTGCTATACCTTCAGTGTCTACAAAGTGCACAGAGCGCTCCTTCTCGAAGATTTTTGCAAGCTTCGGATCATCCACAAGAAAAGGCTTCTCTTTTGGGGACGAAAAACAGTGGTCTTCAGTGGGAATGATTTTCTCGTCCTTCAAATTTTCATAAACAAAGTTAGCTTTTCCGAAATCAAAAAGGTCTTTCATGCCATCAAAGCGTTCCCATGTGCTATCATGGCTTTTCACAATATCCTGAAACTCTTCTTCGTGATCCGATGAAACACATTTTATCCCAATTTGGGAGAAAACTGCCATCAGATCATTATAGGCTTCATAGTCAGGCAGCCTTGTATCTTCTGCAATCGCTATAGCAATGTTGATATAATCTCTCAGTGTTGGTGTCTTGTCAATATTCATGTCCTTCTCAAAAAATTCCAGGACTTCCTTGGGGTAGTACTGACAAAGAAGCTGACGTTTGCTGGTGAGCAGGGACGAACGTTTGGACATGACTTTTGAATAATCGTACAAACAAACCTCTCCTTTTGACAATAATTTTCCTCTGGACAAAAAGACCGTTTTGCAAGGTTTTTCCGGCACGAAAATAATTGGCTTGCTTAAATCAGCTGCATCAACGTCCTTTAAATGGGCTTTGATGTAATTGTAAACATTTGTCATGTGCTTTAGTGTGGTGGCAAATGTATCATCCTCTGACCATTCGCCCAATTTTCTGAAAATGGTGTCAAGTGCTACTGTATTTCGTATCCCAATAGCGTTTATAAACGTGATATCATTCAAGTCCCCAGAAAAGTATGAGCAAAAACTAGCCAAAAGGCTGTCAACTTCGGGAGTCTTCAGGTACAAGTCATCCGGTTTAAATAGTCCTCTTTTGTTCCCTGGCAACCAAGCTTTGGTTTTCAGTTTGATAAGAAAAGACGATGCCGTTGTTGCAATTTCACGCCCCTTGGCATCTCGCACAGGCACACTCTGATTCCGGACAAATAGAGACATCCAATTTTGATCCAGAAGTTTTGCCAAAATTAACAGCTGTTGATGGTCTTTGGATTCGAGAACCTGCTCCAGCTCAGGACAAACCAAGTCAGAAATTTCGTACGTGTCTTCGACAGTGCTAGGCCAGTTTGGTTTGATTGGACCCCACGGTGAAGAAGCCTGCAACAGCGCAGAATTACAACGATCAATGAACATACATGAAGAAAATATCTAAGAGGCACACTAATATCACTGGTGTTTGTCCATTCTTAGCAAAACTGCTAGCCTTTACCGCGCACATTCTCTAGTTTCCATTTTATTTGTGGAAAAAGACATTAACCAAGTTCCGTGTAGACATTCTATCACCCCAAATCAAGACAGTTTTTAGAGTTCTTTATTCTATAAGACCCTTTATTTGAAAGCATCTTAAAACAACGTACCTCTTACAGAAGAGAAGCTCCGATAAAAGTACATCTAATTCCAATCGTTCTCGCTTCTAAAGCAATAATACACATTAGCTGGAGTTTAAGAATGGTCGAGCCAATACAACCTTGTCTTGTCGAGTGCCTTGTCTAGTAAGCTAGCAGTTATCGTGTTGGCAGCCACGGTGCAATGATGCTAAAATCGATGTTTTTGACTGGTTTTTGAGTCAACGTGTTTATAAAATAGCAGACGACTCAATTTACATGATTGATCGATCAACTCAGGTGCTCAATCAATCAACCCATGTCATTGATCAACCAACCTATGTCAAATTACGTGATTGATCGATCAACTCGTTTGACTGATCGATCAACAAATGTGATTGATCGATTAACTCGTGTGATTGAACGATCAAAAAACATACCAGCTCGTTCTGCTTTATAATTTCCCTCTTCTGCCTCATTATGGGAAAGTCCATTACTCGAAGCAAACCGAAGAACTCCCGCCATGATTTTATCTCCTCTGTTCTTCCCTCCATATACACCGCGTCAAGCAATAACCATTCGACGTCTGGAAACAAAGAATATCAATTACCAGGATTTTTTATCAAAGCTACAATCGCTTACCAAAATTGCGCGGCTGCATTGTTTTTCACCCCCTTAGCAATACAGTATTGATGAGGTGAGTTGAGGAAGAGGTGAAGGTTGATTACCAATCTACGTTTCGTTTGCTTGGGGGTGATGATTACAATAATTTATGATGATTGAAGATGATTGATGATGATTGATTATGATGACCAATGATTGATTATGATTGTTTATGATGACAATTGATTGATGATGATTGATTATGATGACAAATGATTGATGATGATTGGTTATGATGACAAATGATTAATTATGATTGGTTATGATGACAAATGATTAATTATGATTGGTTATGATGACAAATGATTAATTATGATTGGTTATGATGACAAATGATGATTGATTGGTGATGATTGATGATGATGATGACAAATGATTGATGATGATTGGTTATGATGACAAATGATTGATGATGATTGGTTATGATGACAGATGATTGGTGATGATTGATTATGATGATAAAAATAATATTAATGATCGGTGAAATAATTATAATAAAGCAAAATTCTCTTACCAGGAAACATTGCTTGCAAATCGTACTGGTTTCCATACGACGGGGTGAAGTAAATTTGCTGTTCTAGTGGTTTGACTATTCCTCTGTTTGTCTTTATCGCAATGATTTCTTTTAACGCATCTATGTCAACGACGTTATCTTCGATGCAACATTGTTTCTTGATATAAACCAGAAACGGGACCACAAGATGCTCCTTCTCATGCCAGTTTGCCGATTTAAAAGTTGGAATTATGTGGTTCTTGATAGCTTCTCGTGGTGAAAATGTTTTGACACCAAGTTCTGATAGAAATCGCTCAAGTTTTAATTTGTCAACCTGGTCAAGGCCATCAAAGATTCTTCTGTCCAGCGTGTTCAAATCGTGTTCCAAAACACGCACGCAGTTGTCTAAATAGATTCATATAATTATCGAATGTATGTTTTTGTAAATATGCATTGAAAACGTCAATTGCACACAATGACAAAATTTATGGTAATAGTAAGATGCATTTAATAATGTGATGTATTTTATTGTACAGGAAAAATGGATATACCTAACGTATACTAGAAACTAACTCTATGCTATACTAAACGATAGTAAAAATTATTTTTATAACTTTAACCTGAAGGGCCTTATAAAATATTTCTTAATGTGCAAAATCAGTCAAAATCAATCTGAGATATGGCCATAGTACAGGCTCTTTCCCCGTCTAATCACTGTTTATGGGTCTCTGTTCACAACTTTATAAACCACGCCAATATTACTGTAATCCATTAACAAACTTTAAATCTTCAATAGGCCATTCTTCATACGTTAGAAACATTCTTAACGGCAATCTGTCACGACGTTGATTGATTATAAGAAAGAACAAAGGGATTTCTTTTTGTTTCCAGTCCCCCTTTAATTTATCGCATTGTAAAAAATATGGCGGAGCGCTGGAATCGTGTTCAGGCTATTGTTTCAGCTATTGTTCTCGTTAACCAATCCACAACGAGACAGATTGCCTCTAACTGATTATTCAAATTTAGATGTTTTTATAGCCACTCCACTTGGCGCAAAATCTTGTCTCATCATACTTTTGTTAAAAGTCTTGTGCTAAAACCAAACCGTATAGTTGAAAGTATATATCTCAAGTATGTTATTTTGAAATGGTACAGGCACTGCCAAGACTATTGGACCACTTGCGTTTTTTCAAATTTTACATGCATCCCTTTCTCTTCATCGACGTTATCACATGGCATTGGTTAAGACGCCCTAACCTAAACCCTGACTATAGGCTTTACTCTAACCCAAACACTGCTTTGTAACCATTATTGTCTTATGGGTACGGGGTTAGTCTATAAAAACACGGAAAAGAAATGAAAAAATGGAAACATTATAGCTTATCCTATCATGTCAAGGATCGCCTAAAGTGCATGACATCGCCTGTTAACTCAACTTGTTTCGTATCGACTTGGTATCGACTTGGTATCGTAATTACCTTTTGCAGACTTCTTCGCGTTATTTTTCTCCAAAGGAAAGAACAGACTACCTCTAAGCAAGCTTGTAAGGTCTCCTCTTGAAAGAGGAAACACGGAAATCGCTCTGATTTTCTGAAGGCTCTCCTCGCTCGCATCGTACTGTTTTTCCAAGAATCGCGACACACAAACCAGCCACTTTCCTATCCACTGGACCACTTCTGAGGCTTTCCCTAGATATAAGATGGAATTCATACAACTCATGCAAGAAATAAGGGCCTAACAGAAAGGGTCATGGAGTAATTACATTCCATCAAGATACATTGTAAATATTTGATCGCCATTCTCTGCTGTACATCGGAACGGCGATCAATGTAAGCACTAAACAAATCCATCCTTGACTAGCTAGGAAATTTTGAGTCTGCACGCAGGCTATGACTAGCGTGTCATTTCCAAACCCAGCGAGTTTTATTTTACGTGCAGAGAACACGGAGACAGAGAGAGAGTGTGTAACTGAACTCTAAACTATGAACTGACTGACTTACATAAAAATTAACATGCTTATATACAGAAATGGATATCTAAAATTAACACGAATGATGTAAGGAAAACAAAGGATAGGAAGGGCGAGTAAAGGTGATGAGTAATGAGATTGACGTAGAGGATGCCTGTGCTGCGATGTGAGAATGTGGGAAAATGATGGAATGAATGAGAAGTAAAAATTGATGTAAACAGGCCTAAGTAGAGTCACTACATAGCTTCCCCTCTTGACGTTCAAGACGCAGCCCCTATATAAAGGATTGGGATGGACTCATATGCAACTGCAGTAATTGCATAACTGATGTAGCAACTGTTTATTTTATTAATTAATTACTTTTATCTTTTATACCACCAAACAAGCAAAAAATTGCAAAGAATTACCTTTATTTTGTTATTCAATGGCTTTATTTTAATTTAGTAGGCTTAAATTAGCTTTTAGATATGGTTAGATATTTTTCTTGCCGACTTTAAATAAATTCATAATGACAAATGATAATAACTTTGTACATTTCGTACACTATTTGCAAGAGAGATAAGCCCCTCAGGTTTATCGGTAAACAAATTTCTTTGGAGGGCCAAGGACAGAAATTCTCCGACAAGGTCACTATTACTGGCTTAGATTAGCTCTAGTATATATTACTGCAAAAAGATATGTAGCGCCAACTTCAAATAAATTGATTATTATTATTATTATTATTATTATTATTATTATCATATTCGCCAGCCTCTTTACAGCCTCTCCTCTACCATATGATCTCTCATTCTCATGCTTTGTATGAAAAATTTCAAATTCGAGTTTCGGCTGTTCATGAAATTCGATATTCTGGAAACCATTACTGAAGCCCTCCCAGGGGTCATAGGGAACGGATATTTTAAACCATCTCGTATATTTTAATGGGGACATTTTGAACTTCAAGAGAAAATTTTGACAAAATCTCTAGATTTTTTAGGGAACAATTAAAAACATAATTGGGGACATGAGTTCGAACCACCTGGTGGCCCCTTGCACTAATTTGATGAAGATTTTTCTTTAGAATACCTTTTTCCTGAACAATAGCCTTCAAGTGGGATTTGCAAACTTCAATCAAGCCATCCAGTGTCTCGGATTGAACACCAAGACTTTTGAGGAGTGTCGGGCTGACGTTCTGTTGCATAACAACACTTATGTAGCTCAAATTGAGATACCGCTTCAGATCACGTGGGCTCAATATATTCCGCAGCATTGAGTCACCAAAGAGAACCTGTGGAGGCTTGGCCCAGTACAAAGACGCAACATTTGAGTCACTTTCTTTTTGTCTTTCGTTGGCGAGTACTTTGTCATGATCATTGCCCTGCCATATGGGTATACAGTCCTCACTTTGAAGCAGTTGGATAATCTTTCTGGCAATGGGTTTGAAGACACCAACAATCTCGCTTTCCAAGGGCAGATATTGGAAAAACCGTGTTGCGGAATATAACGCCTCTGTTGGGTCGTTGTCCAATTCACTGTCCTAAAAAATAAATGATCACATATTGAGACGATGATTAATTCAACATGCAACTTATGAAGGACCAGGGACATCGTGGCTTTAGTTCGAAAAACAGAGGCGGAACCACGGGGTGGACCGAGGTGGACATGTCCACTCAACTTTTTTAATTCATAAAAAATTCACGAGAAAATCTAAAACAACTGGTTGACGTAAACTTCAACTATGAAGCATACAAAAAATGTGTTGATTTTATGATATGTTGACAAAAAGCCGAGGATGGCTCAAGTCTTCCATCACTGTTTTCTTTGCCAGGACTCCAAAAGGGCGTGGCAGCTCTAAACATTTTCAAGCACTCCCCCTCCCCTGATTCCCTGTCCACCCCACGTAATTCTGGCTGGCCACCCCTAGCCTGTGTTCCAGACCCCTAACTTGAAAGTTAGGGGTCTGGAGCACAGGCTAGCGCCGCCCTTGCTTCGAAATACTGCAAAATACATTTTGCCGAAAAGCCCAAGGGGGGATCCTCGCCAGCATTTCTTTGGTGACCTGTCAATCTAAACTTATATATATTTCAGAAAACCCCAAGAATTAGGTGCCGTGCAGGGGGGTGGGTGCTCGAAAAGTTTGAGGCACCGGTTAAAAAAGCCCCAGGTGTTGCGTCTCATGACTAATAGCCTGTGTTCCAGACCCCTAACTTAAAAGAAGAGGCCTTGAGTACAAGCTTATAATTTAGAATTCCAACAAAAAAAACTTCCTGGCTTTTTGAATATTTCTCTCAAATTAACAGACACCAAATAAGAAATATATCAATTTTGTAATTCATAGACCCCAAACATTGCCTTTGTGTGAAACTTCAGATCCAAAAAATCACATCCGGAAAAACTGTTTTTTACACACTTCGAAGTCCCGAAAACTAGAACACTAAAGGGCTACATGCAAATATTGCTTACATGGAGCAACTTACCCGAAATTTGAAATATGCATCGACCACAAGCTGCGGAATCTTGCTTAACAGCGTTACATTCCATGCACTGTCTCGATCAATATCTTCTCTTGATGAAGGTACTTCAAAATCGGCTTGAATAAGGAATTTGAACCCGTAACTCCGCAACGGCAAAAACGCAAAGACGTTTTGTGGTGGGAATGCCTTTGTAAAAGAGAGGAGGTATAATACAGGAGGTTCAACGTAAACGAGGTTAAACGCAAATGAGGTTAAACTACTGATTTATGTGTGTTTGTTGTTGTTCATTCTCGTCGCGTTACGGTGTTACTTATTACTTAAAAGATAATAATTGGTCAAAACAAACCAAGTCAGGGGCATTAGTGTACAAGGCGGGGGAGTGCTGTGTGGTGGACAAAATATATTGGAACTCCAGCTATTTTCATAAATTCACCTAATACCACCGCCCCCTCTTCCCCAGTACAATGTTGTAAGTTGCAAATCAATGTGTCTTCCATACGCAACATTGCTGAAGGGGAGAGAGGGTGAAAATTTGAAAGAAAACGTAAAAAATCTAAACTGGTATCGATTTTCGAAGTGAGTTCCAAATTTTTTGTCCAATATTGTAGAGCAAAGGGCCAGCAGCCACACGATATCGCCATTTATGTTATGTGGAGTGTGGGACGAAAAGTACTTCAGTAAACAATTTTTCTACTATTTCGAACTATCTTCAAATTTGGTGGTACCTAAACCTTATTTATGATATTGTCACTATCAATGATTTATTCAATAGCTTGGCAGGAGGCTGGAATAAGTATGTTGTGGATGGGATTTCTTTGGTAAAATACAGGCATCCCAGGAAGATTATAAATTGTTTCCAAGTGCTTGTTTACTCTGGCTAGTTAGTTAGTTAGTTAGTTAGTTAGTTAGTAAGTTGGTTAGTTAGTTAGTTAGTTAGTTAGTTGGTTAGTTAGGTAGTTAGTTAGTTAGTTAGTTAGTTAGTTAGTTAGTTAGTTAGTTAGTTAGTTAGTTAGTTAGTTAGTTAGTTAGTTAGTTATTTAGTTAGTTAGCAACAGGCCAATTTTAAATCTCACCTACCTGTGATTTTATGCTTGCGTCATTAACGTCGCTTATTGGAAAAGCCAAGGATAGGTCTGTTGTCTTCTGCTCGTCGCCAATCTACAACAAAAATTGATTAAGTTAAATTCTGAGAGCCTTCCGCCAGTAATAAAAAAGTCCAAAATATATCAAGGGGAAGGCTTGAGTGTAGTTTGGGAGACTGGAATTTTTAAATGGACCTGGCTAGGGAGATGGGGTAGGGGCAGTGGCGTAGATATTCAATTTATAAACCAATGTCATCAATCAATGTCATCAATCAATGTCATCAATCAATGTCATCAATCAATGTCATCAATCAATGTCATCAATCAATGTCATCAACCAATGTCATCAATCAATGTCATCAATCAATGTCATCAATCAATGTCATCAACCAATGTCATCAATCAATGTCATCAATCAATGTCATCAATCAATGTCATCAATCAATGTCATCAATCAATGTCATCAATCAATGTCATCAATCAATGTCATCAATCAATGTCATCAATCAATGTCATCAACCAATGTCATCAATCAATGTCATCAATCAATGTCATCAATCAATGTCATCAACCAATGTCATCAATCAATGTCATCAATCAATGTCATCAATCAATGTCATCAATCAATGTCATCAATCAATGTTATCAATCAATGTCATCAATCAATGTCATCAATCAATGTCATCAATCAATGTCATCAATCAATGTCATCAATCAATGTCATCAATCAATGTCATCAACCAATGTCATCAACCAATGTCATCAATCAATGTCATCAATCAATGTCATCAATCAATGTCATCAATCAATGTCATCAATCAATGTCATCAATCAATATCATCAATCAATGTCATCAATCAATGTCATCAACCAATGTCAAATACAATTTACACATACAAAATACAGATGGAGTTACTATGCATTAAAACACTACTGAATTTTTTTTAAACATTGGCTGACTAACGAGGAGCTCTCAAAATATGTTAACTAATCGAGAGAGCTAATTTTAATTCCAGATAACAATTTCTAATCCCAACGCTTTTCCACCAGTCCCAGTTTCGTGAAATCTGGGATTGAATAATCCCAAATGGCAACCCTGATTTGAACATAGCTTTACGACATCATAACTGAAATAAAATAACCAGCTTTATCCAGTTTTAAAATCTTTCTTCCAAAATGTAACACTTAGATAAAAACAAGACAACCATGTTAAATTTCCGACAAAATTTTTCCGAGAAAATAACAGTTTAGCTTTACAGGAGGGGGGCTTTCGTTCCCTCGGGCCCCAATCTATCTATGCCACCGGGTAGGGGCAATTGACTCATTCATGATAATACACCGGATTCGTTCCTAGGAGCATCAAGCTTGTTCCTTTTAGAGTGGGGCAACAGCAAATATACAAGTAGCGAGCCATGTTTAAATCTAAAATTAATGAAACAAGGTGGAGAAATTTAATTTCTTCATTTCATTCATTTCATGCTATTTCATTCATCCACAAATAAACCCTTAAGTAAGCTCAAACATATGGCATGTAATCATAATGACAAAAACCTTGGAAGTAACAAAACTATAGGCCTAAAATGCTAAAGTAGCCTAAACCATCTGTCGATCAATACTAGCCAATCAACAAATGTGCGAGTGAGAACACACTCACTGATTGGTCGTTTATTGATTGACAGGTGGCTGATCCCACTTCAGTATCTTTCGACTGCCTTTAAAGTTGTTTTTTAAAACGAATTTATGTTGGTAGCTCACATAATTCAGCAGGAGTATCATTCCATAATTTTAGAGCTACCCAACGAAAGATTTTTTTGCGAATTCAGTCCCATATCCAGTAGTGTCGTGGAGGGGACTAAGGGAAGTCGGTCCGCTTGCTTAAATTCAGAGAGGCTTATTGCTTAAATTGGGGAGGGGGAGGGTTGGCTAAGTCCAGTGGCGTACCCAAGGATGCAGCAATATGGGGGGGGGGTCTGGGGCAAAGCCCCAAGAAAATTGTTTTAGGTCACGCCCTTCAAACACTCGGGGATGCGCCCTTTTTGCAAAATTTCCCCCCATTTTTTTATTCATGTTAGCTACGGTAAATAGCAAAGTATCTTACAATTGTTATTGACACAAGCATACAGTATACTACAGCCCTACCCCCCCTCCCCAATGAGTTTTACGTCGTTGTTGGACAAATCTCGAGGATCATATTTTAGAAAAGTGGGGGGGGGGTTCGGACCCCCCTATTCCCCCCTTGAGTACGCCACTGGCTAAGTCCCCTCATAACAAGCCAGTATTTGTTTGGCTTGGCGAATCTATTACTTGGCAATGGGAAGTAGCCTTTCAATTTGCTGCTTTTAGTCTTATTGAATCGGTGAATAGTTTGAATGATTTCAAAACACAACAGAGAATCTTCAACATAGATGGAAGTATATAGGGTATGAGCATGGGTGTGGTTTTGGGTGTGGCTCATAGAAGTTGCCTACAGCACAGCCCCCCTTCCAAACATTTTAGGACGGCATCCCTGTTGATATCTAAGGGTTTTGAGATCTTTGCAGAGATTTGCCTTGTAGGTCATTTCATCACAGCCTCCGTACAATTCTTAAAAATGATAAAAACAAACGACTCACGTTTATCTCAGTTTCCTTCGTGACTACAAACCATAAACTAGGTATTCCATTCTGAGTCAGTTCAACGAGGCTGTTTCCTTTGTATCTCTTTTTCATAACGAGGCATTTTCCATTGACCTTTGATTCAAAAGTTTACAGTTAACCAAATGTGAGAAAAAATGAAATCTGGTAAAATTCATAGAATTTCATACCATTATACCCAACAAAAACTAAACACAAAACACAACCAAATTGGGCAACAAAAGGGACTAACATTCTAGTGAAAGATGACTTCAAATTATATGAATTCCAGATCTGAATTATAAAATCTGCCAAGAAATAATTATTGAGACCCAACTTGACCATTTTAAACTACTTCAAGTTGCTCTCAGCAAATATAAAAAATGGTTGGTAGCACAAAAATTTAAATGGCTTCGAAGAAGGCAAATATTTTTAAATATAATCATGCTTTTCGTCTGATACTCTTTCAGATTATAAAACGTCCGAACATAGATCGAAAATTGCAAGCTAGGAAATATATCCACCCAGTTGTGGATCAAAATAGGTCAATTGGAACCGCGAGCACATGACTGTTGAGGTTGCCCAATCAGTGCCGCTTGCCTATTGAGAATGTTACCAATGGAGTCCTAAGGTGAAAACGAACTCCTTCTGTCTACACAAAAGCGGTTTTTTCGTGCTGACGTAGATAGATTCTAAAACTGCTAGATGGAACGATGATTTTACCAATAATCCGAAACATGGCACCATTATACCTTTTGGCACAATCTGGGTTTTTTCTGTAAATGCTGCACGATAGCAGAATCGCCTTAAGCCCCGGCAAAACGACTGGACATTTTCACTGAACATGGACTGGACAAATGTCCAGCGTGAATGTTGCGTCGTTTTGCCACCTTGTCCAGTCTTGTTCAGCGATGTTGAGTGTTGTTCAGTCGATTTTGAAGGTAGTCAAAAATGTTCAGTGGACAGGATTAAAATTCTTTTGTTCGCAGATGTTGTAGAGAAATGTTCAGTCGTTTTTGCCACTCTACTGAACATTGTCCAGTTCGCGCAGGCGCAATGAATGTAATGGATAGGATTTGGCGCGAATTTATTTCCATTATTCAAATCTTTAACAAACTTTCCTAGTCAACACCGCGAACGAAATGGAACCAACGTGAAAATTCAATTCGACCAATAGCAGAAAAGGCATTTTATTAGTAACGACGAGTCTTCCGATCAGATTAGCTTTAGTTCCGATAAGGAAAGCGATGTCAGAGAGCAGGAGTACGGTGATTTTGATAAACCTAGCTGTCCTAGCCACTTGTCAATAATACACTCTAATTCATACGATAACACGGTTAGGGCTATGAAAAGTGTATTTTCAAAGGTAAAGAGATGCCCTGTTGCCAGTTTTCCCACCCGCATAGGGAAAAAGTTCACTGGACAATGCTCAGTCGTTTTGCCACCACCGATATTTTCTTGATGTCCATAATCTGAACAAGTGAGCAATGTCCAGTATGTGACCAGCGCAAATGTCCAGTCGTTTTGCCGGGGCTTAAGGGGCTACCTTCGCGAGCTTATGACCGATGTGCCTAAAGCCCCGGCAAAACGACTGGACATTTGCGCTGGTCACATACTGGACATTGCTCACTTGTTCAGATTATGGACATCAAGAAAATATCGGTGGTGGCAAAACGACTGAGCATTGTCCAGTGAACTTTTTCCCTATGCGGGTGGGAAAACTGGCAACAGGGCATCTCTTTACCTTTGAAAATACACTTTTCATAGCCCTAACCGTGTTATAGTATGAATTAGAGTGTATTATTGACAAGTGGCTAGGACTGCTAGGTTCATCAAAATCACCGTCCTCGTGCTCGCTGACATCGCTTTCCTTATCGGAACTAAAGCTAATCTGATAAGTAGACTCATCGTTACTAATGAAATGCCTTTTTCTGCTATTGGTCGAATTTAATTTTCACGTTGTTTCCATTTCGTTCGCGGTGTTGACTAGGGAAGTTTGTTGAAGATTTGAATATGGGAAATAAATTGACGCCAAATCCAAGCCATTAATCGATTGCGCTTGCGTGAACTGGACAATGTTCAGTAGAGTGGCAAAACGACTGAACAATTTCTGTACAACATCAGTGAACAAAAGAAATTTAATCCTGTCCACTGAACATTTTTGGCTGCCTTCAAAATCGACTGAGCAACATTCAACATCGCTGAACAAGACTGGACAAGGTGGCAAAACGACGCAACATTTACGCTTGACATTTGTCTAGTGCATGTTCAGTGAAAATGTCCAGTCGTTTTGCCGGGGCTTTAGAAATTTGAATCAGTGTCTCTGAACTTGAAGTATCGATACACTAAATTAATCCTTATATAAGATATAAGAACCATTTCTTGTTGGGGAGATGGACCAACATTTGTTCGCAGGTCCATCATATGCAAATGCGCAGTTAAATCAATGACGTTAATTTCACATGTATTCTGCACTAATATAATCTGTGGTCAGGCACCGAGGAGCGTTGAGAAAAGTATTGGATCTGAAAAAAGTGGGGAGGGGGGGTGTCTAAAACCATAAAAAAAGCTTTACTGGTAGTGTACTATTTAATATTTGGCATTTTTTCAAAAAAGTGGGGGGGGGGCTAAAGCCCTAATGCGCATGTGCAGATGCCGCACTTTTATCATTGGTTGGAGCAAAAAATGGAACAATAGCCCCAAACCATGGGACTCCTTCTCCCAAAAATTTCCTGTCGTAATAGCAGTTTTTACCTGGTTGTCAATAATGATGACTTTTATTCGATTCAAGAAAAGCAGCAAGGATGGGTGAACGTCCTGAAAGCGGGAGCCTGTTACCATCGAATTTGCTAACTCCTTCTTCAGAGGAAGATTGATTTTTGTCTTCCAGTTTCTACGAAAAAATGTAAATTAACCTCGTTATACCATAAGCGACAAAAGGAAACATAAATCGTAATAAATTTACACCAGAGCTCAGAAAAATATTTTACTACCAATGGTCGTCCTTGCGATCATTGGTCAAATGTGCCACATATTTTCTGGGGTGTGACTTAAGGTTATGAGAGTGGGAATATTCTTACAAGTGACAGCTTTTTTTCCCAGCATTAACTAGAGTATAATCAGTGGCGGATTTAAGTGGGGAAACTAGGGGCAGTTGCCCCACCCTCGCCGAGTTGAAGCAAGTCTGGCGCCCCTTTTTGGAAATTGTGCGCCCCTTCTGAAGAATGAGAATCAGGTGAAGAAGTTCAAGGATTACCTCAAAGATCTACTTCAAGGATTACCTCAAAGTATACTTGCTTATTCCAAAAACGGATCACGTTTTGCTAGAAAAGTCACGCTCAGGAAGATAACAAAGGCCATCTATAAAGCTGTGTTCTTTAATTCCCGCCTTCATTTACACAGTGTTCAGTTTCTTGCACTTAAAAGCTGTCTTACCTTCATGTCATAATCAAACCAAATAGAGCCATGAAGCATAATTATGACTGTTTGTTTGTTTGTTTGTTTGTTTGTTTATTTGTTTTTTTTGTGATCTTAAATCGAATATTATCTTAAGCTACAATACCATAACTTGTCGAATTCGATTATTTGCTGGCTTTCTACGGCTTCTGGGCCTCCTTGGATCTTCAAATACGGTTTTATTGGCGTGTTGCCTTGATTCATCCTTGTTTAGTTTATCAATACCCTTTCCGAGTTTATCAAAATTTTTGTATTAGAATAATTGTCTGTTGCACCTAGGACCTTTGGTTCTCAGTCGATGTTGTAAATATCCCATATCCATTTCCCGGCTGCGTCTAGAATGTCATAGTTGCAAGACTTTCTCTGCCGCCAAACAAAATGGCCGCCTTCATCTGAACAATCATTCTTACCTTAAACCAAAGGCAGGAAATTTTCTGGGCCCTCAGTTCATTTTCTGGGCCTTACCGGGTAATTATATTGAAGTCAGCCCCTTTTGCAGAGTACTCTAGTAGATTTGGTGGCACTATGGCGGAGCAGCAAATGTTTAGGCGGAAAATTTATCTACCTGTTAAGAGTGAAATTTTAATAAGAGGCTTTCAGTAGTTAGGGTCTGAAATTGTTTTATACAGCGTACTCTCGTCACAAATTTCTGAAAAATTTTCAGCGCCTCCACTACCTACTGCCCTTTTTTCAAATTTGCTCTGGATCCGCCCCTGAGTATAATGATCAATTTTCAGAAGGCGTAACAAGCAAAAATGAACCAGATATTGACTTCTTGTATTTGCTCGAAAATAATGCAGCACCCCCTAAAAAGGTTAGACTTTGAGTAAAGCACTCACCTTTTCTTCAATTTGGGCATGATAGCATGGCCATTGCAAGATAGAGATACCATTGTTAATGCTAGCTTTGATATGTATTACAAGTGGCCAGGGCGTTACGAAGGATTCAAATACTATTTGCTCAAATGGTGACGACGAGGCCCCTTAATTGATGCTCAATATGAATAGCCCGAGACTAGATCCTTGTTTAGCAGCCATAGTCTTCTGAGCATTAACGACCAGATACGACAGGTATCGTTTACCAGATACGACATGCATCTTCTATCTGACACGACAATTCTCACTCGCCCGATGCGTCTATCTGATGCATCTGTTCAATAAAATCGGATCTGTACTCGTTAACGAGTGCTTAGTTAAGAAGGGTGGTAAAAACATAAGCCTTTTTTCTGGCAACTTCTCTCTCGAGACAAATAGGTGGTCGTGCTTTCAAAATAAAGTTGCCTTGAATATGGATTGCAACTTACATTTCTATACTGCAGTGATCGGCGGAAGGTTGGTATTCTTGCAAACACGGGGAATCATCCTCACACCACTGGGGACAAATGTATCCCATCTTGTCCTCAGCAGCATCGAAGCATATATGAAAACCATTGGAATGAATCTTTGGGCAGTCCGTTATCCTGAATACAGACTTGAACCCAATCCCTTTCTGACCTGAAAACAACGTACCAGTGCATGAATGAAGCTGAAAATGATGACCAGTGATATCGCTAGGAATTCTGTCGAAGAGGCAGTGCGGAATATCTGAACTTTCTCTAGGTGTATCTTCCAAAAGATCTGAACATTTATGATTAACATGTTTAAAAGAACTTCCGTACATCGACGAGTTGCCCCCCCCCAAAATCCCCCCTCAAATAAGCCCCCACCCTAGAACTACAAATTGTCAATAAGCCCACCTCATATAAGCCCCCTTTCAAATAACCCACATTAGAAATATAAAAAATAAATAAACCCTTAGGGGGCTAATTCGAGGATTTACGGTATGTCCCTGTCATTCAACCGTGCACGCTAATAATACGCTCTTTGACGCATTGACAATTGAGATTAGTGCCGCTTGCTGATTGGAAAATTAACAATAGCCTATTGTATACGGAAACCAATAGAATTCAAGTGACAACTAAAATTCAACGGAACAGAGTGCATTTAACCAAAACAACACGCTACCATATTCAGAAACCGAGAAAGCAAGATTTGGCAGTCTGATTTGTGCGTACGGAAATCTAAAGTAAAAACAATGACAAAGAAAATTTATCCTGACATACCGATATAGCCCTTTCTATGAGCTCCTTTGGTACTTTTGCCTACGTCACAGATGGCTCTTATATTGGAATCTTCGAATCCACGCTCGTTGTTCAACACAACAATACTATCTTGATCAACGATAAACGCAACTGATGGCCCCTCTTCACTATCATGCCCCATCAGTTCTTTATCGTAACTGTTATCGTCGGCATTCTGTATGAGTTCCAGCACAAAATGCGTGTCCTTTGCATACAGTTCTTTTGACAGTCGATCCAAGCTCCTGCACAGTCGATCGTTATTTCTACGCAGCAAATCACCCCCTTTCTCATCAAGGACCTCGCCAATGCCGAACTCAGTACGTCTGATGTCATCAATCAGATCTTTACAGTGTTCAGCGCGATCTTGAAGCTGACCAACAACTGTTTTGATTTCTCCCTCTTCGTTCTCTAGTTCACTACTGTCGTCTTCATCGGTCAAGCCATTAGAAGTATCGTTCTCTAGAAATCAAGAAAAATTAAGTTTTTTTAATTATTAGAAGCAGTGTTTTCAGCTCTTATCTTAAAGCACGTTGTTGCATTGGCAAACATAATCTCGTAAAATTTCAAAGAACCAAGCGATGGAAATCAGCCTTTTAAGCATCCTTTGATCCCTAGATTCCTAGTCCAATCAGCAGCCACTTTCTATCAGGTAGCAATTCCTAGTCATTGCGGTTTACAAGTCTGGATTTCACAAACTTACCGGAGCTTAGCTCCTGCTTGGTACTTTCCGGTTTTGATTCCTCGGAACACTGGTCTTTGGTTTCTTTCAAGCCGGTATCATCACCCGTACCATTGTTTTCATCATTGATGGCACCATTATCGCCCCTATTCTTTGTTTCCGCTTCCACGGGTTTGAGCGATTCATGCATGTTGGTTCCTGTGGGCTTCACTGCTTTTGCAGAAGATGGCATTGTAGGTGGTTCTATAGTCCTAAAGCGGTTCTCGGAGAAATCAGAGCTCCACTCCCTTTTCACCAAGACAACTCCAAGATAATGCAAAAATGACTTCTCTTCGTTGGACCGGCATTGTTGAAGTAGCCTGGTCTCAACTGGACAGCGACCAAAATCGTTACCAAGTAATTCACGTAAGGGTCTCAGGAAAACCTAGAATATGGATGAGATCAAATTTAAGCCACTTGAAATTGGCCATTTTCTATTTGGGAATATCTCAAGGTTCTTTATATAGGGCTTTGGAGCCAGACTTATAATTCAATCAGGGCCGGAATGAGCTCGGTGCGATTGGTGGTGTAGTATTGGGACCGTTTCCTGAAAGAGTCTTTTCTGAACGAGGCTTTTCTGAACGAGGCTTTTCTGAACGAGGCTTTTCTGAACGAGGCCTTCCTGAAAGAGGCCTTCCTGAAAGAGGCCTTCCTGAAAGAGGCCTTACTGAAAGAGGCTTACCTGAAATAGGCTTCCCCGAAGCTGTCTAGGCCCAATAAAAGGATCTTTGTCCTGCAGCATCATACCTAATTTGAGCTTAATAAATAAATTACTATTTAACATCGTTTATATCGAGGCTGAAAACTCGTAGAGACCTAGTAGAGACCCAGCCCGTTAGAGATGTATGTTAAGTGGAGTGCGAGAGATGTGGTATCCGTTCTCATCCCAGTTATGTAACTGACATTCCGATTAATCTATCGACGCTTGTTCACCTTCTTCGATCGTGTAAGAGGTCTGGGTGAGCGAAAAAAGGGAGAAGTGGCGCACCATTCAGTGCTTAGTGGTCTCTGGGACCACCAACCGTCAGTAAGCTAGAAAAATAATCAGCTTGTAACAACCGAAGATCGTTCTACAAGCGTCTTTACCTACACCACCCTGTAGTCCTCCTCACTGGTGATTCAAGTCTTACTACGGGCCTTTATCTTAGGAAACAAAATGAGCCTTCTCTAATTACACAACATATTTCCCTTGAACAAAATGTTGGAAAAAGACAAACATTCTTGAAATCTTGATACTTTCTATATTGCCAGCCAAAATTACTTGGAACATCAAACAATTTGTGTTGTGCCTTCCTTTTTTCACATCTTTTCCGAAAGAATTCTACTGTCACTCTTCCCCTTTTCCCCACCAGTACAATGTTGATAGTCTTGATATATTTCAGACAAGGTACAAAAAAGGTTCTCGATTTTCCTCCTCTTTTCTATATTAAACCAACATTGTTGTAAGAGGAGAAAGCTGAATTTACCTATGAGAACTGACGTTAGTGTTGCAAGACTTTTGGGAGGGATTTTACATAACTACAAACTAAAAAAAGAAATTACCTGGTTAACCAGAGAGCAGCAAAATGTAACAGGTATCTTCAAAATGCATTCGAGAACAAATCTCTCAACAGAGAAGCTTTCTTCATCTTGTGCGATTCTATTGGCCAGTGATGACTTGACTACATTGGACATGTGAATGAGAGGTGATTCCGATATGCTTTCTCTTGCATAGATGATTGAGACCACATGACCTGCAGTTTCCTGAGGGTTTCCCGCATTGATCGCGCAAGACAGATCATCTGGGGAAGAGTCAAGGCTGATTTTCAATAGCTGATTCGTCGGTGTTTCAACAGCACTTACTGACTCTGTGTTTTCTACAAATGACTTTAGTCCGCCAAACTGCGGCTCGAAGACAAGGTTCCAGCAGCTCCATGTAGCTAGGTTTTCAAGCAAAGGTGCTGATTGCAGGCATCTAATGGCGTCTTGTTTAGTTAAATGTCCAATGGCTCCTGCATCTTGGTGTGCATTTGACAGGTCTTCGTCCGCATTGGCAAAGCTCGATACGGCACAGCCGCAGTCAAGTGCGTGGAGATAGGTGATCTTTCTGCTGTTGCAAGTTTCCTCATTTTGAGAGTTTTTCAGCATTTGAATTATGCGCTGCCTTGGCCATGTTCGTGCAAATTCAAATTGTTGTCTTATAGCTCTCTCAACATCTCTCTACAAGGAAAACAACCAAAAGGTTTTATTTGCTATGTGAGAGGACAACTCCGTGGTTAGGGTCACAGGCTACAGATCTAGGGATCTTGGGTTCAAACCCCTGCCATGACCAGACTTCATTCAGGGTGTGGATAGTCGCCAGCTCTCTGCAATTCCAGGCATACGTATCACGAGGAATGGTCACATCGAGTGGAAGGACCAGAACTATTAACTACTCGATAAGCAATGCTTTTCAGTGTACTAAAATACTTTCAAAAGCTAGGTGGCAAAAATACAAATACCATTTTGCATTTTCCAATCGTATCGATAAAAATTCGTTAGAAGATGAATCTATAATTTTTGCAACTGATAAGAATTGTCAGGGAGACAAACAAGAAAACTGAGAAAATTCTGATATTAAGGAAATATTGGTATCATCAAACTATTGAATTTCCTTTTGAATTATCTGCAAATTAAAATTTGTTAAAAATTACTTGATTCCTTGAATACTTTTTCTAACACTTTTAATAACAAAATTCAACTTGAAAAACATGTTTGACAGAATCGGGTAAATATGATTTAAAATTGATTTTGCAAAAGCGTATCACCGAAAATTTTGTATATGACAGCAGGGGAAAAACAAAGATTTGCAACAAATAAATTGAAAATGGCTTTGAAAAAAGCAAACATTTTACAACATACTTAAAGCTTTTTCGTCTGACACTCCTCAGAGCATAAAACGTCAGAATAGGTTCCGAAAAAAACACGTTTGAAAAATATATACCCAGTTGTGGATCGAAATAGGCCAATCAGAAAAACGCAAGCACAAGACCGGTATAGTTGACCAATCAGTGCCGCGAGCCTAAAGAAAAATTACCAATGGAGTCCAAGAGAGAACACGAACTCCTTTTGTCTACACAATGGCGGCTTTTTCGTTTTTATGTAGATTGACTCCAAAACTGCTAGATGGAAGGACGACCGGGCTCTGCCAATTATCCGAAACATGTCGTCATTATAGAGTTTTGCACAATCTGGGTTGTCTAAAAGATGTTGACCAATGGCAGAATCACTTGTTTTAACAGTGTTTCTAGACCTACAAGATCGAGGAGGCTGTTCTCTTTGAGGGGCAGTTTTGTTTCGTATGTTGGAAGGAACATGCTGTTTTATCCTATCCCCAATCTTTGGGTTGTGCGCCCTACGTAGCCAGAATCACACTGGCACGTAAATTCATAAATGACGGAACTTTTTTGTTTGGTAGGGACGCAATCCTTTTGAATGGATGGAAGGGCTCTCCTAGTGCTGTAAACAATCCGAGGATTGACAGCAAAGAAACAATTGGTTATGGCTTGCCTAATCTGACTCTCGAATCGCAAGGAAGTGTTACCAATCCATGGTAGTTTCAAATAAACTGGGCACTTTTGCGGACCAAACTTTGGAACAGCCGAAAAACTTGCGATCTTCTCCTTAGTATAAGATAAAATGACGTCTTCAGGATAGCCGTTGTCCAAGAAGATCGTTTTGAGTTTTTCCAGTTCAGCGTGCAGTTTAGATTTCGAGCAGATCATAAGTGCCCTATGTACTAATGTTTTGACAAGGTTGACTTTGCGTTGTTTTGGGCAAAATGAATTCCAGCGTATGTACTGACCGGTAAAAGTAGGCTTGCGATATACACTGGTAAGAAATCCAGTGTTAGACTTTTCAACCAAAACATCTAAAAATGGTAAGGAATCATTTTCTTCCTTTTCAAACGTAAACTGGAGGGCTGGGTGTAGGCTATTTAGGTGTTTTAAAAAAATATCACACTCAGCCTCTGTTTTGAAAATGGTATATGTGTCATCCACATACCGAAAATAGACACCTGGCTTTTGGTCGTAGTCGAACAAACGTTCTTCATGAAAGCCAACAAAGATATTGGCCAAGGCAGGTCCCAGAGGGCTACCCATAGCGACACCATCCTTTTGTTGGTACATTTCATTGTTAAAACTGAATTCGACTGAACGTGTTGCAGTTTCCATCAGTTCAATGAATACTTCCTCTGGGAATGGTGGGCTATTAAGCTCGCTCCGGTACAAAGCGTCGGCGCATATTTTGATGGTCTCACTCAAAGGAACATTTGTGAAAAGACTACTAATGTCAAAAGAACACATGAAAGATGTTTCGTTTTCGATGTTCAAGTTTTGCATGAACTCAGCGAACGTAAAAGAATCCTTGATGCAATGTTTTGAATATTTTTGAAGAACAGGGTCCAAAACTTCAGAAAGCCACTTAGCCAGTTCGTGTTGTGCTGAGCCAATCATAGACAAGATAGGTCTAAGTGGGACGTTCGGCTTGTGTATTTTAGGGAGGCCATACATTTGTGGTCGTTGAGAGCCCGTGGGTCTTATCCTATCATAAATTTCTGTAGCCAACATTTTTGAGTTGACCAGTTCCAACAAACGTTTTTGGAGTTTCCGCTCTAATTTGGCCGTTTTGTCATGTGTTTCGACATCACCCAATTTAGCAAATTTTTCTTTGTCGTGGAGAATTACCTCCATTTTATTGATGTAGTCATTTTTGTTTAAAATTACCACTCCAGACCCTTTATCAGGTTTTGTAATAAAGATGTCATTGTTAGCCCGTAGAGATTTTAGTGCTTGGAAATGTTCTCTATGCAAAAGAAAATCTGAGTGGTCGATGGGAGAGCCGCTGTAAGCGTACGCCAAATCGCTTAGTCGTGCTCGTAATTTGTTAAACTCCAAAGGGTTAGAAATCTCGTGCTTAGCAAGTTGAGCGTGTAAAATTTCGAATTCAGCAAGAGTTCCTCTCTGTTGATTGTTAGGGGTGGGATACAAAATTCAAGTCCCTTACATAAGACAAATGTTTCAGTATCAGAGAGAGAATAATCCGAGAAATTAAAAATATGTTTTTTGGTGTCGCTCAACATGCCACCGAAACG